TTTAACTTATCCCCTCTTTTGTGATTATTTGTTTTTTGTTTATTGAGATGATTGTCAGAGTTTTTTTTTATTTTATTTATGGGAGTTTCTTAGAATTAACGAGTGGTCTATATTTAATAACTTGATAGGGAACAATACTTTTTTTTTCTCGTTACACTGGGAATTGTTTATGTATAAATGAGTAAATGTATAAATGAGTGACCTAAAGCTTAAAGTGGGACATTTAAATTTACGTTCAATATTTACATGTTTCCTTGAGCTTAAATCCATAGTGGAAGAGCACTATTTGGTGTTTTATTCCTTACAGAGGCGTGGCTTTCTGCTGGTGACGATGTTGATGTTTTTAGCATTCCTGGCTATAGATTTCTTCACAAAGATTGAGCTGGTAGGGGGATTGTGGTTGCCGCCTATGTTAAGAATAATTTAGTAACGGAATTGATTACACTTGATTTCAATATAACAAATTATCTTGAATTTTTAATTTTTGAAGCTAAGTTGAAGAATAAACACTATGCATTCTGCGTATTTTATCGCCCCCCCCAAATACAAATTTTAATGCTATAGCAAGTGACTTTGATAATATTTTTTCTAGCATTTATCCGGCTACAGATGAAATAATTTGTTTGGGTGATTTCAATATTAATTTATTGAACCTCACTAATCCTCCAACTAAACTGTTTGAAAATTACAACTTTCTTCAAATAGTTAGGGAGCCCACTAGAATGTCCAGATGAACTGTTTCTTTGCAGGATTTTAAAATAACTCGTTTACACAATGATAAACGTTTAAGAAATTTCACTGTGTCTGTGGTACGAAGGAAGAAGTGGGATTATTTAAAGACTATTTGTTTTAGAAAAAAAATCAAAAAAGACTTTAAGATCACTAAACAGGTGTTTCAGTAAGAAATCTGATATTCCAATTAGCTGGGCAAATCCAAATCAAATTAGTGCATATTTCGGCAAAATTCTACAAAGTGCCTCTGACTGTGATACCAAAGTTCATTTTTATAAAAATAATACTTATTTGAATGATAATGCTCGATTTTCTTTTCATATCGCAGAAATATCTGATATTCACAAAATAATTCAAGACATACGCACTGATGCCGCAGGCGAAGATAATATAAATATTTAAATGTTAAAACACTGCACACCTTTAATCCATAAATATGTCGCGTTTATAATTAACTGCTGTATTGAGTTAAATTATTTTCCAGATTAATGGAAAGCCCTTACCTAAGATAAAAAATCCAACAAATTTTAATGATCTTAGAATTATCAGCATTTTACCTGTTCTGTCTAAAATTTTTGACAAAGTTTTATACAAATAGCTATTTAACTATTGTATTGTTAATAATGTCATACCCGAATGTCAATGTAGCTTTAGGCAAGATTTCAGTACTTCGGTTGGTTTAACAGACGATATAATTCCCGCTATTGGATATACTCTTGGATTTTTCAAAGGCTTTTGATACCGTTAATCATGCACTTCTATTAGCAAAACTTGAATATTATGGACTTTCACAACAGTCGATTGATCTGATAGCATCCTACTTTTCTGACAGATTTCAAAAAATTGTGTATAGCGGCGCGGTTTCAAAGCGAGTTCAGATTTTGTCAGGTGTTCCGCAGGACTCTATCCTCGGGCCTCTGTTTTTTATTATTTACACAGCTGACATTTTGAGGACCTTGCGGCACTGTGAGGTCCAGGTCTATGCCGATGATATGCAGATTTATTTTCACTTTAATTACTCTGATTACGAAAATGCATAAAGGATAATAAACGAGGCCCTGAATATATTAAAACAACTTTCCTCAGAACATAAGCTTAAACTTAATCCTCTAAAATTTAATTTAATGCTTTTCGGTCCAAAAATTAATAAACATTTTCTAAATGATAATGTGGATATTCGTCTTGATGGTATCAGGCTTTCAGTGGTCAGCTCTGCGAAAAATTTGGGTATATATTGGATACGGAGTTGCGCTTTAGGGAATATATTAAAATTCTAATTCAAAGATCATATCTTTCATTAAAAATGATATATTAATTTGACTAATAAAAAAAAGCCGTTTATTATTATTATATTATTAAACATATATATTTTTCGCGGTCCCGGTAAAAGTTTGATGTGACCTCAAGTGCCAGTAAAGAAATCTGCACTTTAACAATTCGGATGAATTCTTTGGAAGGTGCAAACCTCTAATTAAACCATTTGATTCCCTCTGGTTAACCACTTCGGGCTCTCTGGGTCAGGTCGGGTAGTAATTTGATTCTTCTGATTCTGGCGATATGACGTTTTCTAGTTCTTTTGGCGCCGCAGGTATTGGTGCATCTGGTCCATAAGGAACTGGTCGAATAGCAGAGTCAAGATTGGGATACACAATTTGTTTCATATTTTTTTCTGTTGAACATATTCAGCACTGTCATTCCTAGACTTTCGCCATACCATAGGAACACCAGGCTTCCTACCTACATTTCTTCCTACCTAATGCTCCAACACAAATGGAACAAACAGTATGAGGAGTCCAAAGTTTGTCTTGGTCTTAAATTATTACTCTAAAATAAGCGTAGTAGACATTTTTCACAAAGAAGTATGTTGTACTACAACATAACTACCACAGATATAACAAAAGTTGTTCGGATTGTTCACACAATCTCTTCTTTCCATGTTTATACATTCCAGAACATTAGAAATAAGAACACAACAGTCGCGAACGCAGTAGCACGACGACCAATACAACCAAACTGCATATAATACACATATAATATTATCCAGTGTTTCCAAATTACATTTAATTTCATAAAAATCATGGCTAACATGGACCAAACATATTAATGTCATAAGTATGTAAGTGTACTAATAAAATAACATTTTAAAGATATAGAGCGCTATAAAAAAATTATGTTCACACTAACTAGTACGTGCCTTTCTACGGTGGGGCAATTTTATCGCATAGCTACGTACTGAGCGCGGCGTAGTGTTTTGAGAAACCCGATCAAACCTCCAACTACAGAATGGTTGCCGGAATACTCAACCTGGACGATGTCAACGTTGGCGAACAAGTCAGGAATATTACGAAAATATCAAATCACGAATTCTAGCCAGGGTGAGTATACGAGAAGGCTTTTCCTAAAACGAACATACTTGTGCTATATTTCCGCCCAATTTTAAAAGCTATTAAAGCACTGTTAGGCGAAAATGTTAAAAAATCAACATCGCGAAGGGATGCGATATTTTTTGCTTATCTATAGTTTATAGTTTATCGTCCTCAGTATTCGATAAAATGAATCGAGGTTAGAATATAGGATATACTAATTTATTACCGCAGATCTTGAACAGTTATAACTATTAAAGTGGCTTTGTATTGTTTGTAAGTAAAATATTTGATAGAAACGTTTTTTTATTCTATTAGCATCTTGCTAATATGCCTTTTGCAAAAAAAGATATAAAAGTATTTTAGAATGTACCACCCCAATTTCCGAGCATCCTGTATAACTAAAACTGACTCCATTGCACGTCATCTTGGAATTTTGTTGGTAGATCAGTAACAAAATAATTCATTGAAAACGTCACGCGAAAGGATTATTCAATAATTTTTGTAGAAATTGATAACGTTATTTTTATGTATTTAATAAATATATAACGGAATATTCATTAAATAAAATATTTTTTAATATATTTTATCTATTTATCAACTTACCAGTAATTACTGGTTCTAAGCTAATTTTCATTTAATAATAATAAACATATTGCAGTAAGTTGTTCTTCAATCTGATTGACTTCAATCTGACTGAAAAAGTCAACTAACCAAAACGATAGCAAGTTCAATTCATCAATAACCGACGCAAGGGGAATGCAGAAGTTTGGTCAATAATATTAGAGTTGCTTGTGGAAGTTTCTTTGAAAAATGAACTAGAAATCTCATCTTCCATAGATATTGTATATTTCTGGAGTTGTACATAACATACTCGATTGAATATCTCTTCATTGCGATATTTTTCACTCGAATGGTCAATCATATATTTAGGTAATGGCTTATTTCTAAAACAATGACAAGTTCAAGAAGATAACTCAATGCACATACACTTAAATGGTTTCCTTTTACAATTTTTGGGCAGGTGATATTTGAAATGTTGCTGTGATCACAAACACTGCTCAAAACTATAGGGATTGAACTAAAAAAATGCGTTCAGGCTTTGGAATATTGGAAGTTTTGATTTTTTAATTATTGAATTGAATTTCATTAGCTGCTTGAGATGGCTGTGTGTTTGGGACAGACTCGACATTTCAAATGGTTTTCTCTTTTGGGATAATACGTGGCGCAAGGATGATTTTTCCGTATACGCAAGTTGGTGCGATGATACATTTACAGTAGATTTAGTGTCGGCAAGTTGGGAAGAGTTTGAAGGTTTCACTAGTGTTGACAGTAGTTGTCGTTATTGTAAAATAATTTATTGATTAATCAAAGTGAACAACCGCTATTGAATTCAATTTGCCTAATCGCCGTCAGAGGGAAACTTATGAGAATACGGAGAGACGAATGTAAGATAAATTTTCTCATATAAGGAATTGATAAGGAATTCGGGAAGCGTTTGTTGGCTGCTATCCCATACAATGCAAATATCGTCCACATATCTTTAAGCTTGTACCATGATGTAAATAACTATTATATAAAAAATGTCTAAATTCAGAAATTCTATTTCCTAAGTAGGATAAATATTAGTGAATTTCACTAAACCAACATATCTGTCTGTGCGTAGGAAAGATGTTGCTGCCCCGCACGATATAGTTGTGGAATTGTTGAAACATCTGTCGTACAGCGCGACTATAAAACTTGCTCTATTTCCCGCACGCAAATTTGCAGATAAATAAACATTAATAAACTTACTATTAATAACAATCATTCAATAAACATTAATATATTTTGGAATAATGGAATTCACATTAATAAATATAAATACATATTTAAGAATAAACATTATTTGAGGAATACACCGGCGTTGCCACTCTCTCTGGTTGGGGTTCAACGGAAAAGTCTATACAACCCAATACACTGCAGTACGTGGATTTGACTGTAATAAGTATCGACGGTAAGGCACTGATTGAGCAAGTCGACGATGTGAACTAAAGTTACCGACAAAAACACAGCACCTATTTTCTTTAAATAATTGTAATAACGCTTTTTTAAAAGATGAAATGAGAGCTTCTTGTTGTATCTCTTCAATGTATCTTCCGCAAAAGTTAGATTTGTACATCCTTGTCTACAAATTACAACCAAAATCATCACAACTCATTCGTTACGTCTTCGATAAACTCGCTCCGGCCCATTTCGCGATGATTCATCCGCCAAATCTTAATCGATTCACACGATGACGAAGAAGCAATTGTCGCCCTAGAACAGGACAACGGCAATTAAGTCCAGCTTTCTTACACCATGTTCTAATAGTTATTTCAAAAAAGTTTTTCCAAGTACCCGCTGTAACTTAAAGCCCTGTTTTCCTAGCCCGCTCTGGTTTATTAAACACTCGCTCCGCTCAACTGCCGTTTTCCACAAAACATCATATAAAAACTTTAACAAATTTGCAGAAGAATAAGAATAAACAGTAATATTAATAGCAATCATTCAATAAACATTAATTAACTATGGAATATTGTATTCCATTATTATTCCATTAAAAAATATTAATACATATTTAAGAATAAACATTATATTATTTTTTAGTCACTATCAATGCTCATCAGACTTATTTTCACTTTGCGTTTCTTGACTCGTTTTTAACATAGTTTTTAATTCTTGTGGCAAAAACTCATTTCTCCTTTTTTTTTTAATTTTGGAAGGCTTGTTATATAGCGATCTGATAAAGTTAAAAGCATTTTCATCATATCTTCTAAAGTTTTCATTCTAGAGTTAGTGAAGAAAGTGCTTGGAGTTCTTATTGCGGAATATTGAAAGCACTAACCAATATTCCCCCGTGAATAAAAATTTTGTGAAAACTCTGAGGTCTGTAGTATATCCGACATTTAATTTAATATTTCGTGATAACCACGATAACATTTATTACCTTTTTTATTTTCATTTGGTCAAGGTTCTCATAATTGTCCAAGTCAGTCATATCACGAATATAATTAACAACTACGCCCTTTTCTTGTCTCCATATTTCTAATATGGTCCGAAGAGAGATAACAACCGCCAACCTAAAAAAATAAAAGCATAACTTTGTAGATTACAGCCAGTTACAGATCAATATATCATAAATGGAAATTACGAAATGTAATTAGAATAATACGGTTTAGATTACTATTAATAAGCGCCAAAAGCAGTAGTTCTTGTCCATAAAAAACAGAGAATAAATAGCATTTAACTAGATAAGGTATATTTTGGTGACACTCTTAACCGCACATATTATGAATAACTACGTACAAATTCACTTAGAACATAATATTTATATATATTTACCCATTCTATAACCATCGCGAAGAAATTCACACTTCACATTCACAACGCACTACTATACAACTTGCACAAATGACATCCAAAACTAAGTGCCTGACGAAACGCTGAGTGATAAAAAAATCCAGTTTTAACAGGTACGCAGTGGGCTTAGTGTTTGCGAATCGTGTTGAATTTTCCCCATTTCATGTTAGACCGTTTGCAAACAATTTTTTTAAAGAGGTACGACTTAAAATATTGCATTTTTTTTTCGCATTTATCGGAGCCAGATAATCAACACTGACCTTCGGGCGCTGGTGCCAAATAAACTCATGACTCAAATGCCGTTTACAGCACTTATCGCATACTAGTATATTATTAAACACAAACATCTACAAGTTTTCGGTGGTACAGAGTCCACCCGTTTTTGAAGTTTAAAAACTGATTTATAAATGAATGGAAAATACCATGATACGATATTAATACATGATTTAATAAGTTTTTAAGAATTTTACGTAAGTAGATTTCACGTGATTCATTTATATGAGCGAAGAAGTAAACATAGTTATCACTAATATTGTCTCCTCTCAAGGCGCTTGAAGTGTATTACTGAACTCCAAACGTTTTTAGAGTGTAACCACAACATCAATAAAGTCATTTTCGGGACAAACCCTCTCGATCTGGTAAACAAGGTTTGCAAAGGTTCAGCAGCGCGTGAGATGGCTTTCAGCGGTGATTCTGGAGGTCCTTTGGCGATCAACGGTACCGTTATTGGGGTGGTTTCTTGGGGAGTCAGCGGATGTGGGACCGACCTCACCCCCAACTGTAAACGTCAAAGTCTTGAAATACATCGACTGGATTGAAAAACATTCTAGCGGCGCTGTACCGTCTGGTTTGTAAACTTTTATAAGCCAGGAATAAAATTTTAATGAAAAAAAATCTAGCTATTATTTATTTATTAACTATAGATTTTGCGGTCAGATTCAATTGCTACATAAAACTTAGGAAAAATGCACAGGAGAGAGAAATAAATATCTAAAGTAAGCTATGTGATGTTATGTTATACTTACTTAAATCTGATTTCCAAACCTACCTTCGGTAGTAAAAAAATCCAAATGCTCGTTCTCATTGGCCAGCCGGGCTGCCATTGCCTTGCGTATAGGTGCCAAAAACCAAATTTTTGACAGAATAGTCTGCATAGAGAGACAAAAACAAATGGAATTAATAAGTTGAGACGCAACTTAAAAGCTATATAGCGAAGAAAACGGCGCTAAACTTGTTCGATTCGACGAATATGACATTGACAGGATTCCATAGAGATGAAGCATATCCCAAGTGCGGTCGAACCAGAGCACAATATAGGAGTTTTATGGAATTTACGTTTTGAAAATGTAATGACGACCCCTTAATAAAGCCTAACATTTTATAATGATTAAAGGTAAAGCCGCCAAGATCTTTAAGATTTTAGGTTTTCATCCATCCAAGTAGGCATTTTGAGAAATTGGGGTGCATACCATTCAAGTGACACCGTTCTAAATCCTCCTGTAAACGAAAATGATGTTCACGAGTTCCAATAATCGAGAAGACCTTTAGCTCATCTGCAAAAAGAAGATAATTAACATTATGGAAACAGACAGCTATATCATTTGTAGATATGAGAAAGAATAGCGACCCTAAGTGAGAGTCCTGAGGCGCCCCCGAATAACTGGAAAAGGCTCCGACAAGTAATTTCTATTCCACCAACCTGACGGCGACGCGCCAGATACGACTCGATCCACTTCAGAAGTCGGCCTGTAATTCCTTCGCACACAGTTTGCCAAGCAACACTGCTTAATTGATCCTATCAAATGCTTTGCAAAAATCAGCGTCAACCTGATATCCCGCTTCCAAAGCTCCAACGCTTGAGTCCGTGTACTTAATTAAATTCAAAGTTGTTGACATTCCCGATTGAAAGCCATATTGATGATCTATAATTGTATTTTTGAAAATGGGATTAAAAATTGTGTTATTAAGTTTTCGAAAAACCTTGGTATGGCACTTAATATAGACATGGACTATAATTTATAATATCGGGACGTTCCCTTGTTTAATAGATGGAAACAATGTAACATGAAACATGTAACACTCAGGGCCAAGTCCCTTACTTGGATTGAGTATACTCAATTTGGTGTAGATCTCAGAAACTTAACTTAACTGAAAGGGGGGTTTAAGTTTTTGTTTACATACATAACTTTGAAATAATCCGCAAATAAATTCGCTTCGCCAGAACCTATTTCAAAGCAGTATTGTGATATCTAAAGCGATTTGGCAAAAAATATTAGTGCTGCGCTGTGAATTTATATAAGTTCCAAAATGATTTAATATTTTCTGGAAGCCTCGACTCTGTATTCTGGACAAAGTTTCGGCTGAGCAAAACAGATCCTTGCAAGCCTTCCTGAGACTAGAGAATTCTCGATAATGGTCAATGGTAGAATTAGAATCCTTAAATTTTTTGTATGCCATTTTTTTCAAGAGAATTTTGCATTTTAAGTCTCGTGTAAGCCACTTAGGAAACTTGCTCGGAGCTAGCTTTTTGAAGGGTACAAATCTTTCGATTATCGTGTAAAGAACATTATAAAATAAAGCACATCGTCAAGAAATCAATCCCTCTACCAATCAATGGAACACAGAGCATCGTTTATTAGAAAGTAATCCGCATTCTTAAAATTATAAAAATATGATTCGGTAGTGACGCCTGAAGCATAGTTGCAATAATTATTAGTTATCTCGAGAGAAAGAGTGGGATGGTAGCTCTGTGACCGAACTAACTCGCAAAGGGCCCTCTCAACCATCAGGGACTGATCAGGAGCAAAAATCATATCCAAGCAGCGCTCTCTTGCGTTAACAACCATATTTTGTTTGAAAAAAAAATTGATTAGAACAAAAGTCTTTCACCAAGTGCAACATTCTAGTAATTGACCGGATTACCGCGCCGATCGGGGAGGGCGTTGAGTCCATACGGCTTGCGGAACATTGAAATCGCCAGCACGGCACATCTGTATATTTCCGCTATTCTCGGCGATTATGTTGCGCTCTCTGCAAACAACTCGTGGACTGTCAGTGGAGATGATGGGGATATGTAAACAGATTACAAGATCAGTCGTCGACTTCCTTTTCCGATGGAAACAAAAATTTGTTCAATCTCATTAGAGCTTTGAATCCGTCTTGAACTCATTGAGTGATGCACTGCAATTAAACATTCCCCTCCCCTGGAGTTAGCACTGGTACTTGCTGAAAGATCCACCCGATAGACAACATACTCGTCCATACCCAACGCCGTATCAAAGTAACTGCCCGTCAACCACGTCTCCGACAAAATAATTATCTTATATGAAGATACTGAAGCACTGCTCCTTAAAGTTAGAAGTTTAGCTCTTCGCCCTCCACAGTTTTGATAATAAATCGCCAATATCTAGCGTAGATATGTTCGCGCTCACTACTTTTTTAACTGAATATTACATATTTGATCACTTAATCAGCCTCTGCACTAGCCTTGAGTCGTTCGAGCTCAGCCTAAACTGCATTAAACGTTTTTACCTAGGCCGAAGTCAAATATTCATATTCTGTCACGTGCTCCTTACTTTGAATAACTCGTAACGGACGAATGCTTTTTTCATGTGGACTACCAAAACGGGATACTACTTGTGGTGTACCAGGATCCAGCCAAATCTCTCAGTATCTGATCACCCTTAATTTTAATTTCGGCCTTCGAATGTAAAAAAAATCCGTTACTTACCAATAAAATGATCTAACGGACAATTTCAAAAGACACACAAAAGGAGTTTAGGGATTTCAGTGTTAAACATAAAACACAAAAAAAAATTGTCAATTTTTGTTGCTTTGACAGTTAGCATCAGTGTAGTGTGGGTAGCGTCATCCACAGGCGATGTCTTAAAATAATTGCCCATTTGGGTGGGTGACATAACATGGAAAGGTTTAGAATCGTCAAAACCAATGCATTGACATTTAAATTCCACGTATTTAATACACTGTCAAAGTAAAGTGTTGTGTATTTTTCTTACTTCTGAACTAATATCTACACTTACACTACCAATATAAGTAGATAATTAATTTATTAAATAATTAGAAACACATGTATAGCGCAACGCTGGCTAATGTCCATTTTTCCTTATTTTCTAATGCGCATGGGACCCTCAGGCACAGCACTTTTTTCTCCCTGTTCGAGCTTTCGTATAAAGGTACTTGGATATATTTATCGTCGCCCGGATTTCTCTGAAAACAAACATATGAAACGATTATAATATTTCTTGTAGCTCTGGGGTTAGAGGAGCAAGTGAAACCCGATAATTTTCTTTCAACAGAAAGATCTCTTATTAATTATTGACATATCCCCTAAAAAATATTTTACCGGTAATATCTTTAAATATTACAATTCGCTGATTTCGAGTTTTCAACATAAGTTAAGAAAGCTCGAAAATGTTATTTCTTGGAATGTTTTCATTAATATTACAGAATAAAACCATTTATTTTAAAACACAGTTTTTACATTTAGTGACTCCTAAAAAGATAAACTGGTAAAAAACAACAGGCAATAGCAAATTCTGGTTCTTACCATTGCGTTTCTTTAAAAAAACCGTCCACAATTTCAGATTTATTTTTTTCATTACGTAACTCATTCTTAACAAGATGTCTTTTAGCAACGTCGAAATCTACCGACAGTTCAACATCCATTTTGCTTCAAACATAGTATAGATTTTAAAATTTCATTCTATTATTAAGATGACACAATTAAATTAGAACAAAAAAAAATTCATATTTTCACAGTTATTTATTACTTTATGACAGCTGTTTCGACAACACCGCGATAAAACAGCAGTCACAATGCAATAAATAGCTGTGAAAATATTAACATTTTATTTGTTTTAATTTAAATAGATTAAATAGATTAAATTAATAGAGTAAATAGATTTTCATTATGTAAAAGCCGCCTCTGTTCAATTATAATAGATTATAATAGATTATATATCGACAATATTTGGAACAAAATATCGTTTTGAACATCCAATCAAATAACATATGATTTTAAAAATATGTGTTTGTTTAGTAATACTGAACAGATTAACTTGCATTTTTGAGGAAAATTCTGAGTAATCATTGTAAACAGTTTCTCATTCCGATCCGTTATCCTTACTTCTAAAATAATAATTTTTTTTAGAGAAATCCCGCTTCTTTTAATCTTGTTGTGTTTGTTCGAATTACGAAATCATACAGAATATCCAAAAAATATATATATTAAAAAATAGCACAACGATTTATGTATAAAATCTCAATAAATGTCCCTATATTCGTATGGGACTTTAGTATTGAACTTTTTGACGGTAATATCAAATATGTAGCATATGCCTAAATGAAAGAGTGTCCGTGTGTAAAGGTTTATGATATATTGAAAAATCTAATTTGTTTTGCGCTTTCGTAATGGTTAAGTCTAAAAAATTAATAGAGTTATCCTTTTCAATCTCGATAGTGAATTTTATAAGATTATGTATTGAGTAAATATAATTTAAAAAAGAATTCAATTGTCTGTCCGTTCCAACAAAGCAAGCAAAAACATCATCCACATATATATACCACCATAAAAAACTTTTACTTAAAGCATGTTCAAGTATGATATTTTCCAAATTATCCATAAAAATCTTGGCTAACAAGGGACTAAGGATAACTTTATTAATTTTTTAGACTTAACTACTACGAAAGCGCAAATACAGTCATACATAACAGCTCAAATCACCTTTATACACACAAAATGACTGCATTTAACTCTTTTATACAGAGATTTCTTAATAAGCCACTCTCAACAGAAAATTACAACAAAGAACTTAATATCATTAAACAAATTGCACTGAACAACGGCTAAAATCCGTCCATTATAGATAAAATTATAAATAAAAAACAAATACAGACAACAGTAATCTCTATTTATAAGAAACCTAATACAGAACACGAACAATTTAAAACATACATACATAGGAGAACCTAGTGAAAAAGTTTCAAAAGATTTGTCAGGATGTGGTTTAAAAATAGCTTTCAGAAATAACACAATAGGAAAATATTTATAAAACAATAAAACAAAATGTCCAAAATCCCAAAAATCAGGTGTCTGCAGGTTGAAATGTGGATCATGTCCTAAAATTCATATTGGACAAACAGGTAGATCCTTCAAGAATCGCAGTAACGAACATATAAGAGCGTTTAAAAACAATAGTCTAGATTCCAATTATGCTACACACTTAAATACAGAAAAACACATTTTTGACGACAATTTTTATATATTACATACAGCCACAAAAAGTAGAAAATTAAATTTATTGGAAGCCATGGAGATTAACAAAATGAGACATTCAAATGTATTGCTTAACGATCAATTAGATTTAAATACCTCTCCTTTATTGAACAACATTAATTAAGATTTTATGGACATTTTTCGGTATATATAGTAGCAGGTAGTTTGTAAATATTACATTTGATAAAGACACGGTGTTGTGGAAACAATTGTCATGTCAAAATACATAATTTCGTGAAAATCTGAACTTTTAATTGTTATTTATTTTGAATAATTTTTGTTTATTTAGTGGAAAGAGCTAGGCATATCAACAAATGTTACTGAAGATTTCGGGCAAGTACAGAAAACGTAATAACATACATGCTCTTCGATGTGAATTTTCATTTATTTCAGATAGAGGCGGACTATGGCCATATACCAAAATTTGAAAAACAAACCTTATTGTAAACTTCTGATAGGACATTCAGTTGCAGAAAAATATCATTTACCTTGGCGCTCCAGCTCAAGTAACAATTGGGCGCAGCAACAATATTTTCGGAATTTATCGAGCAGGGTTTTAAGGTTCCATTTTCGAGAATTCCGCCTTCGATTAGTAAATCCGACACCGTTATAGATAAACCGTCGCCATGCGCGCGTATCCAATTCGTTTCGAGGTAAACTTCTTCCAGTGACACGTTCTCATTTCTGAAAAGTAAATAATTCCTGGTTTTTTGTCAAGTCTGCATGGTTTGAACTTGACGTAGTTAAACAAAAATTGCAAAACTGGGCGTATTTTATTCCACACTGTGTCCACGGATACAATAGACAAGGTGGGAAATAGAATAAATTATAAGAATTTATGCTAATTGCTTTGCGAAAAAAATTCAAAAATATAAAATTTGCTAATGTGAAAAGTGGATCTTTTTATGTGTGTTCAAATGTTGTTTTAAATTCTAAAATCACAATACAGATTTTCAAGCAAAAATTTAAATTAAAAAAAATATTATTCCATTATCACTTATTTTATTTGATTTCACATTTCATAATTGTTACGTGTTTGTCAAAATAAAATATAATATACTAATATCACATAAAACAAGAAAGCCGGTATAAATATCTGCATCAACTATCACATTAATTATGACCTGGTATATGAGCCTTTTATGATAGATGGTCTGGAAATTATACTCCGATATATTGACGTTTTATAAAATGTTTAACAGTATATATAACTATCCCGCTCTCCGCCAGTGCATTGGTATCACCATCTACCAAATCCGGCAATGTTTTGTATTCAATTTCATCACGCCAACTATGGCTCCTTTATTTGGAACGTTGAGATTATTTATTTAACAACTGCTGTCTTGATCCCCCTTTGATAGAAGTCCTCGACCATTTAAGACAAAATTAAATAAAGTGGTTGAATGTAAATAATAATAAAGAATATTTATAATCCAAAATTACAGAGAAAGCGTGAAAGTGAATCATTAAGTGCTTGTTATTCGATACATGGTGTCAAAACTTCTTATAAGGTATAATTTAAGTAAGAGAGAATATGCTGAATGGGTTTCATTAACTTTAAAAGAGTTTATTATTTTATGTAGAAGTTTTTTGTCTACGAAATTCGTAATTTTTAATTTACTATATATTCAAATTCAAAGAATTTGTATCTTTAATATTATTTAAAATAACCAAACTTCTTAAAAAAGGATAAAACAAATACTTAAAATAATTTTAATATATCAAAAAGTCCAAGCAGATTAATAGTATAAGTTAAAAAATCAAATCACTATAAAAATCGCAATATACTTAGAAAATTTGTATTTTCGAATGCTAGTATGGCGTTTATGGATAATAGTTGATGGCACCCTTCGCTAAAGTGACATCTAATTTTAATGAAGAGGTCATTGCACACTTGTGATTTGAAAATTTCTGCTTATCTTTAAATTACATAATAATTCATATTTACAATACAATTTTGAAGCACAGAAAAAATATTGATGACAATATAAAATCCCAACAAAATGGATCAACATGGATTAAACTACTTATTTTTTCAATAAGGGGTACTTAAGTACTTTTGCCTAAGATATACTTACTGCAGCACTGTCTAAAGGTACATTTATGTATATTAATTATTTCGTCATATTTCTATTAAAAAAAATTATTTAAAAAAAAGTTTTTATTTAGAAAATTTATATGTTATACAGAAAATACATAAATTAAATGTCGATATGAATATCTAAAGAAATAGAAGTCAGCATGAAAGATTCTATCTTAATATGTAGTTTAAGAAAAAAATTAAAAAGGGATATTTCCTATATTTCTTTACTAGTATGTTATTTAGTATGTTTAGTATGTTAACCGGATGAACGATGGAAATAGCGGCACGCTCTTGAATTTCCGTTTATGGATTGTCAATAAAAATCTAAACATCAACCTGAACTTCTACAAGTTAATGATAACAAAGAGAGGTTATCAGCACATACCTGTAAGTATAACATAAATTTCAGTACAATAAGTAGCGAAAAAGTCGATCTTGACTGCAATCTGCTTGGAATCGAAAAGAAAAACTAATCATTTGCCGAAGAAATCGCATGAAAATGAGACTTTAAGCTGATCTGTAACTTTGATGCCGTCTTAGTTATAATATGTTTCGGAAAAGCCAGTTTTTACTAGAATCTGTCTTAAATCAGGAAGAAAATTAAAAATAAAAATTAATACAAGAAAGTGGATTTTTAAGTCTCTGTGTCTCACAAAGAGGGGTTTTAAGTTTAAACCCAATCAAAATCCAGAGTTTTAAATTACTTTAAAGATGTAAATATTTGGTGTGCTATTTCCTATTATCGAATTATCTGATAAGACATACAAGGAACATTCTTATTTGGACATGTTGGAAACATATTTAGCAGACATGCTCTTCAGTATTTCCAAAATATGTATTTTCACAATGGTCCAATTTTATGGCAGCCTGGAAGGGCCGATTTGACAATTTACGATATGTTTCGTTGGAAGAGTCTTAAAGAACTGATATATCGAAGACGCTTTGAAAATGTCCAAGAAGTTTTAAAGCAGAGAAGTAGAGAATTGAATTTTTAGGCAAATCAAAGGCCTAATAAAACGTAGACATCTAGCAAATCCGGACACTTCAAGCCTCAGTTTAATATATACATTAATTATTAAACATTGATTTCAATACAGAGAGAAGTCATAGAAGAAAGGAGAGGGCAAGCGTGAACCGCAGAGTAGTTTTGCGATTGTTGGTTTTAGTAGATACTGTCATACTGTTCATTTCAATATGCAATATTAGATTACAAATATTCCCTGTTAAAATTTTGAAATTTTCTTAGTATGAAAGGTGCAATCAAGTAAATAAGGTGATAATGGGACTTAACAACGTTTTAGTCTCAAATTGAAGCAAAAAAAAAATAATATTCTGCTTGAAAAACTGTAATATGATGATGTATTTTAAAATATAAAACATTTGTATTTAAGCTGAAAAAGGACTACTTTACTATTTAGCTTTGCATTTTTTTTGTACAAAATAGCATTGCGAACCTTGTTTTTCAGGCTTTGAGAGCTTTTATAAAGAAGGACTTTTTTCCTTATTTTTCTCATTTTTCTGACTGTCCCTTGTTTACTAGAACAATAGACATATTGTTTGTGCATAAAATGTCTATTTAGTAATTTAAACACTGAGAAATTTCAACCTGTAATGAGTAGAACATCAATATTAAAACAATAAATACATAATTTTTATCCTATAAATTTTGCTTTTGATTTTCTTCTTATTGCCCCTGTGAATTCCACCAGTTTTTTGAATGAAATAGAAAACTTGCAAGACTCGGTCATTCATGTGAATAACTTTCTACCATTCTTACCTCGAAAAATCTTGTTTGGTGGCCGCTACGAATCCTTCGGGACAAAAGAATTGAGCCAAATTCACGCCCGTTTGTAAAAAGCTGAAACGATCCCGTTTTTGTAGATCCTGTATTGCAACGGCTTTAATTAGGAGCCTCTGTAAATAGCTGTTCGGATCCATGGGACCCTTCCATTTGTCCAACCAGATATCCGGGGTCTACGGAAAATAGCTTTATTGTTATATTCCCTTAAAACTAAAAATAAAACGACTTCTCGAGCAATATACAGGTTCTACCAATAGGAATAATGGAACTTCTAAAGGTTGCAAGGTTGCAGACGGTCAGTGTTTACTGCTTTAGAATTATCACTACCAAATTTGCACGTAATTGCATTCTATTAGCCGGAACCAACTACTGAAAGCCTTGCTGTATTAAGGAGAAGAGCTCAATGTGTCAATCATGTTTTGGGGAGAATGTTTTATAATGAGTGGCGCTTTTGCAAAATACAAATCAAACTTTCTTAGTACAACTTAACAAGACGTCCATTTTACCATTTTAAGGTAAGTGTTTTGTTTATTATATATATTTCAAAACCTAAGGTTCTCTAAAAAACTACTTTCCAATTCATTAAAAGAAAAATATCATAATAATCATATTTTAATCTTAATAATCTTGTATTTGTTTGTTATGGTGTTTATATTGTCCTTTTGTAGTTGGAGCAGAATATGGAAAACAATATGGAATTAAAAATGATGAAGTTTAAAGAAGAATGAAAAAAAAACTTCCGCGCATTTTTGTTTCCCAGGAAGACTTATCTAACACCTAATGGAATGGCAGTTGTTAACGATGGCGATGAATGTCACACGCAGGAAGAAATATTACATGTCACAAAAATAATTATGACCAATGTAATGTGCAATAAACAAAGAGGTGTCAAAACAAATCAATTTAGTGCAATATTGATTTATCTCCAATGAAGTTACCAGTGCAAAACCATTGGTTTATAGTGCCCGTCTCGGGCTTTAAACCAAGCACAGTTTATGAGACTGGTTATTCAAAGGACAGAAAATTGGAGGAAATTTTGCAAAGAGAAAATAAATAAAAATAGTAAAATTTAAGTTTCAAAAAAAGGGATCACAACTTTTTTATAATTAAATATGTTCGAAAAAATTTGCGAGTAGAAGTTGCAGAAATATATTAAAATTTAGTGCCTCCAGGTACCTCGTGACGTCACAACCAATGGAGTAGCGTTTTTGCGTGATGTCAAAATTAAGAGTGCGGACGAGATTTCTAGGATTAATTATAGAGGAAATATATTCTTGCTTCTAAGAAAAAATATTCTGGAGTGTAGCATTGTATTTTAGAATGTAAATTTAAAGTTATCATGTAAATTCAAAAATATGTGCAAGAAGCTTATTGAATTTGGAATTCGAAAAGTAACGGTTGATTTTGCGGTACACTCGTTCAACTGTTCCATCGGGCTCTAGGTCTTATGTTCCTCATGTACTTCCATTTTCTTCTTCTTCTTCCAAACGATTCAAGCATTTTTTTTTCCATATATTTTTAGAATCTTTTTTCGGCATTCGCAGATATTCCTAGTAATTTTGGTTAGTCAGATAATCTGATCTATACTTGCCAACACAGAAGCGACATTATATTCAATTTCAAATAAATAGATCCGCAGCTGTCCATCTTGTGCTTTCAACACTCTTGGCGTCGTTCAAACACCATAGCGTCTTAATAGATGTCTTAAATAAAACATAATACATTAAATTACTATCACTTCGTTTAAATTTTTTAACACTTTAAAATTTTATCGTTTCTATTGGTAGAACCTTTACGATAAAAATGTTTTTAAAGCAGCACCACCGCAAGCTACCTTATAATTCAATAAACTCAAGGCGATCATTCTGTCGGTATCGGTTGCCTCCACGAAGCCCTTGGAGATGTTATTTAGATTTATGAAGTTCTTGTGGATGCTTTGTATGAGTTCGACGGCTAAAATCACTTCTTCAACTAAAAACGTTTCCAAAGCTGACGCTGAGTTTTCTCGTTCAGGAATTGTCATTCTAATAAAATCTAGCCCATGGTTAACCTTTTTCCACAAATTTAGCAGCGGTTGGAGATTTTTATAATCTATTTCATTTGTTGCCATCCCTACTTGAGTGTGCATGGAGTAAAACCCTGAAATTCAAAAACCATACAATTGTCTTTACATCTTTGATGATGAATAAGGTTAAGCAATACAAAGACAAATTTTAGCGCACTTGGTATGAGTGCGGTAAATTTGTACCAGAGGTAAGCTTATGTCGTAATAATATTGGCGTTGAAACTACGACTGAATATTTCAAAATTGCTGCTCTCAAAAGCAGAATAGAATAGGTAACTGAGAGCAAATAGTGGAAAAATACCATTAAGGAATGCAATAAATAACAAAATACAAGTTAAATAACATATTTAACATTTATAACGTCAAAACCGCGGTTTAAATTGGCATTGCATATTCAATAAAAAAATAATATTGCTAAACCTATTTTCCTAATATAACCTAAGCGCATGGCAACTTTATAAGGAGCACAAGCAAACAGGCTTATAAAGTGATTAAATTAAAAGCTTCTTACCAACTTGGTTCTTTACTGCACTACTCACTATATTACAAAGTGTTAATTTTGATTATTTTTGATTAGTTTAAAAAGATTCTTTCCCTCGTAGGAAATCACAGAAGGCAATTTCTGTCATTTTGAAAGGCACACTCGTATTTCTTGAAGTATCAGTGGTTCTGGATACGCTTAACGCGTTTCACATCAAACGGCAACTGTGACAGAATCAATATTTTTCATTGGTTATTTACAAAAGTGACATTAGAAATGACCTTTTTAATACAATTATCGGTATGTATTTTAAATCTTAACTCGTCTTCTATTAAGAGTCCCAAATTCCTAACTGTGTTAGAAATGTAGAGTTTTTCTGTATCTACAATAGCGATTAATTGGTTTCAACATTGTGTTCTTGAAGTGGCGCTCCCAAACAATAGTAAATCACATTTTTTTGGAGTTTAATTCCAAACATTTTCCGGAAGCACCCGCTGTTAGCTTAAAAGGACAAATACACTTGAAAGTCATCAGCTTAGTGTGAAGTGTAAGGATTAAAGAAAAGTAGCTCAACTATAGATAAGCGCGGAATGCATTGGCCCAGCATTGGAACGGTTTCCAAATATCTTCAAAACCCAAAATAATATCTACTATACTATATTGTCGACGAGGGATGTTTCCAATGTTCTGGAAATTGTGCTATAATTAAATTACGGAGAACTTTTAGCCTTCTATTTATTGGTGCAAGACAAGTCTTGATATGGTTGTGGGATACGATATAGATTGTATAGACACGTTACTATAGCACCGTTCTTGTAACCATGGAAGACGCAGAAAAATCTTAAGGAGCTATAATTTTCTTTTTGTGATGGTGTGAAATCAAAAATTATTCAGCTTCTGCAAATAGTATTGGGTGAGTTTGTAGAATCCAAGAGTACTGATGGATCAATGAGTACTCCTCCTGGATCAGTACAGGGATGGACAACCGTCGAGTAAAATTCATTATCTCATTGGTTTCAAAAGTTATGAGAAAATGGTAAATACAAAAGTTGCAAATTTGTAAATTTATTTTAAAGTGTACAGCGTGCGACGAATAAAACATACATTTTCTTGCGTACCCTATTTTAAATCTTATGATGCCTCAATTTTAAAATTCTGCAATTTTTAATTTATAATAATACATATCTAAACCTTATACTTTTTTCCAATATTTTAATTTAATCAAAAAACATACTAGTTTACACAAATTACAATAGCTTCATTCTTTGTAAAGGTAGATCACTCATATTTGATATTAGGGTTATTAGAAGACGACGTAAAATATATATGCAACGGAATTTAAACTAGATTAGAGACAGATAATTAAATCTCGATTTTCTTAAAGGGCAAATCATATATATCATTTTTTCTGAAAGACTTCACAAAAACCTACAATTTTTGTTAAATATGTCACATACCTATTATAAATAATTTGTGATTTATTTTAACTTTTACAATTTTCACAATTCTTTCTGTCTGAGACTATATAAAATCTAAACTATAACATTGGTTAACAGTATACTTTAAAATGAGATAATGAGATAATGATATAATAAAGTTTTACTCTTTCGTCGACTCATCCTGTATAGCAGTAAGTACGTAAAACAGGTGAAATATCACCAGAAGATCATCACGAGAAGGCGCCCAAGCACGTCAGTAAATGAAACAAACAATACTGCTATTAAAGACCTACTGAAAGTGGACAGACAAATGATTATTCATGAAATTAATGTGCCGCTAGGAAAATAAATGATTTACCATTGGAATTATCATCGGTTCCCAGATATGTAAGAACCCTTCCGAGGTATTCGAGTTGAAAGTTTAACTAACGAATCGAGGAGGAATCCAAAAGGTTCTCACTTATCGTCAAGTCAAAATTAACTAAACATCAATATCTAGTTCTTCAAGACTTAAAAAATAATAAGTCACCAGTAAAAGCGTCTTACAAGCAAAGTGATTGCCAGGACAAAGTTAAGCAGGTCATTGTCATTATCAGTGTTAACTAGGTCATTCCACATCTAGAATAGAAAAAGATGTATTTTTTCCAATGTTAAACCGCAAATCCACGAATTACTTATAATTTTCTTACTTATTGGTCACCGGAATTCCTCATTTTACCCCTCTGTATCTATAAATAATTTAATTTAAGATAAGTAATAATTTGATGAAAGTTTGGGCTATCAGTTAGGGTATACAAATATGTCTTTTGATGAAAATTTCTACCAAATTTCACTATTCAGCCATTGACAAAGTCATCGCTTATGGTGGGCCACCACTGCAGGTGGCCCACCATAAGACAGACCTCCAGCTGCAAACTGGAGTCTACTATCGTTATTTCTGTGTAGTAGCAATGCTTTTGCGGATTTTAAGCAAGAAGAAAACATTCGTCACGAAATAGTAAATTTCCTTTTTTGTGGACTTAATCCGCTGCTTACCTTTCAATTCCGCGACCAGCCTGGCTGACGACTGAATTTCCCAAGCTTTATTTACGTTATCTGGAAGTCCAAATGCGGACGGAGCATCTTTGTTCGGGAACGTCTTAATCGCGGCAATGTAATCCTATAAATGAACTCCGTTTTAACCCTCCTTGAAACCTGACTAAACCTGACTAACGGCACGTACTTGTATTTTAGCCGAATTCGGCAAATTTGTATTGATATCGAACGGCGACCATCTGTGGCTGGTTATTTCGTCTCTGAAATAGGCTCGGGCGTACGATTCCAATATTTTCATGTCGTCCATGTTCTCAACGCGACCCCCGTATACGGCATCACACATCAACCCCGATATGAACGACCATCGGACGTGTGTATTTTCATTTTGCCACAAATCTTCGATCAAACTAAGGCAAGTATTGAAGTCGGTGTTGTTGAATTCGTAGTATTTAGACCATCCTAAATTAACATACCCAGTATAGCTGAGACATACGTAAAACAGTAACGTAATGTTTTGAAACGGAACTCCATATCACTTGATTGGTGGTCCATAAGATTTCTTGTAAGGATGCTGACATGTGATCCAGAGAAATATCTGATAGATGGTCTAAGACGTCCCGGAAGAGGAAAACGTTTATGGATTAAAAATATAAGGGACATATACACCCAATCGAGAACCGCAAGGAAGAAAGAACAGTTTGCTAGGATTGTCGCCAACTTTCAGAAATGAACAAGGCACCTAAAGAAGAAGGATATTGAGTTAGACTAAACTGAGGTGGGTTTTACTTGATGAAAATCCATTTATTAAAATAAATAAGAACTAAAAGTTCAGATTTTCACGAAATTATATATTATGACATGACAATTGTTTCGACAACACCGTGTCTTTATCAAATGTAATATTTACAAACTACCTGCTACTATATATACCGAAAAATGACCATAAAACCTTAATTAATGTTGTTGCGAGAATTTAAGTTCAATAAAGGAGAGGTATTTAAATCTAATTGATCGTTAAGCAATACATTTGAATGTCTCATTTTGTTAATCTAAATGGCTTCCACTAAATTTAATTTTTACTTTTTGTGGCTGTGCGTAATATATCAAAATTGTCGTCAAAAATGTGTTTTTCTGTGTTTAAGTGTGTAGCATAATTAGAATCTAGACTATTGTTTTTAAACGCTCTTATATGTTCGTTAATGCGTTTCTTCTACCTGTTTGTCCAATATAAATTTTAGGACAAGATCCACATTTCAACCTGTAGACACTTGATTTTTGGGATTTTGGACATTTCGATTTATTGTTTTTTAAATATTTTCCTATTGTGTTGTTAGTTCTGAAAGCTATTTTTAAATCACATTTTGACAAATATTTTGAAACTTTTTCGCTAGGTCCTCCTATATATGTAATTGTTTTAAATTGTTCGTGTTCTGTATTTGGTTTCGGATAAATGGAGTTTACTGTTGTCTATATTTGTTTTTTATTTATAATTTTATCTATAATGGACGGATTGTAGCCGTTGTTCAGTGCTATTTGTTTAATGATATTAAGTTCTTTGTTGTAATTTTCTGTTGAGAGTGGCGTATTAAGAAGTTTGCGTATAAAAGAGTTAAATGCAGCCATTTTGTGTGTATAAGGATGATTTGAACTGTTATGTATGACTGTGTCCTTGTGTGAAGGTTTATGATATATTGAAAAATCTAATTTATTTTGCACTTTCGTAATAGTTAAGTCTAAAAAATTAATAGAGTTATCCTGTTCAATCTGGAGAGTGAATTTTATACGATTATGTATCGAGTTAATGTAATTTAAAAAAGAATTCAATTGTCTGTCCGTTCCAACAAAGCAAGCAAAGACATCGTCCACATATCTATACCACCATAAAAAACTTTGACTTAAAGGATGTTCTAGTATAATATTTTCCAAATTATCCATAAAAATCTCGGCTAACAAAGGACTAAGTGGGTGTCCCATAATCAAACCTTCATTAGAGATATAAATCTGTCCATTAAATTCAAAATAATTTTGGTCTAAGGAGAAAATAAGTTTTGTACATCAAACGACAATAACGTTGCGTTAGAATGGATTTTTAAATCTTTAATTTTGTTGATTAATTCAAAAGAATTTTTTATTGCAAATTTTGGTTTAAAATCTGTGTGGAATTTTAAAATATTTATTAATTTTGTATAGAGTTTAACTGCTGGAGGTGTTCAATAAGACACCACTGGTCTAATGGGCATATCTTGTTTATGTAATTTAACTAAAGAATATAATTTAGGCGGTTGTGGATTCATAATTGTTAAAAAAATATTTGCCTTTGTCACTAAATATTGGGGAGTTAGTAATTACATCCTTGACGTGTCTTTGATATAACTCAGTTGGATCCTGTTTGATACAAAGGAAAAGTTCTGGTTTAAGAAAATTGTTGGTTTTTGAAATATATTCTGGGAGATCGATAGTTATGACTGTCTTCCCCTTATCTGCACGTGTAAATATTATGTTATTTTCAGAAGCTTTGTTTTTGATAGTTTTAACTAGTGATATTTGAGAAATTTCTTTGTGTTTGTTATTATCTATTAATTGAGAGTTTATTATATTCGCTAATACATGTTTGTTTAAATGAGAATCGTTAATATAGTAGCAGGCGTTGTCGAAACAATTGTCATGTCATACTATATAATTTCGCGAAAATCTGAACTTTTGATTGAGATAGACACATAAACAACTTTCTATTTACACAAACGATGCTTTAGAGAAATTAAGGAAATCACTAACATTATAAATACTATATGAAACTGATTCAGCTTTAAATTCTGAAGGGTTTCTTGGTATTTTATGTCCGTACGCAGCAGATAAAAAAAAATCTAGAGTAAGGAGAGGTCTAAGGTTATCACAATTGCGGATATTATGACTACTTGTTTCACCATTTAATATAAATCGGTGTTTCTAAAAACATGAATACGAAATTGGAGAATAAGAATAGCGGCTAAAGGCAATAGTTGCAACATTACTCATGCTGTCTCAAACCAAGCACGCTCCTAAGAAACGCTCTTCTGGCTTTTACACATCAGAATATATGCTATTTTAGCATGATATTTATTAATAAATTGCATTTTTGAAGATTAATGTGATAAACAGTGGTTTTTCTAAGTTAAATGTTGGTCTACTGTAATTCCAAGGAACTTTGTGCTATCCACTTTTAGGAATCCTCTTTCAACTTTTATATTTAAAGAAAGTTCATTTCTTTGTTGGGGGCTTTGGAACCCGATGAAATTTGTTTTAGACGTCTTTAAATACAGAGAATTTCGGCTGAACCACTAGAACACTTTTGTACAAGATTTTTTTTAATTCTTGCTTCCACACAATCACGGTCAAGACTTTCAAAAATATTATTTATGTCCCACCCTGTGGGACATAAATAATATATAATAAATAAATAATATTCTTACTTACTGGAAGAAATAATCTCTCGCATGGCATGGTCTTTAAAAATTGAAGCGATATCTAATGGCAGGATAGGCACCTTAAAACATACACAAATTATTTTTGGGAAAAAATTTTTGCATTTTATGCAAATATTTAAAATAAAATATTGTTTCGATCATAATGTGTAGCCGTCGTCCTAGTCGTCCTCTTCTATCGTAAAATTTGTCTTACTTTTCTGCACTTACTTACATTTTAGATCATCCTTTTTCAGAGCTTAAGTACCTAAGCATAAACAGTTTCTTAAGTACTGCATCAATCTGATTAGACCACGCAAAGTATTCGTCAATAAAAACTCCCAGATATTTCACAACTCTGGTTTATTTAACCGTTTTATTATTTAATATTATTAAAAAGCACCATTTCTGTTTTTGATTAATTTAAAGCAAACCCATTTTGATTGCAAAAAGTTTTCATTTTATTTACCGCACCGGTTGATATTTTGGATAAAATATTTAAACCAGCATTTATTAGTTTCTAATTCAATGGTAAAACGTATGCTTGGGTGTATATAGTTTAAATGGTTAAAAAAATCTAGTAGTTTTTCTTGACCATGAGGCGAAATAACAAAAGTATCATCAATCATCATCATCATCATCATTCTTCTCAAAGGCTTCGAAGTTTGTTCAAAAATTTGACCGTTATAAGAAAAATATGTTCCAGACAAGCATTTTTCATTTAAGTTGAGAATGCTTGGTTCCATATTTTCGAATTTTAATATATCTCAAGTAATATTGATGGTTTCAGGAATATGGACTTTAGTAAAGAGGGATGTAATGCTTTTTAGTTGTTAAATGAAATGAAATCAATGGTGCTGACTATAGGTCGAAGAAGTAATCCTAGTTTGAGAATTTTAGAAGTCCCTAGAGACGAGGAATCTCAGAGCCACGAGGGGAGACTTTTTCACGGATTCTGATAAAGGAGAAGCCCTAATAACAGATTTAAGATAGCGTTCCATAGATGACGTAGGATCTCTTTTAAGTTAACGATATGATCCGTCTGAGAGAATATCTTGAATCTTTTGGAAAACTATTGTACACAATGTGCTGAGCAGCGATAAGAAAATATCGTTCTGAGCATCGTTCATTCGCCTTGATGAGCCATTGACCATATTGCATCTCAAGGATAGTCCGATTTTTCCGGATGCTACAGAAAAACAGCTCGGTCTAATAAAAGGAAAGAAGTCACAATTTTATATCCAGTGTGAAAACGATTACTCGTGTGTCTATTACCATGAAGAACCATGAAAAACTGACATAAGGTTTCAGTGTCAAATAATACAAAGGTGAATATTCAAAACTATATGTCAGCAAATGATTTTGTTTTAAGAAAGTTGCTAAACCAGTTCAAGAAGCGTAGTTGGTTAAGAGGCAATAACAATCATAAATACCTTGAGGTATGTAATTCCTTCTTTCTTGTAGAAGAGCGTGAACGCAAGCGAACGCAAACAGAATCCTAGCAGATGTATTGTTGAGAATGTTCAAATGTTTCGCTTCAATCAAAGAATATATTCGCAAAAGATTATTCTTCAGTCCTTGCGGCTCCTGGTATGCCACCTTGAGGCTATTCTGGGCCAGCACGAAATTGAATGTTTGACACGGCTCGGTTATCAGCCACAATCTAGAATTGGAACCCTTTAAATCTGACCACTACTGTCGGATCATATAAAATACGTACCGAAATTCGTTATCGGTTTGCAGACGCTTCAAGTGCTGGCTCAACACCGGTAGCCAATACGTGACCAGATGGAGATTTTTGAGAATTAGCCAATGACCGGCAACCACGCACTTTTCCAATTCTTCGAGAGCTTTAGCTTCCTGTCCTTCCCCCATAGAAACCTGGAACCTCCAGATTCTATAGATTATTTCAAGATAAGGAGAAAGTAAAAAAGGACAGGGTTAAACAATTATGTATCTATAAAAAAAACCACAGACTACTGTTATACTATTTGCAAATACTAATTACAAATCAAGCTTGCTGATGTGTCGCCAATCATCCCGTTGACTTCAGAGATGAACTGAACCTGGCTCCCATTTTACTCTGTGCCTATTTATATACTGGTTGAGAGAAGCGGGGGTAAATTAGGGGCATGAACATTGTCGCGGATGATTAATTCCTATGCGGGTGAAAGACATGAGTCCCGGTTATGATCCTTTTACTGTTTAGAGATTTCTATTTATTCTTTACCGCATATGCATGAAATACTGTAAACTTCTGGTGTCTCAAACGGAATTTTGTATTTGATGGAACGAATATTTTGAGAGAGTTTTGCATAAGTAGTAATGTAGTCAGTAATGTTTTAAATGTAAGGACAACAGTGGCAAGTGGGGGTTGTTGTTAACAAGAGAGCTGATAATCGATTATTGTTGGGCCGGGTGATGATGTGACAATGCATATGAGTGATGATTTGTAAATGGTGCCAATTTTATAACAATGCTCTAGAGTAAATTAGTTATTTCAGCTGTCGAGACCTGGATCATAATAATAGGAATCATAAAAAATAACGCAAATTTGCCTCCTTTCAACCGACATTGCATTTCTTAAGGTTTTCGGAATCCCAATAATGAGTGTCGAATTTCAGTCACCCTGTACATATTGTTTTAGACCGGACCTAATTGGCAAAGCAATACTAGGCCTGAAAAAGGTGCACTCCATTAGACTCCACACTGCGTTCTTTGTGATACTTGGAATATAGCAAAGCATCATAGAGAGTTTGATTTGGTTGACACAAAATTGGTTACCTCTACGTATTTAAAGTTTCGCGCTTTTGCTAGATCCGATATTTCACATGAAGGATCTGTCCCCGATGAGGTGAGCATTAGTATAGGTTCATCACTTTCGGAGTCCATAGCCAACTGTTCCAAATCCAAAACGGCTGAATCGACCATCTTTATATCTAAAACATTTGGCTCGGGGTATAAGATTAGAGTTTTTATTCTTATATGCTACCGGTAACTGTGGAAATGCATTTCTCCAGCGTCGACCACGTTCTGTCGGGTCGCAAAACTTGTACCACCAAAACTTTTTGGAATGCAGTCAGATGACAATGAGAAGGAAATTCATGTTCGCACTTGGAAGAACTCATGAAGTTTTTCCAAGCGATAGACTCGTTCAAGTTGAGTTTGTCATACAAATTTGGTAGAGACATCTGTGTAGTATTAAAAAAAAATCAATAAACATTATTATCTTGGTCATTTGATGCAAGAAACAGAAGTCTTTTGAATATTTGTGAAAATATAACGACGATTCAAAAAACACTTTAGGACTGGTCTGATTATTGATCGAAATTACTTATGGCAGTAGTTATTCTTGGATCACACCCACATTTGTAACACACCTTGAGATTTTTGAGTGCCACGCCTGACTGTCTCGGAACCCAATTAGGTGGTTCGTCGTCTTCCAAGTTCCGGCAAGGGCCAATGCCTAAAAACAACTTAAACTCCTCGTCGGGAATTTCACCGGGCAGTAGCCTGTGTATTAAATGCAAAACGAATGCCAGCTTGTCCTTTTTAAATACGCCCCTGCTCATGTAACCGTACACTGTGTGCAGAAGATTTTTCTTTTGGAGGTTTAGGTCATTCGCGAGCGGCTACGAGTAAAACTGTGTCAAACATTTGCACTTTAAACAGAACATTAAATAAAGACAAGAAAAGGACAGTCTCAGTTTTCTTATTGCGCGATTAAATCCAACAGTTCGCGACACGACTTCATTAGCTTCTCTTCTTGAAGGCATGTTATCTAGTAACAGCACAAAAATATACCGATTAATTTTTAGCCAGGACATTGGAAACCACAGAAATTCAAATCCTAAAAAATTATTTGACTCATGTGTATTAACAATATTTGGGCACCACTAGTGTAATGCTTGAATCCGTTTTTCGGTTTTTCCGTTTCCGTATTTCTAAATGTGAGCTGTATAATTTTACGTCGCTGTATTGTATCTGCTAACGGCTTTCCGAATATATAAAACACTTTACCAATATTCAATACTATAATACTTCATTATTAAATATTTTATTTAATTAGTATATTGCATCATAATTTAATATATTTAACAATTAGTTAGTTTTAGTTCATTAATATTATTTTATAGTATTAGTAGTACTAAACTATTACTTTAACTTAAAAAAATTATTCAAATATTACTGGGGAGACCTGGGTAGTCATATTATGGGACCGCGTGTGCCAATCCAATAACTAGGAAAATTATTGTCTAAATATGTATCTGGTAAATATTTACCAGTATTCTCAGATATCTATTTGCTGTGCTTCGTATATACAAAATATTGTTTTTCTACCTAAAATAAGACACGAAACACTAAAACCGAATCTGCCTTGTTGCTCTCGAGGATATACAACCTGTTCCTTTTCCTGAGACTAGTAACGACTATTTTGCGTGCTTGAAAATGTCGGCACCGGTAATACAAGCTTCATCAGACCAAATCATTTTCCTATAAAAATCCCTATGGATTTTGTTCTAACTGTCGCTAGAAATTAATTTCAATAATTTCTGGTCACAAAAAGATCCAAAATTAATTAGGTTGGATTTAAGCTTACCAAATATTTTTTTATTGGGTTATCTTCGTTCGTGCATAATACATTTGTAAAAGTTACAAAAAAGTAAAACAAAATTTCTGATACATTATACCGGTGCAAATACAATTCAGATGCTCCATCCGTATTTTCACGGCACAGCACAAGACAACACAGCATGTCATATAATTCGACAGACAAAGCGGTTTTTTGTTTCGGTGATAGCCAATTATTTAAAATAATAAATGTGAACAAAAATTGCACCGTAACAACTAAAATCAAAACCAAATGGTAACGTGCTATATATATATATATATATATATATATATATATATATATATATATATATATATATATATATATATATATATATAGCAGTGTCGTCACAATGTAATTATAATTTAGAAAAATAGTCCCAAGCCTCTATACATTAGGTGCCTTGTAAACAAAAAGGAGGTAACAAAAGGAAAAAAAGAAGGGAAAAAAACTGGACGGCTGGCGGTAGTCATATTAATAAAACCTTTCCATCATTTGCGTTTTGCGTTTGAAGTAAAATTCGTTTAAATAAAATGTAACAACAATTTCGTCTAGATGGCTGCCCTCGGTTATAATAATTAACGGTCGTATTTGATTCTTTCTGTTATCCGGATGAGTTTGGTGTTGGCCTATAATGGCGCTGTAGCAGTAAGTACTTTAACTAGAAGACTTTAGTATTAAATAACTAAGAGCCGCTTTCATATTGTAGCCCCTGAAGAAGAAAATAAACATTTTCGAAAGCTTGGTGTAGCACAAAAGCCTTTTATTTGAGCCCTCATCAGGACCGATACCCCAATTAACTAAAATTTGTTGTTCAACTAGCCGGTCACGACTACCGTTTTGTGTGTATATATATATATATATATATATATATATATATATATATATATATATATATATATATATATATATATATATATATATATATATATATATATATATATATATATATATATATATATATATATATATATATATATATATATATATATATATATATATATATATATACACACACAGAGTGTGGTGTTGCCGCCTACCGACTAAAAAAACCCACCCTATCTACCACGCAGGCACCTTTGTACCAGAAACCGCTTACGCATTACTTCGGTACAAGGGCCGGTCCCAGGAACTCCACCTATGTACTACGGTTTGCCCTAATATCTCTCTCCTCTGTACGCCTCCCTCCACGTATTTTCTTCACTCATCAGGCTTGCCATCATGTTGCGCGGGTTGAAGTTGGTACCTGTTGTACATGAGTACATAGTTCTTTGTTCCTTCCACCTGTGGCAGTGAAACAGTGTGCGCTCCACGTCGTCCAACAGGCCGCAGTACTGACAGTCACTGGTCTGGGCGCGTCCTCGGTCGGACAGATATTTTCCAAAGCAACCATGCCCCGATAGAGCCTGCGTGAGAAAGTAGTCCACTTCCCCACGCGGGCGATTAATCCACTGTTGTATGTCCGGGATTAACTGGTGTGTCCATCGGCCATAGGTCCCCGTGTCCCATTTCTTTTGCCAGCTGGTTTGGAGGATATTTCTTGCTTCGTTTTTTGTTGCTCCTGAGTATCATTGCCGCCGTTCCTCTATAAGTAGCGCTATCGGCGGGATCCCCGCTATTACGCCAATTCCCTCCGTGGACACCGTTCTGTACGCGCTGCACACTCTCAGTGATAGCTTTCTTTGTAGTGTTGATAACACAGCTATTAGTCTCTTATTCTCGGTAATCTTGCTCCAAACTGGAGCCCATACAGTATCTGAGAGTGTACCACGCTCGCTAGAAGTCTCCGTTTGGATGATCTTGGTCCACCTATGTTTGGCATTAGACACAACAGCGCAGAAGTCGTTTTTTCTGCCTTTTGCACAGTTCGCTTTACGTGCTCAGCGAAACTTAGCTTTCTGTCAAGCCACACTCCCAGGTATTTGACAGCGTCACTCAAGCCAATCTCACTACCCATAACATTGAAAACAACGTGGCCTATCTTCCGTTTTGTGGTTAACAACACTGCTTTGGTTTTCTCCGGCGCTAGGGCCAACCGTCTCTGCTCGAGCCATCGCGCAACTCTCTGTAGCGCCGTGTTTGCGTTGCACATCAGGAGCTCCTCGTTCTTTGCTACCACAATCATGCCGATGTCGTCGGCAAACCCTATTAGTGTCACTCCGTTTGGCATCTCCAACGAAAAAAGCCCATCATAGAGCACGTTCCACAGTGTGGGTCCAAGGACCGAGCCCTGTGGTACTCCGCTTGTTATGCCGATCCCCTTTGCCTGTCCCTGTGCCTCCAGTAGGAACTCCCTGTCAGAGAGGTATGACGCTATTAAGTTTATTAGGCCTTCGTCCATTTGGCGCTTTCTTAATTCCTCTAGGATTAATTGCCACGAGGCACTATTAAAGGCATTTCGGACATCAAGAGTTATTATAACCGCCAGTCTACGATTTGCATGCGCGAAATTTGAAGCCTTGTTGGAGATTTCAATAACCCTTGCTATGGCATCAACTGTTTGTCTACCGCTCCTGAAGCCATACTGCCTAGCCGACAGACCACCAGTACGCTCAATTTCCCTGTGCAGGCGTGTAATCACTAGTTGCTCGTAAAGTTTTCCCTCTGCATCCAGCAGGCAGATTGGTCTATAGGACGATGGGTTCTCCAGCGTGTGGTCGCCTTTCCTCAGCAGGATCATCCTAGCTGCCTTCCACTCCGCTGGAAAGCAGCTTTTTTCTGCTAGCTTATTATAGGTGGCTAATACATATTCAGGCTTTATCACCACCAGCTCCTTAAGGATTTCGGTCGGGACCCCTCCAAGGCCTGCCGCCTTCTTGTTCTTAAGTTTCGCAGCAGTGTTGCTTAGTTCATCCACGGTGAATACTACAGGCTTCGCACCATCATCGCGAGCAAACGATACCGCGTCATGACACGGAAATAGATATCGTACGATCTTCTCTGTTGCTTCCATGCTTAGGTTAGGTCGTGGCGGAAATCCAAAAAGGCTCTTCATCGCAATTTTGTAACCATCGCCCCAGATGTCACGATCAACGTCGTCAAGGAGCCGCGTCCAGCACCCTTTCTTTGCCTTCTTGATTTTGTCTCTGAGCGCTATCTTGCTTTCTCTGTATTCCTCCCATGTTCTTAGTGTATCTCGAATAATGCCATGTTTGACAGTTCTCGTGTATTTCCGTCGCTTATTTATACAGTCTCTACGAAGTTCCGCTATTTCGCTGTTCCACCAGTACGCAGGCTGTTTGTTCCTGAAACTCCTTTTCTTTGGCATTGAGATGTCACACAGCGTTGCCAACTCTTCTGAGAAATCTCTTGCCGATGGTCCGTCTTCGCCAAGCGACCCGATTGCATTGTGAAGCTTATTTCTGTCAAGTTTTTTGACTTGCCAGCCTCTGCATTCTCTTTGCCGTACCACTGTCGGGTCACTATTATTTACTTCAAAAGTTATGTAGTTGTGATCACTTAACGTTTCTGTTTCAACTACTCTCCATTGTCCGATTTTCATCCTGATGCCTTCAGTCACTATGGTGAGATCAAGAATAGAACCGTAGCCTTGGCTTTGAAACGTTGGCGAGTTTCCCTGGTTTACAGTGATTAAGCCGTTGGCGACCATCCACTCTGTGACCATTTCGCCCCTCGCGTCAGTATGCGTCATACCCCACTCAGTAGATTTGGCATTAAAGTCCCCAGCAATGATAGCCTTTTCGTTGTTGCCTTGCACCATCCTGCCGATTTCAAATAGGGCCTCGTCCAGTTGATCAATCTCGTCGTTGCCGGAGAAATAACAACTATAGATGGTAAAGTCTACCGTTTCTATAAAGCAATATCCGGAACCGCTACCCTGCCTTTTAATTGCTATGTTATTTCCAATGACGCTTACTATCAACACTTCTGCTTGCATGTCTATCGCGGTTGCCAGCGCCAGATCTTGGGCTGCGCGACTTCTGTTGGTATTTATTTGGAGGAATCTGATGATTGTGAGGGTGCGGTTGCTTTGTTTGGCGCTACCGCCGCCTGCACTTTTGATGGGCATCTAGGGGAGCCGGTTTGGTGGCCCTCTGCTTTACATTGGAGGCAGAATGGTTTATTCGAGCATGTATCTGCTTTGTGGCCCTCGTGCCCACATTTCCGACATAGTTTTTCTCTATCTGGCCCTTTACATTGCGACTTGACATGCCCTGATCCCCAGCATCTGAAGCATCGGTCTTCTCTCTGCCTTTCGTAAATTCGGCAACTAGTCCAGCCGATTTTTATCGTCTTTAGATTGATAAGTTTTTCCGCTTTCGCCTCGCTTACAATTAGGGTGGCATTTTGCCTGCCTCCGTAAGCTGGTCTGAGAGCTCTTACGTCTACATTACTGGGGTTGGTGCCCGTTGCCTTAGAAACAGCCTCTTTGATCTCGTCAGTTGTAGTAACTTCGTCCAGGTCTTTAACGTGGAGAACTTTTTTGCTTTTTAGCAAATGTGCAGTGGCCCCGGGTACCTTTCACCTTTTCCCTTTTCAGCAGTTCAGCTCGATCGGATTCATTATTGACGGTAAGTAAGACTTGGCCGTTTCTTGTTTTTCTAAGTTGTCCAATGTCGACGCCTATGGCGCTAGGATCTACAGCAGTTTTAACGGCCTTAAGGAGGTCCGTAAAGCTCGTGTCTTTCATTTCTATCAGCAGCGCATCTTCCTTGGGTTTCCTCGGATTCGTCTCTTTGTTGCGTTTTATATGCTGGCTTGGCTGATACTGTTCTCGTCGAATTTTTGCAATATGTACTGGCGTATCGCAGAATAAGAACTGCAACATTCGTGTCATTATGGTTCCGGTGATCTCATCGTTACCGAGAATCGCTATATTAGTTCTATCCTGTTTTATGACTTGGATTTGGATCCTGCGTAGAGCCTCGAGAGATTTATTTATGTAGAATCCAATGAATTTGATAGTTTTTTTTATTATTTTTTTAATTATGTCAACATTGTGGGACACCCAGTATAATTTTAGGTCATTTTTATTACATTCGCTAAGGGCTTTCCGAATATATATATATATATATATATATATATATATATATATATATATATATATATATATATATATATGATGACACTATACTCCGGGATATCATCCGTTCGCTAGTTGAACTCCGACTGGAATCCTGCAAATCCTGCATCCGACTGGAATCCTGCAGACGTTTCGCCAAAATCTCACTTGGCATCTTCAATGCTCGCGCTCCGAAAACACTTCGAACACTCACACATATATATATATATATATATATATATATATATATATATATATATATATATATATATATATATATATATATATTCTCACGTATTGATTCACGGATGGAAAAATGTGATGACACTATATTCCGGGATATCATCCGTTCGCTCGTTGAACTCCGACTGGAATCCTGCATCCGACTGGAATCCTGCAAATCTTGCATCCGACTGGAATCCTGCAGACGTTTCGCCAAAATATCACTTGGCATCTTCAATGCTCGCGCTCCGAAAACACTTCGAACACTCGAAGTGTGTTCGAAGTGTTTTCGGAGCGCGAGCATTGAAGATGCCAAGTGATATTTTGGCGAATCGTCTGCAGGATTCCAGTCGGATGCAAGATTTGCAGGATTCCAGTCGGAGTTCAACGAGCGAACGGATGATATCCCGGAATATAGTGTCATCATATATATATATATATATATATATATATATATATATATATATATATATATATATATATATATATATATATATATATATATATATATATATATATATATATATATATATATATATATATATATATATATATATATATATATATATATATATATATATATATATTCGGAAAGCCCTTAGCGAATGTAATAAAAATGACCTAAAATTATACTGGGTGTCCCACAATGTTGACATAATTAAAAAAATAATAAAAAAAACTATCAAATTCATTGGATTCTACATAAATAAATCTCTACAGACGTAATTTTATTTTTTCGATAGCTTGAATATTAACCGAGACACGAGTGGTGCCGCAAATAGCGCTTCAGATTACTGCAATACTCTCTAATGACGGTATTTTGCGGATGGTCTCTAACTTAATTCGAACTTCAAAACTTCGATGGCGAGCGAAGTATTGTTAAGCAAAATAATACAATTAAAATGTACTTCTTCACTGGCACCTTAACAGTAGTTTTAAACATAATTACGCGCATTAATTCTCTCCTGTTATTAACTAAGATTTAATTAAATAATAATATTTTTATATACGTAACTTAATCATTTATAACCGAAATTCGATAAGAAGAGCATAGTTGTTGTGGATACACATCGATTCATGAATGAATCGAATGATCCGATCACAAAAACCACAACAAGAGAATAACGTAAACTAACCAAACACAATCACATACTTTTGGGTAGAAATTAGAAAGTGAGCAGGCTGGGAGAAGTTGATATGTGTTTAAAAACTTAAATAAAAAAAAATAAGTTCTGTTATATGTAGGGGCAAGATGACTAATCACTAAACAAATAAATACAATTTCTGCATCAAATTGACTACATAATTCATGCCATCCCATTTTACATTTACTACTCAACTTACCTTGTTTTTTACTTTTAACATTTTCTAACAATTGTTTGGATATTCGGGTTCTATAATCCTCGGTCTTTTTTTTTTTTTTCGTTAATAATGGTTCATTGTCACTCCAGTCACTTAAATCGTCATATGAGTGTTTTTGAGGAACTTGGCATTCACTGATAACTATAACATCAGTGGTGATGGTTAAATTACTGCATTCCACATTTTGCAAAGCTGTTTACTGCTGTTCTATTTATGGTTGCTTTTAAATTTTACACTAAATAATATCGGTACGACTTTTTCTGTTTTCACCTTTTCCGAAAAGAAACCCACGTCCAGTGGTAGAAATCGGTAAATTGATTGGGGTAAAAAAGTTCTTCCTGCACAACTTTACCGCTTGAAATGATCGATGAGAGGCATGATTGTCAAGTAACTCTACTTGCTGCTAAATCTACCCATCTACCCATTTTGTTGGGCAATTCGTTTTTGATTGGGGTGCCGTAAAGCCTCATTCTAACTCTTGGAGAAATAAACCAACGCGGAATATTTGATTCTTGCCATGTTCAGTATTAGCAACTTTTGGGACTCTTCAGCTGTCGGTAGACATACAAAATTTTAGGTTGTTTGGTCGGAGTAGTTGGAAACCCGCCTTCAACAGCGTTGTAAATTTTGTTTGAGGGAAAAGTGTTTTTTAGTCTTACTTCTCTCGACAAGTCAAAAAACCTGTTTACTTCCTCTCTAGTGAAGCTCATTAGCCGTCCTAAAGATGGATAGTAGGGTGTCTTTTCATGAACGAAATTAACCAGTTTTTAACGGCTAATTTAAGATCATCGGTAAACTGTCCGTTAACTTGCTCGACTCACCCCTTTTTGGTTAGTTTCTGTTATTTCCTTGTTCAGTTGAGTCGATTGAATAATATAATTGAGTTGTTCGGTTGTTGATGATGATCTGTTGACTTCTTCCGAGCTTAACTGAAACTGGCTTGCCTTCTAGTCTGTATTTACTTATATTCTGTTGCAGGGGGGTAGGGCTAAAAGGGCGACATGAACATTGTGTCGGATAACTGATTCTCATATTGGTAAAAGTTGAACCGCTGTTAATATTGTTTGATTACTTATAAATTTTCGGATTTTTCGTTTCTTAGAAGAATTAATAACATGCAGGAGATTTAGTTTTACCGAATAAGATTTGTTGCCCGGTTTCATGATCGTATTAGGCAACCGCTGGTGAGTTTATTTGTTGTAGTCTTAAAGCTCTTCAATATTCTTTGAGCGCAGTTGATATCTTTCGCCTTTTCTATCCAATTTATTCTTTGCCGCATATGCATAGAATGCTGTAAAGTCCTGGTATCTTAAACGGCTTTTGACTTTGACGGATCGAATATGCTCAGCTGAAACTGGCTCGCATCCTGTTTATATACTGTTGTTGTTACCTTTCACCAGTATGGGAATCAGTCATTACAGAAAATGTTCATTTCCCTCCATTAGCTCCGCCACCTTCAAAACATATATGAGCAGGTACACAGTAATACAGAAGCCTATGGAACTTTCTTTGAGAAATTAATAGACAGAGACATTTTTTTAATTAAAGTGAAAACCTTCCTTTCTATTGTATGCAGTCCTTAGAAAATCGTACAATGCATTATGATTTACTGTTTGTTTATAAAGTTGCAAACAATTTGACGTTCTATACGTTATTCAAACTACTCTTCTAACTGTCCGATTATCAGATGTGCATAATTCCACTTCTTAATTTGGTTTTGCTTGTAAGAAATAATTTAAACTAGTCTACTTACTACCTATATATTTTGTGCTTTTCTTTTATTGGACAACTACCTCTATCTGCAGGAAAGACATGTTTATAACTAAATAAGTAATAATAAAGACTGTCCCTTCTGGTATTTAGTTGACTTTCGGTGCTGAAACTCACCTGAACGGTCTGCAATGATCTGATAAACAGTCGGCTAAAGGCCTTCGTGGAAATCGCGTACATGATATTGAAGCCGGAAAATTCTTTACAAGCGAAATATAGCTTGCTACCGAATTCAGATATGTCTCCGTAGGAGTCGTATTCCTTGCACAAATCTTGCTCGAGGTTGCGGGATTCGTCCAAAGCTTTCGCAATGGCTATCGAGCTGGCCTTTGTTTCGTTCAATGACTCCAAAAGGTTCTAGAAAATTCGTTTTATTTTGCGTATGTTTCGGGCCGATCGTACCGTTGCGAAACCTTATTCTGCAATATATTTCCTGATGAATCGGCCAGATCGTCGAGAAGCCGATTTTGCAATTGAAATTGCTTTTCTTCCATCTCTTCTTTTTCCTGGAGCAGCTGTTTTCGTTTATTTTCCAATTCTGGTTTTTCCTGCCTTACAGCAGCGGAAAGAAGTTGCTCTACATATAAATAACGAGTTCACAAACAAGGTTTGACAATTATATAATTTTTAATATTACTACAAATTTTAAAGAGCAAGAAGTTCTTATGCGATATAAATTTGGTTAATTGTTTATTTTTATCTTAAGTACATAACATATTGTAAGTGTAAATAGTTTTTTAAATATTTCTCGTAAAATAGTTTGTAATGATTTTCTTAACTATTGCAAATTTTCTCTTGTTGATGTGTTTTAAATCAAGATTCGTTCCAATAAATTTTCTGCATGTTCTGGCTACAATGCGATTGCGTTAAAACAGTATTAGAATAGTGATTTCCTTCTATTTTGAACCGACTTTATGGACAAAATGCACACCCTAATTAATAACGAGTAAATATTTATTAAATTGTGAGACGGAAAACGAATTATTTAACATATGACAGATATTTCATTGTCACTTAAAAGATAAATTATACCAAAAAAATCCAATTTTTTAGAGAAAGATTTAGGTATAGGGTCATGACATATCATTCGAAAAGGAATTTAATTTGTTATTATTATATGTGATAAAACACCGCACGTTCCTTTTAAAAAATATTCTTTTCGCCATTTTTCGTAGGAAAATAATTAGTTTTGACCAACCCTTTACAATATAGAACCATAATACAGTACCTCCTTAAGCTACGTCCAACTTTCTTACTTTCTACAGGCTCCAGTGTCGTAATAAATAAATTTTGTTGAAGCTATGTTTTGGTAGAAAAATAAAGAAAATAAATAATTTCTAGAAAACCACTATAGTCAGAACAATCTAATGTACCGTTCCCGGTAAACGTCTAAGTTACCATCACCCGTGAAACACCATGTATGCATAATTAATCTAAAAAACACACAAAATTCATTTTTTGAGCAGACTTCAACACCTAATTTTAAATAAACCCAAATAATTATGATTACCATGAGAGCTGGCAGTTTGAAGTTGCTATGATTGAAGTCACTGTTTTCGTGTATTTCACGTATGAAAAAATGGCCATTTTATTAGTTTTGGTTAATTTTAAATAGCTATTTTGGCCAATAATATGCATTTTAATAAAATTTAGCAGTTATTTATTAATTTTCAGCCATCATAAAGAAATATTTGTAACTTTTTATTTATTTAATGTTTTTTTAAATTAATTTTGAAATATGCCCACTAACGGTTATCAAATTTTGGTCAATAAGTCGTTAACATTTATTATGAGCCACACCATTTTTCAAATAAATTAAATCTTACATCGAAAAGGCTCTACAGAATAAAATGAATTTAGTAAATGTGGAGTCTGCACGGACAACATTTTATGTGCTTAAAAACAAAAATATTACTTAATTATTATTTTTTTGTTATATAATAATACCAAAACTTGGGTCGTAGGGTAAATAAAGAGTATTATCTTGGAGTTACACGCCGTTTGCGAGAAGCAATACGAAGAAAACGACAACGCACCTGTTCACTCATCGTTGCATGTGTTTAAATATTGAGCAAAAACAAAACCACAATCTATATTCACCGGCCCCTTGCGACTTTTTTCTGTTCCCTAAATTCAAGAAATTCACGAAAGGAAGGAGGTTTGGAACAATTGAGGAGATAAAGAAAACATCGCTGGAAGAACTCACTCAGAAAGTGCTTACCAGAAGTGCTTCGAGGATTGGAAAAAACTTTGGCACAAGCGTATTATACCTGGGCGGGGGATTAATTTGAACGCAACAAAATTAATTTTGAAAAATGAATAAATACATGTTGATACAACCTAAGAGTCACCTTAGTTTTTGAACACACCTCGTATGTCCTCTATAGTCCACTTATTCCTAATTAACTTATTTTTGAAGCAGCGATTTACTTGAAATAAGAAATTACAATGCAAATAACTTGAAAACAAAATGTTTTGTCTAAAGAAATATGGTATAACTTTTTTGCTAATATTAATCTTCAAAAATAGAAGCAGTGCAAATAAAAAAATACATATTATATATTACATATAAAGACCCCGAATGCAAGTTGTCGATATTTCAAAAACAGCTTGAGTCAAAAAAAAAATTCTTTGATCAAGATGATTTTGATCATCAGGGCTGATTATATCCTGTAATCTGGCCGTTTCATACTATAACTTTTTTGTTAGTACCGCTTCGTTACTTCTCTTCTAAGATTATAATAGTAATGCTACAATTTTTTTTGGAGAAAACCCACAGTTTTCGAGATATTTGCATTGTTATATTTTATTTCAAGTAAATTGCTAGATCCAAATAAGTTCATTAAAGATAAATATACACACAATTCCGCAGAATTCTACGGAATTCCTCTATAGTGTGCACCATAATTACACCTCGATTAAAAGTTCTAAGTTTTATAAAAGACCCTTCGCTAGTCGAAAGGATAAATGGATTGCTTCCTTTTAATTTCATAAAAGCTAGAAATATTTTGATAAGTCGCTTAAATTTCCCTAGTTTCACACATTGGTTTCTTGAACTGAAAAAATATATATATAATATTTTCAAGATTTGACTAGTTCCGGTAATTAACTTTCAACTTCGAGTCCCTACATTTAAGGCCTATCAATTTCCATAACATTTTGATTAATTTAAAAATATTATTGTCAACACTGTGCCTCTAACTTTGACATTTGGTAAAAATACGTATGAAATGATATTAAAAGTTGATTAAAGCTTGATTTTTTACGATTTTTTGCCTCAGTCCTATCTAGTTAGCGCCAATTTTTACATTGAGAGAAACATGTTGCTTATTTTATTGAATCTGTGTGCCATAGAAATTGCAACACCCTGTATATGCTTAGCTATAATTATAATGTTTTGTCGAATGTCTGTACGTCGTACACTAGAATCTAAATTATAAACATCCTGTAAGTAATAAATCAATCATGTTCATGTTGTGTTTACCGTAAGTCAAGATTTTCGAAAACAATCCACGATACAATTTTAATTTAAAATAAGTGTTGGTATTTAATTATTTTAAAAACCTACATTCTCGTGGAGTCTAAAATGTCAGAATTTGAGGACATTTTATATCCACCAAAAATTTGTAAATAACGACTACTTTGAGAAACCCTGTATATTTTATTCCCAATTCAAGTAAAATCATTTTAGAACATCCATTTGCTAGTACGTTCTGGAGGTCAACCATCTTTTAATTTCTACTATTAGTCAAAAACCAGCAACTCAAAATATGCAAGACATAATTGATAAGTAGTTTGGTTCCATTTATTGATACGCTTATTAAATGTAGTGCAATTAAGCATACTTTCTAAATTGTGCCAGATCAGCACTTTTACATTGCTATTAGTAAATCCTCGTTATTAAAAATAACTAAGATTTTGCACTTGTGATGGGTGCAATTGTCAAAATAATTTCAACACTTAAAATTTTTTTTTTTTAAGTATTTTCTTTATGAGTTTACAGCAGATATATACCTTAAAAACCATTGGAACCAGAACCAAATGGCCTTGTCGAGAATTTAGTAATGAGATTCAAGAAATAGTTTTGGTTCGTTTGAAGTTTCGACCACGAACTTACCGTCTTTCATCCACATATGTATCTAAAACAAATACCGATTTCATAGTAATACCTTGAAATCCGTCACACGTGACATTGAAGTTCATTATATTTACAAATGGTAAAATATCAGCTCGAAGTCTAAATCGCTCATTCCTGGTACACAAAATGAGTTTAAAGTCCGTACCGTAGTCAACAAATTTGCCGTTTAGTCTCATCAATCTACGTTCCCCTTGAAATAAAATAAAATTATGTCGTAAATATTTGCTAGTAAATAAAAACAAACAATTGCCTCAAATACCAAAATCTAATGTTATAGAAATGAGAGAAAGAAAGATTCACCTTGAACGGTAAAATCGTCTCTTAATACGGGAAGCAAAATATGATCTACAGTCTCCACTTCTTCAACTATCAACGTTTTTCCAAATCTAAAACAAATATATATTATAATTTTAACAACCTATTCAACGAGCACATGTAAATTACCTTAACGCGTTTTCTACTATGCTATGAAATTTGGGCGAATTCTGTGTGACATACTCGACATTCTTTTTCGCCAGCTTTAAATGATTGCCCAACCAGCTTAGAGCGTTAGATGTTGGATCAATGAGTAGTGGCGTTAAGTTTCCCTTTAATTAAACGTTTAGTTTATTGAATTTCATATTAGCTTAGTTCATTTGAAAAAACATGTTTTTGTCTAATATCAGTAAAGTAAGTTCACAGTGAAGAGAATATAATCCCGCTCAAGGATAAATACACGAATTCAGCCCTATATTCTTAGTCGTTTTCCAAACCTTGAGAATGCATTGAAAACTGAAGGATGGGCATATTCTAATGCCTGGGCGGAAAAATCCCCAAGTAACGCCTATAAATTCCATCTTAAACAAGCTTCACTTGAATAAGCATTTGAAGAAGACATCAATAGCGTCTAAGTCTTAAGTTTTCGCCATTAAATTAAGAATTTTCAACTCTACTTATTGGCAACTTATTTAAATATTATTATTTTAATACATTTTGGAAATTAAGAATTGATTAAAATGAATTATCGAAATTCAGACTCCCTAAGGATCAGCTCATCATTGTTGTTAAAGTTAGTTTGAGTAAAAATATATAAGCTTACCACATTAACTAAAATACTTGTGTTGTTGGTTTAGCTATATATCTGATCTCTTACCAGTTAGAGTTTTATCATCTTCATATTGGTAATTTGATCTTATCCATGTAAATGTACAATGCCATAAAAATTTTTCCTATGCTATGCGTACAAATAAAAATCAAATCAAGAAATGGTTCGAAGATTTATTTAAAATGTTTGAGAGAAATTTTTAAATATAGGTAAATTTCAGTCAAGGGAATAGATAAAGTCAGTTCTGTATGAAAAATTGACCCGAAATGAGTTTTGTTCGCTAACCTTTTGCATCAAAATGACATTTTGGGACGAAAGCTTATCGTTTGCTAAACCGTCGGATTGCCACTGCAGCTGCTCTCTTTCGGACGAAAGGAACATTACGAGATCGAAAACCTCTTCTCCTATTTCTGCGCACCATTTGGCAAGGAACTTACTAAAATTGTGAAATAATTTGTTGTTCGAAATTTGCACGAATTTTAATTCATTTTTATTATCTCATGAAAAAAGTATTCTTTTTATGCGTTGTAAACCAAAACTTTAAATTATCCTTAGTAAACTGTTTTATTTAAACTTTCGTATTAATAAACTAAAAATTATTGAGAACCTACTTACTTTCTGTCAGATTCATTCTCCTCCGATAAGAATGTGATGAACGCAGATGCTAGAAGGGACATGTTAGGCAGTTTGCCCAGTTCTATTGATAGTTCTCTTAGCTGGAATACATATACAAGTAATTACATTACAATTACAATTACACCGTGGTTGTTTTTTGCAGCAAAGGACACTACATTTAAAAAAATGGGCAGCTATGGAAAAAAAACATTAATAATTATATTCACAATTCCCTAATGTGGAGTAATATTAATCGGTACAAAAACAATAGAGACCTACAAAACTAAAGCAAACGAAACATTTCATAGACCATAATGCTGTGTACCATCGAAATTGCAATACTTAATATATGCTTAATTGTAGTTATTTTTTGTCGGTTGATCGCCTGCGTGAAATGCAGTACCTAGCTGATTACAGCAGAAACATGCTATATATTAATAACTTGGTGCAACCTTCAACAACTGCAAGATCCAATTTTTCAGCGTGGCTCTCAAGGTCGCCAGATTTAGCACCTACTGAATATGTCTGACTTATGACAACTAGAAATCTGAGGTAGTTCTCACACTGGGTGTTGCAGTTTCTATGTGATATCAGTATAGTTTTTGCATCTACCAATCTACCATGTCACTTGTGCGCAATTTTGTTCAAGTAAACATTTAAAGAGGCTTTTATACAATTTTTGCCGAAATGATATTGTAATAAGTGTTCAGTTTCGTTTACAATAAATTTAAACTTTAATTTTCTCTGAAATTTTAGTGGTAATCTAGTTACATTTGTTTATTTTTAGTAATTGCCGTAAGTTATTTTGAAAATGAAAAGTATGGTTAATACAGTCACAAAAAAACAGAAAATACTGCAATAAGTTATAAACATTATTAATAGACATGTCGGAAAGAGGATGCTGTAAAACTGAATGACTGCATGAATGCTTTTGTTGTGTTGGTAATTCTTAAAAAATTGCCAACAATATTATTGTTCATGAATGAAAATTGACAATTATCAAAATGCAAAACTCACTTCTAAATGCTTTTACACAATTTGACATGTTAACAGTTGAAAATTGGAAAAACTTTAATTTCAACTTAAGAGAAAATTACAGTTGCAATGTTTCGCAAAAAGCAATAGCTTTTTTTACACTTCAATTTCCAGTTAATTTTTCAAAAAAAAATCATAAAAATAAAATGCAATATATCTTTATCACTTTAAAATTCCAAACGAAATATGTTTTAATTTTGCGTTGTTAAACACTTTTTGGTCAAAACTGAGGATTTGAATTTTGTGCGAAAATGATTCATATTCATCAGAAAATATCTTCTGCAAATAAACTACAGTAAGGCTCAAACTTGAATGAAATATCAAACAGACCTGTTTTTGCCAACGTTGATATTCGTCATCTAATTTGTTAACCAATTCCTGTGCGGTGCGAAGTGTATGATTGACCTCGTCCAATCCTATTTCGATTTCCGCCGCTTCTTTTGTAAACGAAGAGAGTTGTTCTTTGAGTTTGGCTACATTCGCGTCCACATCTGATAGTTCGTCCGTAAGTTCAACCAAATGCAATTTCGCATTGCTTAAGTTCCTTAAAAGAAAGTCAACTTTCGATTATTATCAGTTTTTCATTTTAGATTTATTTTAATGACTCTTTACAACAACGAAAAATTTAATTTCTGTAAAGAAAAAAATAATCCTATCATCTGATATATTAGATTTTTTAAACAATAGTGTAGTAGTTAAACCTAATTTTGATCTAATATATTTGACAGTGTTCCCAGGTCCTTAATCTATGATATATCTATCAATTATCATTTAAAATTATTTGCTGCATTAGCTCATTTTCACAGAATCGCTTCGAATGGTGCTATATTCGTAGCTGACGAGATATAAAACATTGCTGAGATCTTCAAATGCGTTTCTTCATAGTCTTTGTCTTAAATGAACACTTTTTTACCATGCTCTTCATACAAGGTGAACAAGATTAAAACTTCGAATTCTTTCATAGAATTGCATTTCTTAAATTTCTATTAATTTTGTCAGAACTTGACAAAAATATTAGTGGATCGAACGGTTCTGTTAACTAGAAGTATCTAATGGAATGTGGTTTTCGAGTTCTTAATTTGTTATGACCTCGGCATCTTGAGTTTCATATGACTGTTCATTATGATGAAAATCATTAATTCTGTTTGTTTTTGCTCTCAAATCAATATAATTTTTTGAAATATTTTTTGTCAACTCTTTAACTTGATTGATTAAGTTGATCCTTTATCCAAATTAGAAAAAGGTTTTTATTGCTTGTGCTTCAGAGAGTAAGTTTTCCTAGAAATAAGATGTCCCATGATCATGATACAACAGTTTGTAGAACGAAATGTCTCAGAGTACCCAGCAAGAAATAAAAAGTTAACTTTGGAATCCAACTTTTTGCCGGTCAATTTGCTTGTCTAACAAGATTTCTTTCGCAATTTCGTTTGTATTTCAAGGAAGCGACTTAGCTTTGGTAAATATATACACTGGTACCGGTAATAGCGATTTACAATAATATTTTTATTCAAATATCTCGGGCACCATGTATAATACACATCAACGTAAATCAAAAATTTTGTAGCTCCCGACACAATTTATGATACTGTATAAACTAAATTATGACAAATTTTATAGTTTTTCATTTACGGCCAACAATTTGCCCACAAAAAAGAAAATTTTTCCCATAGGGTAAGTGGTTTTGAACAAAATAATTCTTTTCTGAAACTATGTAGTACGCCGAATAGGCAATGACGTTATCGCGACTACATAGAGTGTGAACAACAGCGATTCTCGGGCAGCGTACGTGATAGACAATAACCGTAAATACAAAAATTGTAGCTCAGACGAAATGATGTGAAGTGTGACAAATCGCAGTTTAAAATGGAAACTACCTTAGGGCCCTCCATTTTTATGGTACTAGGAACACCACGTTAAATAAGAGCTATATGTTATTCTCAGTCATAATGTGTCAATAAACAAATTTTTTTTACTGATACATCCGTAATAAGGCGCAGCAGTTAATACGGATTTATGTGATTTATTTGTTTTCCTGCCTTTCGTTTTGGAATTAAGAGCAGAATTTTCTTTTGAATTTTTCAGTGTTTTTGTCAGTAAAGCTGTTAAAAGCATTAGTAGCTGATCATAAACTAATTACCAATCAATATTTACATTATTACAAATCCAATAGCTGTCGTTGTGGATCAAATCAATAAAAAAAATAATTTTACTTAATTTTTTGCAGTGTTTCACTTCTTCGTTTTATGCCATTTTAATTGACAGTTATATTAATATACATAACACAAAATTTTACATATTTCGTTTTTTTTTGTCGGACTCACTCTTTAAGTTTCTTTTGCTCAATTTCGAGCGGGCGTATTTTGTCCAACACCTTTGAATACTTGACATTCGCCTCGACCCACGCCGCCAAAGGGGCGGCAGCGACCGAAGCTCTTTTGGCAGATTTCGGATCGAAAGATTCTTTTTTATTGGTCATTAGGCGTTCGACTGCTTGTCGATTTTCAGTACGAATTTTATTTGCATCGAACGACCTAAAAAAAATTCGAAGCAAATTTTTTTTACAGTTCAGCATTATTATTGAATGGAATTTTAATATTTTCAATCCACATCATCATTCGATACCTGATCTCTTCTTTAACTCCTCTCTTAGCCAAAAATGTCTTCATGCTGTTCCAGCTGGTATCTTGAGTTCCCATGAGCTTCAGTACCCCCTCCAATATGTCTCTGATGACTTCGGGCGGGGCTCTCAAAGATCTTATCTCAGACAACGATTCGGTTTTGATATTCCCCACCGCTGACCGCGCTTCTTCTATCAGCGGTTCCACCTCAGATAACTCATCTTCGATTTCCTTCTTTCTAAAAGCAACGCATCAGAAAAGACCCGTTAATATATGTACATATTTTTTTTGGGTATTTCGCAAACTGTATAGGTAATGGAAGATTTGCAGTTTTGTTGCAATATACAGTGTGTCCAACGAATATGAAAAATAAAATTTAGGAGTATTATACTGGACTGTAAATCAAAACAAAAATTTATGTATCTATATATTTCCTTATGTATCTTTTGATCGTGTAGAAAGCGACAATATCATATAATGTCTAATGATTGATTGATCTAATGAATGATTGATCTAATTCAGGCTGGAATGCGATAAACTCCTGGAGTCTCAAATGGAATTTTATGTTTCTTCCTTTTGATGGATGAAATATTTTGGATATGTTGCAATTGTAGTTTTAAATTTATATTACTTAAGAACTGTTGGCATGCACTCGGCAATATTTTGAACGTAAAGAAGGGTCACAATAGCAAGTGTGGGGACTCATTTTCTTGGAGAAAGAAATTATTTGAGGGGAGAGCTCCAGTGATTCGTGTTAAGATAAACATTTTCTATAAACTGAATTACCCATAGTCCTTATTTTCTATTGCCGAGAATATCTAAGAATTGGAAGTTATTAGTTTCCAATTCCATGTTAAAACGTATGCTAGGGTTAAGAAAACCTCGGAGAATTTCTTGACCCCGTCTCCTTCAATAAATATATTTGCGATGACTGGTGCTCCTAATATTTGTTCATAAATGTTGTCCAAATAGTTTATGACTGTTACTTTTGGAAGAAATAAATTTTAACTTTTGTTAAGGTTTAGGTGAAACGAGTTGTTGAATTTCACCGTCACGTTATTCCAACCCGAATAATTTTATTTGGTTTAAAAAAAAAGTTTCATAAACGCTATTTTAGTCGTGAGTTTAAATTTGGTAATTAGTTTGTCTTTTGACAACTGTATCAAACTTAAAATACGTCTTCTATTCTACGTATTCTATAGCTCCAAATTCGTGCGCAAAGTAAGGAAAAGGCTTTACTCGACTGGCAAGAGTGTTTGATGATAGTGACGTCACCTTGCATGATAATTAAGTATTTCCAGAGTAGGGGAAAGAAAACTTGTATTTGTATTTGAAATTGTTAATCTTTAGTCACTTATCCAGAAGATGGACTCATTCTATTAACTTTTACTAAAAAAAAAAGTACTCTTCTTCGATATAATGCTGACGAAAATGATTTAGTGGTTTATTTGTGGTAATTCCGTAATATGCCAGGGAACAATGTTGGGAACAACGTTGAAAAGTTAAAATATTAAATTCTAACCACATATTACACTATTAAATAAGCTACTGCCAATCCAATGCATTTTTTTGTATTTATCAATACTTGCCGTAACCAATGGTTTACCCAATATTATTTATTTCATGTCATGCGTTGCAGATTTCTTTAGCTTCTATGCTCAATTTTTGATAAACGCCACTTTAATCTCGAGTTTGATTTGGCACGGATAAGGCAGGGTTGAACGAATGTTTACCAAACATCAATTTAATTAAATACTGTGGCGAGCCTCTTCGAGCATTTTCTATACTACCTATAGTATTTTGTTCAATTGATTAATTAAATAATTTAATTAATGTGTAATTAACGACTGCGACGAATTATTTTTTTTTACATGTGACTTGCTTATCAGAACTGACAATCAAGATAACACCTTAACAGGACATTTTAGGCAATTGGCTTGTAATAAAAAAAATTATCTATCTTTTATGTGAACAATACTCACTCAAGGATTCTTTACACGGTCCTTTGATACGTATAACAAATTAAATTAATTAAATTAGTTAATTTTAATTAAATTTTAAAATTTAATTAAATTTTAATTAAATAAATTAATTAATTAAATTAAAACTAAGAAAACATTTGGTAAACCAAAGTTTCTGTTGTTAGTTATCCAGAAACTATTGTGACGCTCAAAGTGTACAGCGGAAACGTTTCGATTGCAAAAGAAAAGAACATTTTCTAACCGTTTCATCAATTGCAAATTTTCGTCCTCCGTTTTCCGCTTCAGGGATTCCATTTCTTCTTTGTGTGTGTTGGCATTTTGCATTGTCTTGCTGATCATATCGAGAGCAGCGTTGGCTTTCGACTGCTTCTCCGCGAGTTTGTCTTGTTCGTCGGCAGCCTTTTGTTTCAACTCGGCCACTAGATTCCTTGCCTCGGTTAGTTTAGAAACTCCGCTCTATAAAAGGAATAAGTAAATGGCTAAATGTAGAAAAAAAAAGTAACAAATCTAATACGCCAAGACACGATTTTCAGAAATACGCTCTGAAGCTCTAAAGCCAAAGTATAACGATATTAGTAAAATATTTTACTAAATGTATATGACTGCGCTAGATAATCCTTGTTTTACGATACGAAAAAATGTTGAACTCTGACTTCATTTAAATTATTGCAGGAAGGAAAGGCAATGGGTCAAGTGGATCCTTCCAAAAAAAAGTTCAGGAAGGCCAGCACAAAAATGTGCTGTAAAATTCTGTCTAATACAGACTAGACAGAAATTTACCAGAGCCATTCTTTAAATAAAAACATTAATCGCTAAGTGTCTTTACTGGAGAACGATGATATTGTTGGCGAACAACAAAGGAATATTTTTTATATTGTTAAAAAGGGAATTAATAAGGGTTAATTAGCATGTTCTTCGGGATTTGTGACCGCGCGACAACAACTAACCGTTCATATCAACAAAACCATTCATATTGATACGCGTCAGTAATAAATAACTTGACCTACCTTTAGTCGTGCTTCCAAAGGACAATAAACGGAAAAATCCACTTTAAACTAATTTCAACCGGAATGCTTGGTACAAGAAATATAGAGATAGGAATATAGGGTATAGAGAGAGATTACAAAAACAGTTTAAACAATATTGTTTCCGTTTACTTAGTGCTCCAGTTCGTGCAAAAACCACCACTGAAAAAACGTATACATTTTCATAGATTATTTTGAAGAAATGGCTGAGTATCTTCCGACTGATTCAGTTTATGCATAATACTAGCCATTCATGACACATGATGTCTTCACAAAAACAAGAAATTTTCGACTGAAATATGCGATGGAACATATTTCAGAAAAATACAATATTATCCTGTGCTTATTATCATATCAGTGCCAATTAAATTTCATAATAATATATTAGCCCATTTAAAGAAACGACATTTGAAAGATCTAAAGTTGCTGTTGACCAAGGTTTAATGGTAGTGACCCCAGAGGACTGGCGAAAACTTGTCCAGCATGTTATTAAAGTAGAAGAACAGCTATGGGATCTTGATAACGTGAATTATTGATGATGATCAAGACGAGACGGCAGTTGCTCATATTATAATAAAGAATATGGCCTTTGTTAAACTGTAATAAATTGCATATTATGTACATTATGGTAAATTGCACCGCGTGTTTGTCCAAGGCTTATCACATAATTGTGACAGTTGGGAAAAAAACTTCAATATTTTATATTTATGAAAGGGTAACAATTGGAAAACTACCTACATTCATATAGAAACCGAAGGGTAATGCGCACATTTTATAAAAATTCCCATAAATTATTCCGAAACTGATTGCATTTTAGTGCATTTTGTTTCGTTACAATTGGTAACATTGTTCTGTTTGATGCTGTATATTAATTTTGCAGAGGAAGGTTTTACGTAAAATTGCGATTATAACGACAACGACATCTTCTAAGGTATTAAATACCATATTTCATCTTTCCTCCTTTTCTAGGTAAAAAAAGTATTTATCTTTGCCCTGACAAAGGCGCTTTTTGAAAACATTACAACTTGGAACCTGAATTACATAGAGAAAAAATTATGAAGCTTGAATGATCTGAGAGCGTAACAAAGCCTTTCCAAAATCATTAGAAAATTTAAACTCGTTACTAGAAGACATAATTACTTTTAACTTTTTTTTCCTGATGTCCATTGACGACAATCGCTCCTGGTAAATCTTGTAGTACAGCCCGACAAATGCAACGTATCTAGAAGGAGCCATTATATCCTTCGATATGGTTTCGTATATTTTACCAAACTTCCCGCTGACGTTCATTTCCAAATCGTAAGTGTTTAACCTAAAAAATGAACAACATTCACCATCTCTTTCGATAAAAGTTAACGAAATCATCAACTTTTTTATCAGGTGTGAAGGCAACGAATCCATAGATTCCTTATTCCAGCGCGATTTCCATAACCTGGTGATGTGTTGCGTAAAAGCCGGATAGTACGTCAAGATGTTCGATAAATTTTCATTTAGTTCATCAAAGCAGATTATTACGTGGAGGTTCTTCTTCGTGTCTAAAGGAATATCCAATTTTATGAGCATTAACGTAAAATCCACTTACTTGAGTAAAAGAACTGAATTAAATCGCCCTCAAAGTTCTCACTGTTCGACCTTTCCCTCAATCCTTTTACTATAATTTCCAACTCTGTGGTCGCGTAGAGGTCTGGTGCCTCTCCGCAAGTTATTAAAGTGTTCACCAGGTTCAAGTTCGATTCGTTCAAAAACACGTGATCTTCGAGAAGTAGATAGACATTATCGCATTCCAGAGCAGCACAGTGTATCGCCTAGAAATCGACATGGTAAGTAAGCAGACAGAAAACTACATATTTGGTTAGCAATCCAACGACCAACTATCGTAACCAAACTTTGATTATTTTTTCGTTCCATTACTTACTACAGTACATATGGATAAATTTCAAGCTGACTTTCCTTACGTACTCTAGGATAAACTCAAAAAGGTGACAATTTTTCCTAGGTTGTTTCAAAAATTGTAGTTTACTCCAGATTGCATTGCATTGACGCTTATTAGAAACTGCAAATATATATGCGTCAACAGATAAGAAAAAATTTGATTTATTAGTACCATTTTCTTTTCGGGCGATATTTTACACTTATAACCGAAAATAATTTTTGGTAAGAAATATTAAAAGCTGCTAGTAATCGACGCTTCCGAACGTCTATGATTGTAAAAAGTTGATCATGAAATTATTTATCAAGCACGCATTATAAAATAAATGCACAGTGTTAGTAGAAAAACAAACATCCCTAAATTCAACAAAACATTTTGACTCCTAGGGTTTGACATCCGGAACATTTAAAACACAGGCTTAGCACATCAGGAAGATATACAAGTCACATCATTTTTGACCCTTCAAAAAACAAAAAATCACCAGCTAATGAACGAAGGTTTTAAAAAAGAGGGAACAAATTTGGTTAGTAGCATAGGAAATGTTTCAGTAAAAGGGAAAATTATAAAGAACCAGCTCATTTCAATGACATATTGAATATTGCTATAATTAGTTAATTATCATCAATCATCAATAAATACTAGCCAATCAAGTCTAATTAATTGGTAAAAATGCAAAGGAGATGGAGCATATTTTGCAGACTGTTACAGAAAGCAAAAAATTAAAAGCAGTCGTGGAAGCTAGGAATTTAGGGGTTATCGATATAAATTAGAATTTTAAGTTTTATGTTTCAAGGTGTATACAGGGGTTATGCCAATTTGAAAATATAGGATAGGAGTGTTCTGAGAACCAATATTAGGTTCAAAGCTGATGAGAATTCAGTAAGCTTATTTTAGATATGTCTACGACATTGGAAAATATAAATTTCACTGCTGTATATAAAAATTAGGTAAAGTAAAAATATTGAGATAAAATTTGGACCCGGCCGGCGAAATTTGTTTGAGGCTGGACCTGATTGTTGTTCCACACCAGCGATGCAACGGTAGGCAACGCTGCGTTCCATAAGACTCCACACCGTATTCCCAGTGTGATCTGAGCCATAGTAACTTATTAACTTAAAGGCGCTAATTGGTTAACTATGAAAAATTAGTGTCATAAAATTATTTCCTACAGGACCGATGTACCGGGTCATCATTTATAATGCCCCCCCCCTCCCATATAACTTTTTTATTTAACGATTGCGAAAAAAACGTCAAACACAAAAGTTGTGATATATTTTTGTATATAGAGGGTGTTGCAGAAATCACCCGTAGATAAAAGTTATATATATTTTAATTTTAATATCCTTAATAAAATCCCCTAAAAATTTTGTACCCTTCTTGTATGTGTCCTATACCCAAAACTAATAAATAGTCTCCGCTCGTGTCAAATAAATTTGTGAGTCAAATGCCGTTTACCGCATTTGTTGCATAATATACTATTAACATCCAGCCTAACCTGAAAGAAGAGAACATTTCATAAAATATTATATCCTAGTTCTTAATGATATCCTAATACCTGTATTATATTCTTAAATTCAATAGTTTTTGAAAAATTTGTTAACTTAAACGCAACATTAAAAAATACTCTGGAAATTATAGTTTAGGTTGTTAGGTAGTTAGTTTGAGGGCAAATAATAATTTAAAAGGGAGCCATTTGACAGAAAGAACTCCAGAAACTGAAGAACCAGTTTTAAATTCTATTGATGAAAATCCTAAACTTAGTACTAAAAAATTGGAAATACTCTGAATATCTCGCACGTTCTTGGATTGGGAAATTTTTGTCAATTGTTTTTGGACAAAATGGCACATTATCCCCCGTATTAACCAAGAAATCCTATTTATAGATGAAGCTATCTTTTCCAGAAATGGAATCAAAAATTTTCACAATGATCATATCAGTCACAACAGTGACTTCATTGGACCCTTTTTCCTACCAGAAAGGCTAACTAGCCATCTATAATTGTCGCCGGTTTTCAGAACAGGTCTTGCCAATATTGCTAGAAGAAGTACCATATTTAATTAGGAACAGAATGTGGTCCATGCATGACGGCGCTCCTGCTCACTTTAGTATTGCAGCAAGAGAATATTTACATCACACATTTAACAACCCATGGGTAGGATGCAGTAGGACGGCCCCCTAGGTCCCCACATTCAAATGGTTTGGACTTTTTCTTATGGGGCGTGGCTTATTGCACCTTAGTTAACAATGTAGAGAAGCTGCAAAATCGTATGAAGAGATTCTTGCGACTTAATATAAAACACTGGAGCTATACTCGTACTTCAAAGAGTGAGCGGCAATACGAAGAAAAGAGATGCAGGAAACTTTCAACAACTTATCTATCTTTTCTATGTTCCAATTTTTTTAAAAAGGTTGTTTTTAATTTATTGATAGACAATTTTGTTAAAAATTGTTAATAGTAGATAGTTTGTTTTTAAATAAGAATCGTTATTTTATTAGAACTGTAAAATATGTTTTTTTTCTGAAGGACGCTAGTTGATAACTAAAACCTGGATATTCTGTTTTAGATAGATATTTTACTTTTTTCAAAAAAAAAGTTCTCGATTTAACCAGTACAGACCAGAACATTATTTGTTCATAGACATAAACGCCACTCATTTCCTTAAAAAAATATATGTTTTCCGCCTACCTACCACTTTCAATTCGTTTTGAAAATACGGCGACATTCCGGTGCTTGGAGCGACAATTTTGACAGATTTTAATGCGGAAGCAATTTTCACTGCACTTTTACGTCCGACTCCCGGTCTTCCGATCATCACCACATTACTCCCTTCCGACGCCGTCGCCCTTACAACGTTTGACGTAAGTTCAAGGCATTCCTCGTTTACGACTATATCCAGATCCATATTTTCTCTGTCTAAAATTGTTTACAATACTTTTACACATTTAAATTATAAAACATGTTTTGGTTGAATTGGCCAATTTTTGACTATTACGAAATCGTTATAGCACCGCAAGTGGAATTATAATAAACAGTACACAGACTTTTTGATTTCTGCGTACTAACAAGCCAATAATTTTCAAATTTTATCACTAACCCTTAAATCTTTGCTTTAGTCTAGATGTGAATGGAAATATGTCCCCACCACAAGAGTTCTATTTTACAGTGGAGGACGATGGAAACATCTATTGCTACTCTTATTGTATCTGCGATACGTCTCTGTGCAATGACCGGGGTGCTGCAGATCTACTCACGAGGAATCACAGCACCTCTGTTATAAAGCTCCTAGTAGTCTTGGCTGTCCCCGAGGTAAGAAGCTAGTTAGGAGATGAGTTGAGGTTTTCTCCTTTTCTAAGGTATGAAGGTTAGTTGCCAGTGTCCGGTGAGGATTCCTATCAGCCCTCATGGTGCTGAGGTGTACAGGCTTCCCACTACCTCAGTCCCGGTAAACTCAGTACACTGTCTCGCAGTGGAAAGAGTACCGCCTATCCTGTCAGGCACCTTATTGCCCTAAATTCCGCCAATGCTTCTTGGCAGTCGAGTATCAATCACGAACTGTATGTGTGTATACCCAATAAGCTAACATTTTTGTGCTCTTCGATAAATGATTCAATGCAGACGAAAAATGTAATTTTTAAACGGCATATATTTTACCTGCTTTTACGAGTGATCACACCTTGAAATATAATTTTTCGAATGATTAATACGAACTTAATCGAGATGCTATCGTAGTGTTAGTTAGTAGTCAATAATAATAAGAACGTTAATTAGACATCAGACATGAATTTTATTTATACGAAAGATAACCTTGTGGCATTACATTTTGAATATGATTTCTGGCATATGACCCCCACGGCTGGCGCAGATGTAGTCCAATCTGGACGTCCAATTTTCGATGACTTTTTCCAACATTTGTGGAAGTATATCGGCAATAACACGACGAATGTTGTCTTCCAAATGGTCAAGCGTTTGTGGCTTATCCGCATAGACCAATGACTTTACATAGCCTCGCAGAAAGTAGTCTAGCGGTGTTAAATCACAAGATTTTGGAGGCCAATTCACAGGTCCAAAACGTGAACTTAGGCGGTCACCAAACGTGTGTTTCAATAAATCGATTGTGGCATGAGCTGTGTGACATGTTGCGTCTTGTTGAAACCACATCTCCTGGACATCATGGTTATTCAATTCAGGAATGAAAGAGTTAGTAATCATAGCTCTATACCGATCACCATTGACTGAAACGTTCTGGCCATCCATTTTTGAAGAAGTACGGACCAATGATTCCACCAGCCCATAAAGCGCACCAAAGAGTCAGTTTTTCTGGATGTAACGGTGTTCCGACATACACTTCAGGATTAGCTTCGCTCCAAATGCAGCAGTTTTGTTTGTCGACGTAGCCATTCAACCAGAAGTGCGCTTCATCGCTAAACATAATTCACTTATGAAAATCGGGAACAACGGCAATCTCGTTTTGGGCCCATTCGACGAATCTACGCCTTACTTGATGATCGTTTGGCTTCAATTCTTGCACGAGTTGGCCATTGAACCAGAAGTGCGCTTTATCGCTAAACATAATTCACTTATGAAAATCGGGAACAACGGCAATCTCGTTTTGAGTCCATTCGACGAATCTACGCCTTACTTGCACGAGTTGGACTTTGTAAGCACGTAAACCAAGATCCTTCCGCAAAATCTCCCATAAAGTGGATGGACACAGATCCAATTCCCGTGCTCGATGGCGGATGGACTTATTCGGGTCTTCCTCAATGCTATGCTCTACAGCAGCAATAGCTTCTTCTATACGCACCGTACGGCGTCTTTGGGGATGCGAGTTATCAATAAGAGTAAAGGTGGTGCGAAAACGTTCCATGGTTAATCGAATTAACTGCTCTGATGGACGATTTTGTCGGCGATAAAATGGGCGTAGTGCGCGATACGTATTCCGCACAGAACCATTATTTTCGAAATAAAATTGCACTATTTGCAAGCGTTGTTCAGTTGTGAGTCTATTCATGATGAATTGCCAAACCAAACTGAGAATAAATCACTTGACAGCTGTTAAATCGGTCGCCATCTTAAACAGTAATGCCAATTTAAAGTTCTTTACATCGAAAAAAAAACACCCATTATAAGGAAACAAGTACAAATATCTAGGAGAAACTTTGTCCCGTCCCGTATATACCAGTACACTTAACCGAAATATGATGTTTTTATCGAAAGCATGCATCTTTAGAAGACATCTACTAAGCCATTTCATACTTAGATGGGATGAGTTACAGTTCGTACCGGAATACATTTCCTCGTAGGTGAAGATTTGATCGTCTAACACTCTTTACGAACTTTACTCTCATCGTGTGATATGGGGTGAGCCAGGAACGTTGAAGCTCCATTGATGAGCAGCGGCCATAGCAGCAAATTGGAAATATTCCAGGATTTATGATTTCCGATGTGTGATTGGTCGCTGATTATTTCAGAGGGGCAAGAAACAATGGAAAGCGGCGATGAAAGCCTTAGAGGTTAGGTCGGAAGCTAGCTCCAAATAGATATACCGTTACGGCAGAGTTTAAGAACACACATTTTCTGACCTCGAGATCGGATCATGGTGATCCGAATAGGGCCAGCGTAATCTAGGCATACATACTATTAAAAAAACTTGCCCTAGGCTAAGTGGAAAAAGTATCCAAAACTGCTGCAGTAATATTAGTAATATTGAAGGTTTTTAAATCCCGACTACAGAATTTGCTTATATGATCAGGTCAGTCAATGGTTGCGATTTGGGCAATGGTATAGTAGGAGAGATTGGAATGACTAATTCTACCACCTATACTAAAGTATTCCCGATAGGTTCTCTGAGAAAGGCACAAAACGCCCACTCACGAAAGAAACAAAAACGCGAATTAGCACACTATAGACTTCCAGCGATGGACTGGGGACGCCAATATGGCACCGAAATTATGACGGAAAACAGTCATACCAGTAGCCTCTTTCGATTTGATATGTACGGCTGCTCCGTAGCTGACCTGTGAAGCGATGGAAAAACCCATGGAGCTCCGGTTCCCGGTTTGTCAATAAATTTGCGTCCTAGAATATTGGTGGGTGCTAGTTCGAGGAGTTTCAGCTTGAACTGTTGACGAATGTCATCACTGGGTGCTTGATTAAGAAAAATTGTCCGTCGTGGAGTTCCATTTCAAATTCTTTATGGATGTCGGCTCCTTCTTGTCGAAGGAATATGCAAACATTTGCAAATGCGAGGAGGTAACAGCAGATATAATGTCTTCGTAATTGCTGCTCAGTTTCCAAGAGTAAGACTGCCTTCAGTTTGTAGGCCGCCAATGGAATGTCATTTATCGAACCGGATAACAAAAGGTTCAATTTCAACTCAAGACTAAAAGTTTTTGGTTCATATTCCATCCCATCGTTTGTAAGTTTAAATATATAAATTTAATGGTTAACAATAAAATTTGAGAAAACATTCTGTGGGACAAGTTTTCGGAACCTCTCTTAAAAATCTACCATTTATGAAAAATTTTTCAGACACACTAAATAATATAAACAATAATTGTGAATTATTACTAACTGAAAAGGTGCAGTCCTCTATCGACCATCGATTGCCAATCATCTTTATCCAATTTCTTCAGACTAGATGCGATGCTCGGCTCCATCGATACGTAGAAAAAATTATTTAAACTAATATCTCTTATAATGACACTAACATTCCAAGGATTAAAACACTCCTCCAATATAGAGCAAAATTTTTCTCGATGGAACTGTTCGACGAAATTATGGGAGAATACGTTAAATGCCTCATAGCAGGTGATCTAAAATCATTACATATTTTAGTTGCTGATTCTTTCAACGTTTAATAAGTACGTGACCCACTTCAATCATGAACTGTTCTTGTTCAGTGTCTCCATTATTCTTGTAGCGTATCAATCCGTCACACCATCGGGTTAAGTCGTGCGGATTGATGGCGTAATGTTTCGGTCGCAAAGTGGAAATATAATTTCTGATCTGAAACATGTAAGTTATGTAGTTAAATCAAATTTAACACTTAGACTCAACAGCTGCTGGTGATAGTTGACCAAGCAATTTTTTGGGAAACAAACTTAAATGACGTGCCTATTAACTTTAAAATCACTAAATAAAGTTACTAAGTTGTAGCCAATTTTTTAACCTTAATACCATCAAACTAGGCTACTTTCACAAGTTTTTCGGACATTTTTCATTATAAGGTCGTTATTTAAAATAAATTAAATTATAACAAATCTGGCATGCACACAACAAATGTTAATCTCGATGTAAACCAATTATTTTTTTTGTCAACAAAAATTGTTTATTTTGCCGAAGAACTTTTATTTAAGGCACTTTATACTAGTCATTACAAAAATAAAACGTTTTAATTATCCTACAATTAAACAAGAAATTCGAGAACACATCCTAATCTACGTTTTACATAACAATGAAAATAAACGAAACAGAAAAATTATTTGGTATATTGGAACTAAAAGTTAAATATACCCAAAACTAGAAAAACATTTCTTCACTTAAAAAATAAATAAAATTTGGGCATAAACAAAAAAAATATAAACTTAAATTTAAACTTTTTAAAATTTGAATTCTTTTCGATCTCAGTTTCACTGTTAAAGATTCCATTCTCACCGCTGTTATGAGTATATAACTGGGCACACATAAAATGAATTACAAAATCAGCAAATTCACTTCTTGCATCGAACATTTTCAATTAATTAGTTTTCATATGGCACATTTTGAGTTTAAATCGTTCTTACTTCTTAAACTTATTATACTAATAGGAGGTTTAGGTTTCTTGGCTTTATCTGTAACCTTTTTTGATGGTATTTCTGATGGTCCTGGCTGACTGCCGGAGAAACAATGCAATTCTTCATCGCTGTTGTCTGAGATTGCCTGGGCTTTTGGTTTTGCTCACTGGGAATCGCTTCGTCTTCAATAGTCATCTGTCTTCCAGCTTCAAATTTCTTTCCCCTCTTTCATTTTTTTCTGTTCTTTGCTTAAGAAATGAGGAGATTCTTTGAAAAACTCATGAATCAAAAACTCGTTCAGTTTCTTCTAAGTTCCTTAATACTTCATTAACATTCGTGTTTCTGGGATTTCCGGAAAATGCTATTTCCATAAATAGTGCCAAGGGATCTTCAGTACTCCAGTTTTCATATAAATTGATTTTTTTTATACACTACCATAGGAGGCATTAGAGCAGCATTATTACAGACTATTGTGCTGACACAGGACCGAGAATAGTTTTATACTTGTTCTACCCTGCGTCTCTGATTACAACAACTTTCTTAGCGCCAGGATCATCATCAATATTAGTTTCGTGCTAATTTTATAAGTTTTTCAACACCACCTAATGCTTGCTTTATGTTTTCAAAAACGGAATAATATCGGTTCTATCTACGGAGGCTCCCATGGGCCTGGGTGGATGGGAATAAGGAGGCATGAGGAGCTAAAAATCCAATAACAAATAACCAGTCGTGGACCAGCTCACCCTGACCAGCTGTCGTGTCGTGGCTAAGGGCTTGCACAGGGTATAACGGTGCCAGCTGGCTCTTAATCAGTTTATAAACCATGCGTCGGGTGCCTCCACTACGGGTGGCCACGCGACGCGCGGGCTCTGAGCTTAAACACTTGGACCAACCTCGAGGTACCGGGCGCACCTCGGGGAAGGAAGCCTTACCTCTGTTGCGGGGCTCTGCAGAGACCGACCGTATTTTTCCCTATGATATGGAACTAAAAAAAGGAAAAAAAGAAGAAGGGAGAAGGAGAAAAAGGGCCCCCAGGAGGGCTCCAGCAAACAGGAGCATGTTCAGGAAGTTCCCCTACAAGGGCGATCTGAGGAGTACCCCCTACAACGGCGATCTGAGGAGGATTCCTAGGCTGCGACCGATTTCGAGGGCTCGGTATAAACCGGGAACACCACCTCGTCAATACACTGACCCAGACACAAGAGTGGGGCCGAAAAAACGAGGGAGACTCGCGGCGACGGTTCCTGAACCGAGGATGAGTTCTCTCCGACGCCCAGGAATCCCGACAACGACGCGCTCCATAGGCGGCACACCGAAAACGGCAGGCGCCAAGCGGAAGAGAAAGATGGGAAGGACCACCCAGGTCAGGACACCTGCAAACGCTGGACCAGGGGAAGGCGGGGTCCAATCCTATGCGCAAGCGGAACCGAGGGGACCTGAACTGCTGGTGGGTCTCAGAGGGCAGGACACTGACCTGTTTTCGGGTACTGGGAGTGGGTTCGTAGGGAGCTAATCAACGTAAGGACCTGAGGCTCGCAAACCTGGTGGAAATCAATCCGGAAGGATTAAAGCTCAGATGGCCGGCGATCTGGATTCCGGGCCTAGGGGCGGGTGTCTCGAACGGAGCACTAGTCCGCTACCTAACAGCTCAGAATGACCTAGATTGCCGTGCCTGGATGGTCTGGCAGAGAACGGAGGACGGAAGGAGCACAAAGTTGGTGGTGGGCGTGGACGAGAAATCTGCAAGAGTCATCACAGCTATGGGCTCACTTCTCTTCTGTCTGGTGACCTGACGACTCGGGTTAAAGTAAACCTGGCGGCGCCGAGGTCGCAGGGGGAGTAGGTACCCGCGGGGGTCTCACATGAAGACGACCCGTCCATGGAAGTTGATATGCCTGCTGCAGAGGCAACGCTCGCGGTTTCTGTGGAGGAGACCTCCGAAGGGCCCTCCGAGAAAGGATGAACCGACAAGGAATCTCGGATGGAAGTGGACCGGCGATCCCACCAGGGTCCACCGGTCAGGAAAAGGTGGAAGCGGAGGTAGGTGCTACCTCTGGCTAGGATCCGGGCTGAAGCTAGCAGCGAGACCCTCAGATGGTATTCCCGTAACAACACCTTCACGGGTATACTAGAAATTAACCTGCAACACAGCAGGGCCGTAACGGCTTACTTATGCAAGAAAATTTCGGAGGAAGGTACATCCATTATACTGATACAAGAGCCTTGTATTGTAAAAGCAAGGGGGTTATCTCTCAGACGGTCGACGTTGCATAGTTTCGACTCTTCAGGGGGTGATCCCAGGGCCTGCATGCTAACGATGGGACTGAAGGTTATTTTTACTAGGGGACAAGGGTCCAGGGACCTGGTTCCAATTCTGGTCTGATCTCCTATTCTATTACTCCTACAGCTGTCCTCCCGAAATCCTTTATATTAATTGTGCTCTGCGTTAAAAATTGTTGTAAGGTCTGGGAAGTTACATCATCCCACCTGTCAAGATCTACATGCGTGCTTATCTGAGTGACGTTTCAGTCTTCCTTCTGCGATAAAAACGATTTAAACAAGTTCCCATCGACCACAAAGAAGGTTCCGTGGATTGTTCGTAGTGGTCCTTATCTATAGTGACTTTGACGAATAATAGTTGGGATACTGCGAATTTAGCTTTTCGCAATTTACCTCGGGAAATATCGGTAAGGCCTTCAACAGTTGTCTCTGGGTGTAACATGCAGAAAAGCTAGAGAATCTGATGTTTTCAAAGAGCACGTAGTTGTACTATTGCTCCCAACTACAACATTTATTTTAGAACGTCGTTTTTTGTGTACAACTTCCATAAAATTGTTATCGCTTATCTCGTCAATGTCATCTAGTTTCATTTCTGACTGAACTTCAGCAATAAATTTAGCAACATCGGTTGTCTTTATTGTAATATGTCTTTATTGTATTGTATTCGTTTATTAAAAACTCGCTCCGCTGCGCTCCGCTCGTGTCAAATAAACTCATAAGTCAAATGCCGTTTACCGCACTTGTTGCATAATATACTATTACCGAACGTGTTGCATACTATACATTTTCTACGACCGTTAGTTTTTGGGTACATTTTCGCAAAACAACACGAATACATTCACTGACATGACCGTCAGACTTGACAAACGTCAAAATTCAAAGCGTTGGAAACATCTTCGAAAACATCCGATTGCTCCCAAATCCGTGAGGTAAAATTCCGGAAATGTCAGAAGTGGCTCGGATTCATGGGTAACGAAACTGACGTGGTAAAGTGACGCTTCCCGCATGCTAGATCGGTGGGTAATTAGGTATTTTACAGACAGGAGTAGAAAAAAAGAATTACAGTGAAATTGTAAATTTAGGTTTCATTATTTGAAAAGCTTATTACATACAACTCACAGAAATTCTTGATTCCTGATTGTCTAAAACACAGTGCAAAAAATATATCTTGCCTAGTAACTCATAAGTAAGACATTTAAAATTTTGTAATTCTGAGGGTCTTCTGAACCTTTTATGAGATCCGGATTTCTTTTTTATATTCTATATAATATTATTATACACTGCATATTATTCTTTAAAGAAAACGGTCGTTTACCAGTGGCACGAGTGTCGAGCGGTTCAAAGATGATGAACGCAGCGGCAGACGATCGACATCGAAAACCGACGAAAACTTTAATAAAGTAACATAAATGTTCATAAATTATCGCAAATAAACCATCAGAGACATAGTGGAGGACTTTAACATTGTCTATGGATCCGCCCACGACATTTTGGTAAATGATTTGGATTTTCTTCGTGTAGCGGCAAAAGACCTCAATTTCATGCAAAAAAAATCTTGTTGAATAGCGTTCACCAAATGAGCCGAGACCAAAAAAAAACATCGTTTCCAGTGAAAAAAGAAGGCAATGCTGTTTTCATGGATTACAACGGTGTAGTGCAACACGATTTTTGGCAAGAAGGCAACACAATAAACAAAAAAAGTATTATTTGGGCGTCCTGCTACAACAAATAAGCTTTTTACCTAAGGCGAAATCAAATACCACCGAGATAAGAAAAATAATCACCTTCTTGTAAGTTTCGGCCATTATGCTAGCCAGTTTGTAAACGTTTGATTTCGACCAAGTTTCATTACTGATTGGCATTGCATGGAAAAGCCGCGAAGCTGCAATTGACGGTAAGTCTTCTTGATCGGGTAACCTGAAACGGTAATAATAATTAGCCAAGAGACTTTTACATAACGCTCAAACTTACGTTATACTCAGGACATGCAGCTTAGACAAAAACCTTGATGATAGTCGGTTTGCAGATGATAACGACCCTACTATTGTCACGTTTTCTAGTCTAATAAATTCCGTATTGGAATCAAAAAATCCTTCGAACTCTATTATCTGAAAATATGAATTAATTTTGAACCGATATATTTGATTAAACGGAAATATGAAGTTTGGAAACCTTTTCACTGCACACCCACTTTTGGGATATTATAGCGTATTGATGTAAACAGTTAAGTAATATTTTCGGCAATATTTGTGCCAAAAATCATAAGAACACATTACGTTTAACCATACCACAAAGGTTATACAAAATAGGGTTACAAAAAAAATTCCAATAGATCGCATAAAAAAAAAGAAAGACACATTACGACGGTAAATGATAAGATGCAAGAACAGTAGCAAAGTGATGAAATACAGAGTATTTTCTAATTGAACGCCAATAATTAAAGGGGTGATTTTTGGGTCCATTTTAAAAGCAAAACTTCATATGAGCATATGTCCCAAACGTCTTAACTTTTGAGACACAGGGTGGTAAAGTTTTCAAAAATGAAATATATTTTTTTAATATCTGGAATACCAGTATAAATACTTAAAAAAATTTAGTACAAACAAATGTACCAGAAAATGCACCAGTAGCGAGCGTACGGAATTTCACCTGTCTATTTTGGCAGACATTAATGGTACGCCACTGTGGTATTACAGATATTAAAAAAATATATTTCATTTTTGAAAACTTTACCACCCTGTATCTCAAAAGTTAAGACGTTTGGGACGTATGTTCAAAAGAAGTTTTCTTTTTAAAATGAACCCAAAAAACATTTAATTAGGAAACAATCTGTATCACATATTTTTGCACTTCCTGATATAAAAGTTGAAAGATGTGGAGATGGTTACATTCTGCACAAGTTTTTTTCTTAATAAAAGTTCATAGACCTTGATGTGGGTTTGGGTACATGCTGCGCATGTGTTTTGAAGGTATGTATAGAAGATCCTTCATGTTATAATCGTATATCATAAACGCAACATTGTTTACACATTGTAATAGGGCCATTGCAGATATCTTTGTCGTAATTTGAACTTTTCAATTTCCCGCTAAAAACGTGGATATTTCAGCTGTTCGTGACATCACGAGGTACGTTTTCTTGTTGACATTTATCAGCCTAACATTTTTTGGTTTATCGTTATTACATCGTGTCAGGTTGTAAAACTACAATCATTTCTGTACCGGGAAAAACTTTAATTAAATTACCTATTCAAGAGAAATAACTAAAAATATGGCTAAAAGTCATTAGACGCGAACTTGCAGATATTTCATTAAAAAGTCGCGTTTACCTTTATGAAGACCATTTTAATATAAGTATTTTATTTATTATTTATTTACAAAAATTAAAGTATTTTAAAAAACTACAGTTCATTAAAACAAAAATAAATAGTTGCATAACCTCACTTTTGTGTGTTAGTATGTTTATATTGTCTTTTTTCAGCTGAAGAAGGACATAGAAAACTATGGAGTAGCGTTTTTGTATGACGTCAAAATTTAACGACACGGACGAGCATTCTAGGATTAATGACAGAGTTTTGGTTAGTTTTTAGAAAAAATATTCTGAAAGTGTAACTTATTGTATTGTTTCCGAAAATTTTAAGATAAGCAGCATACAAATTTTTCTCGCAGTTCACCTGGCCCAATGATTGCTATATAGCAGAAGCAGTAATGTACCTAAACACGAGCCTCACAGAGAATTGGTCTGTAGTTAGGAGCAAGGAATTAATTATCAATATATTTCCTTAAACCTAATAGGTAATATAATTGAAGCTTCTAAGAAAAATCTACACTACTGTTTTTGGTATCTTTAATATTTAGATTATCTCTTGCGTTTCCCTGAAAGTCTATGGACCGCTTAAAACAAAACGTATTTTATGATTTCATTTAAAAACAGTATTTTGAACGTTTGACTGTTAAACTCTGTTTAATCAATAATAATAGTTACGTAAAAGAATTATCAACAATAATTGTTTCGCAAAATTAATTTGCTATCATAAATGATTTTCAAAAGTAATTACGTGGTTACAAATAAATACTTACCTGGCTAAGAAATTCGATTACCATGCTGGTGCCCCATTTGTCATGGCTAAGCAAATGGACATTTCTAAAATGAAGTATCAACCTGCCGCGTCTCGGTTTTAACATTTTTCCTTTATTGGTGGACAGCGACAGACAATGCTAAAACATGACACATTTTCTTATCATGAAAGCACTTAGTAGCCCTTAATAAAATATTTTTACCTGCAATAATTTCTGAATGATGTGATGTGTCAGCAAACCAGCGTTACAGTGGATAGTCACGATTTCGGTATCGAAATATGACGCTATTACGTGAGAAATCATTAACCTAAAGCATGAAAAGTCTCAAAAGATGTCAGAGTAAACACCAATTTTAGAATAACCAAATTCTTTGATTTCATTATTTGCTTCTCGGGACATTTATTTCGTAGTTTACAAAAAAAGTTATACAAAACTTTTAGGGTTCAAAATTACTTTCCTCATAATTCACTGGTTTTATCTATCTAATCAACTATCAATAATCAGGAGCTCTATTCTCGACGGTTTTAAAAATAAAGTGGTTGAGACGTTGTTTCTTCGAATTTATCAATATTTTTCCAATATATTCAGTTTGAAAGTGGATATTATCAATACTGCTGACGTTTTGCCAATTATCCTGATACAGTTTCAGTCAAGCTCTGAAGAAGCGAACAGGATGATTGGCTAAACGTCAGCAAGTTCGACTCAACAAAAACTGACGCAGGAGGAATTCAGAAGTGTTGTAAAAAGTATTACAGTAGCCTGTGGCAGTTTCTTTGAAAAAAAAATGGATATTATCAATTTTACTATTACGCATACTGCGGCATGTGAAATTTTAAAAAAATTAAGTCATAATAATAATCTTCTTCTTCTTCTACTTCTTGGAGATCTGTCGATCCGTTAATTCTGAAGCTGCCTCTGCATCTTTCCCTGTGAAGTGGATTGCGAACTATCTTCCCACCTTTTAGGTTGTCTCCCGGGAGGTCTTGGGCCAGGCGGGTTGTTTTCCAGGACTATTCTCTGAAGTCTGTTCTCGTCCATCCGTTTTACATGGTTGTTGCACTGCCTCTTACGTTGTCTTCCCCATCTCACAATATCCTGTATCCCGCACTGCTCTCTGACATCTGTGTTTCTTACTCTGTCTCTTCTTGTTTTCCCCACTATTGTCCTCAGTGTTTTCATCTCTGCTACCCTTAGAATTTGTCTCGTCTTGTTGGTGTCTTCGCGGACTTCCGTGCCCTACGTTATGATGGGTCTGATACAAGTCTTGTAGATTCAAATTTTGCTATCCTGGCGCATGTACGGATTGGACCAGACTATATCTCGTAGGCATCCTGATAGTGCGGATGCTTTGTTTATCTGGCTCCTTATGTCTTTAACTGGGTCGTGGGTGCTTGATATATCTATGCCCAGATATCTGAATTGCATCACTTGTTCTATGGGTTTGTCCTCCACCACCAGCTTACATCTGAGCGGATCCTTCGCGATTGAGATACATTTGGTCTTGCTGATAGAAATGTTCATATTGAGATGGCGCCCTTCTAGGAAGAACTGGAATAGTTGTCTCTGTAGGTCGTTTTATGATTCGGCGATGATTGCTGCATCATCGGCGTAGCACACTATTCCATCTCTTTTGTTGCCCAGTCTCTATCTGAGGTTGAGACCTGTTGCTTTGTTTATAATTTTGTCCATGAGGAGATTAAACAAAAGGGGGCTTAGACTGTCACCCTGTCTGATTCCCTGGATATTTTCAGTGAATTGATCACCTACCTTGACCTTTGTTACGTTATTGTTATTTAGGTTGTGGATTATCTTCGATATGTTTGCTGGAGCCTTATTTTCCATTAATATCTGTAAATCGGACCCTATCAAATGCGTTTGTTAGGTCAATGAAGCAGATATACGCTGGTATGTTGTACTCTGTGGGCTTTGCGTCTATTGCTGACCGTCCCTTTGTGAAGCCCTGTTGTTCTTCAGCATTCTTAATTTGTACTTCCAGTTTGTCCTTGAGAATACTCGTGAAGAGTTTCATTGCCGTATTCAAGAGAGTATATATAGTTTTCTGGGCAGGTTTTTAGTCCTTTCTTGAATACAGGTATGGTGATGCTGTTATGCCATTCGTCTCGTGTTTCCGTTTTGTTTATGATTTTGTCAATTAGTTGCGTTAGTCTCCTTGCGAGTTCGGGGCCTCCATATTTTAAAAGCTCGTTGGGAATGCCGTCCAGTCCGGGTGATTTTCTGTTTTTCAATTTCTTTAGTTTTGCTTCCACCTCTTCAACAGTGAGTGTACCACTTATATCTGTCTCGTATTCGTTTATATTCTGCATTTCCCCAGCATCGTAAAGCTCTCTATAATGCTGTTGCCATTGGTACTCCTTTGGTCTGCACAAGCTCGTTAACTTGTTTTTTCCTGTTCCGCAGCATCTTCCACACTTTTCTTTGGGTGTCATACAGGTCCTGGTCCATGTCGCTAGTAAAATTGACCCAATGTTCTCTTTTGATTGATCTTATTCTTGGTTTACTCTGTTTCTTACTTGGACGTATTCTGCGTGAGTGTCTTCCGACGGTGCACTTTTGTATGTTAAGTAATAATAATAATAAATATAATTATTTTCAAAAAAATAGCTACAAAGTTGTATAGTCAAAACACATAATAGGTACAAAAGACATAAAAAAACATTTACTCAAAAAAAATTGGTCTAGATTATAAAATATTTTGGGTAACAACAATATTTTTAATCGCTTTTGAAATAGATAAGCTTTTAAACGTTTGTCTGTTAACTCCAAGGGCAGATTGTTAAAAATTCAAACACCCAAATAATGAGGTGACCTGGAAGTCGTCGACAGCCTACAGTAGGGAACGTGCAGCTTACCGCTCTGTCTTGTATACTTAGAATGTAAAAACCAAAATCAATAAGAATTAAAAGTTCAGATTTTCATGAAATTATATATTTTTACATGACAATTGTTTCGACAACACCGTGTTTATCAAATATCACATTTTGATCCCATAACGTAAATGGTACTCCACCTTCGCATAGTATAAATTGAGCAACTGTTGCCTAGTTAAAATCTCACTAAGATTTATAAAAAAAATATTTTACTATTTAGAGTTGAAATAAGAGTATCACAATTCCAGTTTCAATGTTCATCGAAACTCAATCCCAGAAACCTCACAGTAGCCTCCCTTGAGATAGTGGCATTGCCTAAGTAGATATTAAAATTATCACATTTGGGTTTTGCTTGCGTTGAAATGTAGATTAATTTTTCCAAACCATACCATCAATCTATATCCACACGACAACAACGGCAAGTTGCAATTTACATATAATATGAAAAGTACAGGACCTAAAACTGAACCTTAAGGGACACCCATCGCTATGCGTTGACTAGCTGAATTTACACTTTCCAGTCACATATTAACCAAAACTTAAGGGATACAAATTGAGAACGATCTTCCAAATAACTTCTACATCGGTCTAGAGGCGTGCACAGTCAAACGCCCGACATATTATATAGAAATACGAATAAGGAGCAGTTCAAGAACTTCTATTTTTTCTGAAGTCATGTTGGTTATCTATTAAAAATATGACATTTAGCTACAAAAAACTTTAATTTCTCTAAGAAAACATACTCTAAACTTTTGAAAAACCATCTGAAATTGTTATCGGACAATAGTTCTCCGGTAACTGGCGACTGCCCGCCTTGAAAACTGGAACAACTCTGTTTCTCTTTTTAATAAAAAACGTTGGTATGCCATCGGATCCAAAAGACTTTTTGTTTTTAATTTACTTTTTAAAATATGCAAGAGCTCCTCCTCCATAACAGGTACCATATAAAAACTCTGATTATTCACATCCCTAATAACACTATATTTTTGGAAGCATCAAGAAAATAGTTATTAAATTTATTAAATACAGAGACCACAATATTAGGTTTATTCTCGATTTTATTGCTCCGTTCTGCAACACTGGAACGACATTTACTCGACATATCCAAAATCACCCTCCAGGCAGCACCATAAGGAACGACTGAATCCGAAATTTGTAAGTATAGCAGTATTGTATTATACCCTAGGATATAAAAGTCAGCAACGTTCTGTTAAAATGTTAAAATTTTGTAAAACCCTCTTATTCTTATTGCCATTGCCCTTTTGGCACTAAAAGAAACATTTCTAAAACTTATATTATTTAGAAGATAGAAAATTTAATCATATTTAAAACAAAAAAAAAGTTGTTTGAAGTGTCCGCGATTTTGTAGGATTCATAGTGTGGTAGTTAAGCATATCTGACCAACATATTTTGAAATGAATTCCGCTGTACTCCGAAAAATCTTTATTTCTAAGTGAATATTGTTAGGATAAAATTCCTCATAACTTTTTATATCAATATGTACAGGGTGACCCAAACTCGACGGCCTATTAGGAAAAGACTTGAAAATTGGGTTTTGGTCTCTATTTTTAAAGTATCTTGAATATCGCAGCGTTGCCACATCTACTCGCACCAAGATTTTTGTTATATACATTTTTTATGTATAATATCTCATTTTTTATATCCGATTTAAAATTTCTGAAGCCTTAGGTGATGTTTGCCGTACAACTGTTGTTTCAAGTTCGTCTCATCTCGATTTAGTTTATATTTCAGTTTCATATTAAGTAAAACAAAAAATAATGTGGCTGGAAGACGACAAAGTATATGTTGCTAAACCATATGAATTTCTCTTTGAGGATACATTACAAGAAAAATTTTAATTGATCAAATACACACCGAAAGAAAGAAACTGATGTTCTATGTGCCGTTTCTCGTTTTCATAAGCAATGAAATATCCTTATTTTAGTAACGTAATTTAATAATGGGTAAAAAATAAAATTTCGATGCAGTTCAAAACAAGAGAATTTGCAACAAACTAGTTGAGCCTTAAAACTAGTATAATTTTTGTAAAATTTGAAATAAATGAGCTAACAAAAATATTAACATCAAAGAATTTAATTTTATAAAGAAACTTCCACAGGCTACTGTAATACTTTACAAGACAATGACAATGAATTCGAAAGCAATCCCACACTTACCACTGTTACATTCAAAACATCACTGACGATAAATCTGAAGTTCTTGAGAAACATAAACGTCGAAAACAAATTTACCAGTTGCCCAAAAATCTCTCAACATTTTCGATCGGTCAAAAACAAAATTCCGTTTGGGATGGCAGGAGCTTACAGCATTCCATGCATATGCGGCAAAGAATACATTGAAGCGACCGGACGAAAAATATCAACTAGGCTCAAAGAACATGAAAGAATCTTAAGACGACGACAAATAAACTCATCAGCAGTTGCTTAACCGATCTTTGTTTATGTTTATGTCCATGCTTTAGCTTAACCCCCCCCCCAACAATATATAAGCAAGTAGAATGCGAACCAGTTTCAGTTAAGCTTAAGAAAAACGAACACAGTGATTAGCGAAACGCCAGCAAATTCAATTTATCAACAACCGAAGTAGGAGGAATCCAGAAGATTTGCAAATAGTATTAAAGAATTTGGTTTTTCTAAAACATTTGTTAGTCCACCTCTGATAATTTAATTTCAGGGGCTGTTGTACTTCATTTTCCTTTCGACACCAACTCTGGAATACTCACCGTTTGGCCGATCCGTGAGGACCCAACATCAGAAAGTGCTGATTGGTTGTTTTATCTAACCATTCGCGAATTATACTTAAATAGTATTTCACTTGTCCCGTTAAGAGCAGCAATTCCCCAGCGGGATCTGAACTAGGACTAGTATGGTAGGAGTCAATACAATCACGATCGCTATCGTAATAGGGTCTACTAACCATAGGAGGTGCGGTTTCATTCATCCACTCAAACACCTAAACGATTAAATTAATTTGAGTTAACAGGGTAGTCCGCTCCCAAGAATTTAAAATTTGTTCTCTGTATCTTGCTTTCAGAAAAACTACCACTTTCTTCTAGCATATTTGAGAATATGGAGATCGGGACAGCACTAAACATCCCTGATGTTATATACATTAATGATTAAGTTTTAGTAAGATGAACGATCCTGAACACCATATATACTATATATCCTAATTAGCATCTATCATTTTCCTAGCTTTTCATTTTTCTTTTTCTTCTTTTATGTTTGTAGCTTTTTAAGGTCACTAATTATGTATCGTTCGTATATTTATCATTAGAGGCCACCCAAAGTTTAAATTTTGTTTAGTTAGCCGTTTTAACCTTTTATTTGAAACCCAAACGTGTTGATGTATATATTTTCTTGTATTTAAGGAAAACCGATCTTTTTATTTAGTTCAGTTGGCATTTGTTGGATTTGCAGGTCTGATGATAGGGTAACAGGACGAAATATCTGACTGATTTAGATCTAGTACATTACAGATCCCTTGGGTGATTTTCTCTATTTTCTTATTCGACTAAACATAGCCAAAATACAATATTTTCCAAATCTTTTACGTGGGAGGCTATTTTCTCTTCTTTTTAAAAATTACTGTTAAATAAGTTGTCTCAAAAGAGAAAAAAATTATTAAAGTTATGTATTAAGTATTTTGAACATTGTAATCAGGTAGTTGACAAAATTTTAATATTTTCCCGAAAAACCAAAAATTCAATAATATTAGCTGCAATATTGTGTGTAGTGTAATATCAATAAACCTAATAACATTCAAACAGACTGCTGTTTATTCTTCACCAAGTTGGAGAAGCCAGCGTAACCCAGCGTAATTATTGACAACAGTCAGTGACACTTGTGTGAAGTTAATAAATTGTGAGTTTTAAAATGAATTATTTTGGAGTGTTTTATTTTATGCCGTAGGAACGTAGAAAAAGCCGAAGATGTATTTAAATAAATATCCGGAAGGACGTCAACCGGGTAGAGCTATGTTTAGTGATCTGAAACCTCCAGATCAAAATTAAGTCTTGCAAAACGTGGTAGAGACCACACCTCGTACATCATTACGACAGAGATGTCATCCTTATCGTGAAAGACCTTGCCAGGGACTTTAGGAACGGCGATAATGTTAGAAGAATTGCATTGTGTCAGCGGTTTATTCAGAAAAACAGCTAGATACCAAACTCTTCCTTAAAAGTCCTTTGGTCGGAATAGTATCGGTTTACTAATTGTGGACTCTTTAATCGTAAGAAAACTGTATTTTGGGCAGAGGTAAATCCACGGCTAGCTCGTGCAGTTACGCATCAAGTGATTTGGGGATTTACCTTTTGGTTTGGTATTTTGGTACCCACAAAATTGAACTATATTTCAACCTTCTACAAACTAACGCAACGGAATATCTTATGAACCTTCCACTTCCAACAAGACGGCGCACCGGCACACTAAACTAAGTCCTATGGAAACGTTGGAAGCTGTTACAGAAGCTGTCAATAATATCACTCCGTAAATGTTAAGCCAATTTTCCAATATTCTGAAGCAGTAGACGAGAAAGAGTAATGGACTTAAATTTAATAGTGATGTAAAAATTGATGTCAAGACGTGGACTACCTTGGTGCAGCTCTGGTTGTTGACTGGTAAAATTTCGTAACACTTGACGGCGCTCGACATTTTAAATCTAGCACGCGGAAAAATGCTCTAACGTTGGTCTCTACCTGAGTCGTACTAGTTCGAGTACGACACCGGAGCTACCCACATACCCAGTGGCATTGTCACCAAAATACGGAGAGAATAAAACCGTAGCAATTAATTAAATGAAGACCAATTTCAATTTGTTTGTATACAAATTTTACTGACTTCTTTTCTCGATCCTCTCTCTTCAATTTTATTGACTCCTTTCTTGCTCATTCGTTATTTAAATGTTTTTTAATCTTGAATAGCACTCACTAGCCTAAAATCTTATTTTTGTTATTTCTGTTTTAACCAAACACATGGTTGAAAAACATTTTTAAAGACGATTTTGAAAATATTAAAATTCATAAGAAATACAAAAGTAGACTTCGGCCGTACGCAACATAGTAGTACTAAATTTTTTTGACGCAATTTTTAGCAACGCCGTATCCTTTTTCCCACATCCTGAAAATTTGAATATTTCAGCTAATGTATTAAGGAAAATATTATCGCTTTTCAAAAATTGACATTTTCCTTTTTCACCCTATGTAAGGGTATCGATTTCAAATAAAACAAAGCTAGATTATTTTTTGACATATGCATATGCTACTTTTCTTCCATTTGAGCGACGCTGTATCTCTTACAGTTTCCAAAATCCACGTGTACATCATCTTATATTGTACACCCTGTATAATGCAAAATATCCATACATTTTCTTGTACTTCGTAAAAATTAAAAAGTCAAATCGAGTAATTTTTAAAAAATTAGAAACATCGTCCATCTTTTAAATATTCATCGGCTTTTAGTTCAGGAAATATATTATAAAATCTCGTTTCTCATTATCAATAAGACTAAAAAGTAGGTAACAAAACAATAACGTTGTTTCTAAATTTTCATTAATTAATTTTTGAAATAAAAAGCTCTTAATAGCTACCAGTTGGCCGAAATTTTCTCGGAAATCCTCATGCAGTTGTTGGCCTATACCGTTGATCAATCCGACAACAAACTGGCTTCTGTTTTTCGCAGCGTGGAGTTGCGACAAGCCGGTTCTTGCCACGGAAATTAGCGGTCTTGAGACGCTCAGTTCGCCTTCGCTTATAGCCCACCTAATTCCTAACAAAGTAATGATTGATTAAACTTACATATGTACAAGTAACTTAATGTTCGATCGTAATTTCAGTGGCACAATTGCAAAAATATGGATTTTAAAATGTAAAAACCGCCCTGTAGCGATATCTACAGTGAACCAACTTCGACCCGAGCGTGGCTTCGAGCACAACTGTTTTATCCCGGCTCGAATTTCTGTGAACTGCAGCTGTTGATATTGTGATAATGTTTTTAAAGGCTTACGGAAGTATTGTACAAATTTCGTTTATTGTTGTTTGATTGTTTGTATGTTTATATTTTATAAGAACATATAACGATTTCGGCTTTTTTAAAAGAAAAATTATGTTGAACAATATTTGTTTTATTCTAGTTATTGAAAATATCGTTATCTGAAGTAGACAGAAGCAGTTCATTTACCCAAGATGTCCGCTAAAAAAACAGGCAAGAAAATATTAATAATTCATAGTTAAAAAGGAGGCAGAGGAAGAAATAACTATTCCAAAGATCGCTACAACATTTTTTTATGCAAACGAAGTGGTTTTTTATAGGGCAAGAACTCCGGCTGCTACCAAGGTATCCAAATGAACCTAATCTAGGATTCAAAAAGAGTCAAGAAAAGTGAATGTAGACTGTGTAAGAGATGGAGCAAGCACTTCTTTTTGCACACCCAGGAAAAGGAAGTTGGGACATATCAATTCAATATAAATGAAATTCGAAGGGAAAATCATTTAATTATGGAGAAAAAATGATCTACTTTAAAAGGATTTAAAATATAATAACCAACCATTACTATCCACATACTATGTTTTTTTTTTTTCAGTTATTAGGCAGAAAATATTAGACAAAGGGATTTTACTTGATAACGCTTATCATCGTTGGTTCTTTAAGGACTTTATTGGCCCAAATGGACTTCAAGTAATTAATATGTTTGTTGTTTGTGAAGTAATTAAAAAAAAAACATATTAGAAATAAATATTCAAGTATCATGATTTTGCAGATGGCAAAAAAACATAAGACAAACGAAACTCATGATATCCGTCTCAAAAGAATAAAATACTTAAAAGAAAAAACACAAGGAAAATTGAATCCCATAGAAAAAATGGGCCTTCAGAAGTTACTGTTGCGAAATCGGCTAAAATTTGCAAACAAGCAAAGAAACACAAGGAAGAACTCATACAAAGAGATCGTGTATTTGACAACACGATTGATAGTATGCAGTTCATAGTAAATACTGGATCCTCCGAAGAAAGTGACGTAGAATCTGATAATATCGGCAGCAGTATTCAGAGTACCGTTCTATCAGATTTTATATGACGTATTTTTTAACATGTCGATGATCCACTAATACATAAACACAAAATGCCTTATATTTCCGCCTTTTTGCATCACAGATATCAACAAAAAAAATTTATAAGGACCATAGGCAAACTATGATTGCTTTATAAAATAATAAATTAAAATAAAAAAGGACAACTGTAGACAAAATCTGTGTACGCCACTGTATTTGCCTTAAAAAATTTTCATTAATAAAAACGTTATGGGCAATTTTCAATATCTCGGTAGTTAATGGAGATATCGACATACGGTTTTAATTTTTCTACTAAATCGAGCACTTGACATGCAAGTTGATTTTACTCTATCTAGTTCAGAAATAGATTTTTCCTGTTAAAACGCTCCAGCTACGACCACCCTGTACATTAATACAAAGAATAGGAAGCACTCAACTGTCTTCTGGTTTTAGCATAAGTGATTAAATTCCAACTCAATATACCTTTTGTAAAATACTCCCGCAAATTCGATTCCATGCAATCTCTGTCATCCTGAGGCAATTTCTTTATGAAGGCATTTAGGTAGTCGTCCAGGGGCAGGTCCTCCGAATTCAGCAGAACGATTCCGATTCGAGAGACGGTGGCCGGAGAAGCGTGATTCAAATCGTGTGTCTCGAACACAAAATTTACATTCTCGCCGAATTGTATGCGCCAACCAGACGGGAGCGACAGGATTCGATTATCATCCAAAACAGAGTTGAGCGATTCGACCCATTCGGGATCTATGTCGCCGTCACATAAAATCCACGTCCATGTATCTAAAAATCGTAAAAAAGAAACCTTTAGTTCCTTAAAAGAGGTGTTATTAAAAAGTCACTTAAATTAATAAAAGACATTATTTACTCCCTTCAGAAAATTTTGAAAAAGCATATTGACCAAACATTTGAACCAAAAGAAAAAGCCGCCGCACACTTTTGGGAAATGTGAGATTACTGGAAAAAACCCTTACCTTAAGAAATGACCAACGTATAAAGTCGGGGTTGATAATATTTAATTTAAAATGGACATAGTATATTATGAAACAAGTGCAGTAAACGGCATTTGACTCACGAGTTTATTTGATACGAGCGCAGCGGAGCAAGTGTCTAATAAACGAGTGACTTAATAAGTTTACCTAACCTACGGCCGTTAGTTTTTTGGTACATTTTAGCCAAAACAACACGAATACATTCACTGACATGACCGTCAGAATTGACAAACGTCAAAATTAAAAGCGTAGGAAATATCTCCGAAAACATCCGATTGCTCCCAAACCCGTGCGGTAAAACCCCGGAAATGTCCGAAGTGGCTCGGATCCATGGGAAACGAAGTTGACGTAGTAAAGTGACGCTTCCCGCACGCTAGATCGGTGTGTTTGGCATTTTCCAGACGGGAGTAAAAAAAAATATTTACAAGAATTTTCATTTTTGCTAAGGGTTGATTCATACCCACTAGACTGATGGTGTGTTTTAATGGGCAAAAAATATAATGAATCTGAACCACATAAAAAATGACAGCTACACATGCTTTGAAATATATACTTTGACCTGATCGGTCAAAAACGCACTTTAAATCGGGAAGTTTAATCGATTTAAATATTAGTAGAACGTATATTGCGTTTCTTTATACAGGGATCTCCGCTGCTCTTGCACGTACAGCAAAGTTTAAATAGGGAAACTTAGTGCATTGGTTGACACGTAAGTAAGATAGCCTGTAGACCTATTGGATTTTTCAATTTTTGGACAGAGCGCAAAATTTCCAGTTCAGTGATGTCTTACAAGTGCACAAAAGATTTTATCACACTTTGTGAAATGTGTCTTAATTATATAAGTAGGTCATGATTTAATTAGCACTAACATCGTTCTACCCTGTACATGTTTATGTAATGTTTGAGGGATGCAGCGGTAAAGGAGGAATCTGACATTGTCTTGATTACTATTTACAAATCTTCTGGATTCAGCCTGCGCCAATGTGGAAATCATCCGAGATAATGTTCATGTCCCTTATTTAGCTCCGCCCCCTTCGAACAATATATAAACAGCGACAGAGTAGAATGCGAGTCGGTTTCAGTTAAGCTCTGAAGAAGTTAACGGGATGATTGGGGGAAACAACTGACGCAAGAGGAATCCAGAAGTTTTATAAGTAGTGTTACAGTTGCCTGTGAAAGTTTCTTTTGAAAATTACTGATTCCCTTTACTCCGTCGTGGTTGTTTTTAAAAAGGCCAGCGTGCACGAGTCATAAATTCTGTTTGCTATATTATACCTGGAGCCTCCAAGGTTGCTTGAATGCTATAATTAGTCAGCACTCCGCCATTCCATTGATTGAGGTTATCCATTGATCCCAGTAATAACTGTCTGCTCATACTTTTTGGATTTAATGGGTAAACTTTTATTAGTTGTCCGGTTTTTAAAAGAGCCTTTAAATAATTAATATTACATTTGACAGTAGCCTAGAATTAGTTGGAAATATACCTTTCTCAGCAAACTGATTATAGTACTCTTGCCTGAACTAGGCGGTCCCACTACAGCCAAGCCCATTCTCTGTTTCAGTTGCCTATAGCATTCCAAACATTTGTTGATCTGAAAAAAACTCAGTTTTTCTCATTGAGAATTAACATGGTCAATAAAATTTTTTTTTTTGGGTACTCATGCGCAAATTTTGATTTTAGACATTGAAAAACAACCAAATTTCCATTCTTAGTTAATAAAGCTTGCCTTTGTCTAATTTATGTCGATAAGTATAGTTTAGTTAATTTTATATGCCATGATTGAAAATAAATTGTATTATTTGTTAACAATTAACAAATTTGAAATTTTGCGAAGCCTATGAAGCCTATTTAAAAATTAAAATCAGTAATTAGGATCAAATTTGGGTACCACACTTTGCCTGAATTAATTGTAAAAATACTTTAGAAGGTAATAAACGAAATTTAACATTTTTAAAAATGTCGACCAAATTTAAATCACAATAATCGTAATTATGTTGTTTATAACTTGATATAGAGAAGAAAACCGACGTATGCAGTTTGCGGCTTGACGTAAAAATAACTGATCAAAGAGAGTGCCATAAAAGTTGTTCATGATTTGGGAATACATTTCGTTGCATCTGACTAGCGGATTTTTCTCTATAGCTCTTCAAAAAGTTTAGAAATAGTTCTGCTTCACAGCGGAAATGAATTGGCTAGTCGTCCTCCAGAAAATTCTGTATTGTTAAAAGAAAGGTAAGACAGCGTAAAATTGAAAAATTGAAATACACAGAATACCAGTGGCGAGTGATCGGTGATTTTAAAATGATGGGTTTTGTGATGGGAATGCAAGGTGGATATACTAAATACCCCTGTCATCTTTGCTTATGGAATAGAGAGCAGATTCAGTGCATTATCAACGACGTAGCCTGATCGAGTCAAATTTCATATTGGAAAACATAAATAACCAATCGTACAACCTCAAAATGTACTAATGCTGCCATTACATATAACATTAAGCTTAAAGAATCAATTTCTGAAAATTGTGAATCCGAATTAAGAACATTTAAACATTTGACAGAATTTTTTCCTAAGTTATCAGGGGCTAAAGTCAAGAGGGTATTTTCGTTGGACCACAAATAAAACAAATAATGAAAAATGATGACCAAACTTCTTAGTGCTTGTAAAAAACGAGCCTGGAAGAGTTTTAAAACAGTAGTTGATGGCGACCTCGGAAATCATAGGGCTGACAATTATAAACAATTGACTGAAGACATTCCCAAAACTTTAAAACAATGGGCTGCAGAATGTCTCATAAATTTCATATACTACATTCTCATTTAGACGAATTTAAAAATAACATGGGTGCATACTCCGAAGATCAATAAAAATCTTTTCAACAAAATGTGATGCAATATGAAGGCGTTATCTAGGGCATTACAACGAGAATATGACCATAAACGAAATACATTTATATGGTATTATTTATTACAAATTTTGAATAAAAAGGACACTGATTTAAAAAAAAAACGCTTCTTACCATAAAACCAGAAAAACAAAAAAATCCGTATTATTTAGTGATTTTTGAAGAAAAAATGAAAAAATGCTCTACTTTCTAGAAAAGCAAACTTTAATTTCAAAAAATATGTATTTAGTGTAAGATAAACTGAAATTTAACATGAGACTCTAAAATCTTGTTGACCTGTGTAATTAATGTCGGCTTGTTTCTCGTAAAATCCATCGTTTTTACCTGTCTTTCGTCGACGTCCAAATCCATTTCCACGCAACTTTCTTCCAGCGCCTTTATCAATGATTGCTGTTCTATACTTTGATTGGGAACATTTTTAAAAACGTTTTCCATCAATTTTTCAAATTTCATTCCGTCGTTGAACGTTAATTTTGACATAACATCCACCCGTAAGACGCCCACCACTGTAGTCATTTCGAAATCCGCGTCCACCATGACTTTGGCATTTCGCTTCAATTTTCTTATTGCCGATCCACATCCGACCAGGACGCTTCTGATTGCTCTTAATCCCCAATCGTAATGTCGTTGTTTACTCATTAGTTTACTGCAAAATGTCCCATGTTTATGGTTTCATGACCTCGTAGCTCCTTTACTAACAAAACTAATGTGTTATACCGATTTTTTTTTTAAATGAAAGGTGCCACAAACAGAAATTGATTTTTAGATACAGGGAATTTTTGAAAAAAATGCACTTTTAGACATTCGCCGTTATTCAGTTATGCGAAATGGACTGTGATACGCAAAATTGTCCAGTTTTCAGCAACCGCCCCAAAATTTAGCAGGTGGTGGGCCACCAGTGCAAACGGCGAGACATTGACGATTGGTTTAATGTAAACATATTGTCCTTCTTAGAAAACACCATATTGGGCCTTTGGATACCTACAGAGTGACAAAAAATATAACGTTTTGGAGGTTACGTCTATATTGGTTAAATATGGCAAAATATTTGATTCAATTCAATCGTTCAAAAAATGGTTTCTTTTCAGAGTTAAAGTTTACACTTTGTGGTACATTTAAAATATATATCTAGGAATTCTAAAATGCATAAATATAATTTTTAGACTCTCTCTGAATTCTGTGGAACTAAATTTTTTTACTAATTATTTTAAATTCTTAGTTTTATTGACTTTTTAAAAATAGATAAAAATAGATAGACTAAAATTATGTGTTTTAGCATGATCAAGCCTTGCCAAAACAATATTGGCTGCGACCACTTGCGGCCTTGCGAAATAATAATACACAGTGTGGATCCGCTTATTATTGTTTTTGACTTAAACCGCATATATTTAGTAAATAGATATTAATTTCCCAGTACAAATTGCCTTGAAATTAAATAATAAAAAAATGAGAAACATATTTTCTACTTTTGAGTGGAGAGCATTTGGGGGGCATTAACTTGAAATGTTCACATTTTTTTTGTTTAAACAAAAATCTATTGTACGTTTAACGGTCGACTCCCCTGCGTCCTAAATTTTTATGTGGCTGTGGATTTTACACTATACACTGTGGGCCAAAGATGGGGTATATGGCAAAATCAAAAATTTTGGACTATATGTCCACATTGGGTTTAAAAAGAAGTGACTTGTCATGACAGGTGCAAAATAGATTTATAAAGATAGATACTAGTGACGTGATATTGTTACCATAGGTACAAAATTCAAAATAAGATTAGAGAGATTTTTTTAAAGAAATCTAATCCTCTAACCCCATTGTGTCCCCCAGGTGTCAATTGACTTGGATATTTTGACAATAAATTGCGTAACATTTTCCATATCGCGGATCGCGAAGGTTTAAACAGTAATTAACACCTATTTTTCTTTATGAAGGCTCAAAACATTGACTATGATGATTTCAAAGCCCTATGAAGATATTACAAAACTTCATGAATGTTTGCTAAAGAATAGCTTTTGGCTTAGTTTCAAATTTTGCAATACCCCGGGTAGCAGTACCAACAAAGGAAAACGAAAACTTTTTCAAGGTAGGTCTGACAGACGAAAATGAGACAGAAACGTTGAGTGTCTTCAAAAATGTTATATGTTATATGCCGCGACATTTCCAGAAAATATTGTAACAGACGAATTTTATTTATTTCAAATAAGCCTTGAACTGGACTAAATTTTTAAGGGTGATATTTATAATAAATCTTGTAATATGATATTGAACTGAGAAGGTTTTTACTTGATGAAAATCCATTTTCAAAATAAATAAGAACTAAAAGTTCAGATTTTCACGATTTTCAAAAAAAAAATTTGATTTGATTTTGTCGAAATATATAATTTCGTGAAAATCTGAACTTTTAGTTCTTATTTATTTTGATAAATGGATTTTCATCAAGTAAAAGCCTCCTCAGTTCAATTTTTGAAAGAAACCGAAATTGATTTCTTGGCTATTTGGTATTTTAAATTATTTTTTTTTATTTAATATGATATTCCCTACTGGGCGGTAACAATTAAAATTTAATTGTCGGGATTTTCCAAAAAGTTATATGAAATAAATTTTATTTTTAATTAATATTCAGAAAAGTACAGCTGCCTTTAAAAGAGAGCAAAATATTCATTTCGTCACCTTCTCGGTTCTCTTTTTTCAACTGAGACTTTTGATTTCATTAAATTTCCGGATAATGGATTTGATTATGTCAGTTGACTTGAAGCTGTTTTTCTTTGAGTAACCCATTTTCTTAATTGAATGTTTCAACTTAAAATAAAATAACACAATATGTAACACTGAACACCTGACTAACTCAATCAACATCTGTTTAGTTAATCAAAAAATTAACTTAAATAATTCAACGACTTATCAAAATATCAACAATCTATTCACTACCGTTTCCCAACTTTTCGATGCGCATACAAGTCTAAAAGATAATGCTGCAAAAATTATACAAATTTTGTATTAAAAGTTTTTTTCGGTGATTTGCGTTGCAGGTGAGCAAATATAAAAAATAACCTTTTACATATATCTTTCGAAAACGATAAGCTCATTCAAAATATTAAATAAAAGATGCAGGTCTGCAAACCCGCAACTTCATACACAAAATGAAATGAAATTTCTAATTTTCGGTTTTCATAATTTCCTCGATTTTGAAAGGATTTTAAATTAAGCACCAAAATGATTTCAGCGATCACAATAGTATCCTGCGAATATGAGACAACTTGTGTCAACGATAGAGTAATTCTCATATCTCATGAGTGTCATAAATTATTAGAAAATGGTAAATACAAAACTTTTAAACTAGTTTTTACGTTTGCAAAAAAAAAATTACGATGGGGCCATAATTCTTATATTTGATATTAGCGTTATTTGCAGCGGAGTTTGAATTAGATGATATTGAGTATTCAAAATAAACGAATGTATTAGAATATATATTGAATATATTGAAGAATATATTTACTTTGCGATCAATTTTAACTTTACCAATATTTACCCTTTTTTCTGTCAAAGTATTGGTATTATAAAGTTTGTCATGACAAAATGACATTGTCAAATTTTTACTGACAAATGAGTAAATAGTGTCATAAAATTTATTGTGGTGTCTGTAAAGTTTAGAAAAATACCAAGGATGGATTTTCCTAAAGCTGAATTAATTTATATGACTTAGGCACTGGGTGAGGTGGAAAAAAATACTTTGTTGGTAGCAAGACTTTACAAGGCGAAGTACCCTAACAGACGTATATCAATCTTCTTCAATAGTGAATAGAACGGTTTGATGCTAAAAAAAATTGGAAATTTTACTTCAAGTTAAAGATAATCCCCAGGTCAAAAATCCTCAAGCAGCTAGCTTCTGTGATACATGCCAATCTACCGTAAATTGCTTGTTGTTAATTGTTAATTGCATCACTAGAAAACAAATATTATCCCTTCCATATGGAACTACACTTGTTCACCGTTATAAATGAAGCAATAGAGGCCGATCCAGTAATAGTGCAGTTAATCGTCACAACATGCATTATTTTTCAACAGTTAATCCAATCCGGGTACGGAAAGAGAAAAACCAAAACCATTGGTTCCTCAAAGTGTAGTGTGGAATAAAATATTTTAAAGTTATTGGACCATATTTTTTTCGCAAACCACATAATGGGTTAAACTTTTGGCAGCATGATTTATATCTACTTCTTCAAGATTTTGATAACATTGAGATCCAACAAATGTGGTTTTAGCAAGTTGGATCTCCTCGGCATTACTACCAAGAAGTTCCAGAATTTTTAAATTATGATTACCCACAGAAATGGATCGGTAGACGTGGATTCATTGGATTACCCCCTCGCTCATGTGACCTAATACCACTAGATTTGTTTGTGTGAGGATGTGTTAAAGATCGCAGCTTCTGACTTAGAATAGGCGGCTGCACAGCGTCTGGTCTCCATGTTGGATGCGACTAAAAAGACATCGGTCTGCCCAGAATGGAAGCAGCGGAAGCGGATGAACTAGGGTTATACTTGGTCGATGGCATAGGATGCGAAAATCAAGTGGGAAAGCATCTTATTAACCTTCCCCATCATACCAATATGGAAAAAGATGTCCCTAGTCCCCAGCAGACCTTAAGTGGTCAGGGGGTACTAAGACTGAATGACCAGAAAGGCCACATAATAAGAAATAGGATGAGTGTATATTGAAATGGGGTTGTAAATGCAAAAGCATACCCGGGTTGCGATATAGGCTCAGATCCCAATCCGAATGCAATAACGCTAAGGATTAAACTTAAAACACTAACAAAAACAAAAATGAAAAAGAAAATCGATTGAAAGAACGCAAATAAAAACCAAAAGCGGCAATACCAACAGTACGCAGACGCAGAATGGGAATCGGGCACAAACAGTCAACAACAAAGGTGAAGACAACGTCGAAAAAGGGTGGACAAATATCAAGAATTTTGTCAATAACGCATAATGTCAAGTAAGTGAGGAGAAAAATTTTAAATTATGCCCAAGGAAGTTTTAAAGAAGAAAATGCCATGGATGATAGACCAAATATTACAACTGATGGATGAAAAACAAAAACAAAAACGAAGAAGAGTATAGACGTTTAAACAAGATAATCGAAATTAACATTAAACAAGCAAAAGAGAAATGACTCATCAAGCAATGTAGTGAAGTAGAAAAACTGCAACAACAGCACAGAGACCACTAGCCAGCGACAACCCAAACAACTTCCACTGGTGGCTAACGAAAATAACGAAATCGAACTGGGCCCAAATAAACAGCAACAAATTTGGGAAAGATATGTAGACCAGCTATTTAGCGACAATGAACGACAAGAACATCAACACATCGACAAAGGTGAGAACATACCTATACTAGTGACAGAAGTACAACGGGCTATTAAAGAGGCTAAAGACAACAAGATACGAGGTGAAGACGACACGACGCCTGAACATTTCAAGCACCTTAGTGAAAACGCAGTTAAACGAATGACCTGCTTCTTTAATATCATATATGAAAGTGGCTGTCAAAGAAAAACAAAATCGCAAATGCGAATATCATCTATTGAGTCACGCTGCAAAAACCTTCATGATGACTATTTTTAATCGTATCCAAAATAAATGTCAAGAATACTTATGCAGATCTCAGTACGGCTTCATAAGAGGGACTGGTACTAGAGAAGCTACCCTAGCTCTCTCGATAATTGCCGAGAGGTACCTGGAGGTCCAAAAAAAGTTGTATGTATGTTTTGTAGACTATAAGAAAACGTTTGACCGTATTAAACAACAAAAATTAATGAACACTTTACACGAGATAGAGCTGGACAAACGGGATACTATAATCATCCAGAATATTTTGCTGGAACTACCAAGGTTGTGATCGACTGGAAAAGGGTAACACCAACTACATAAATATAGAGGGGAGTTCGCCAAAGCTGTCTTTTTTCTCATTTATATACGCAGAATCCATCATTAGATTATACATGCTACCGACTAGAAGGCGCAAAGTTAACGGCATAATCCTCAATAACATCAGGTACGCGGACGACACTGTCATTATAGCCGAATCGGAAGAACACCTACAAATAATGATGAACAGACTGAGCAAAGATAGTGTTAGATGGGGTTTAGAGATAAACACCACAAAAACAATGATTTTGGACACACCAAAAATAATGTCCATACGCAGATAACTCTGTCAACTCTCAAATTCTTCGAAATGTTAAGAGCTACATATATCTGGGCAGAGAAATGTCCACTCAAAAGAGATCAGAAAAAGAATTGAGATCGCAAGAGCCGGATTCTTGAACATGCGTAACTTGTTATGCCACCTCAAGCTGTCCACACCAATTCGACTGAGAACCCTGAAATAATTCTATACACATGCAAAACGTGTACATTAAAACAAGAGGACATGAAAAAAATTGACGCATTTCAACTTTGAATGTACAGAAAAATGCTTCCAATCAGCTCTAGAACAACCAATTAAAAGCTCTAACAAGAGTGAATACCTGCGTTTTTTAATCTTAACAGAGCCGTCTTGGCTGATAGTTTCGTACTTGCTAAGTAGTATTATTGCAATCGTCTTAGACACATAGAAGGATAAATATATTCATAATATGGCGCAACCCATTGTTTTGCATATATAACTTTTTTGTAAGTGTAAAAACTGTATTTTTAGAAAAAAGTTGAAAAATTGCAAAACAGAATTCAAAAATCGGATGTTTCATTTTATAAAATGTATGTATACTCTAAAATAATTTTAAATAGCGCATCCTAACAATCTTTTTAATTTTGGTATTTACCATTTTCTCATAACTTTTAAAACCAATGAGATAATGAACCTTACTCTATCGTTGTACATACTTGCGAAAATATGTTGGGTTAATATGATCAAAGAGTCAACAAAATTTACTCGAAACCGAACCGATCACCTGCACATATCGAAAATTTCCACTAGCTTCGTCGCTATAAGGTCGGCATTTTGAAACCCGTCGCAACGCAACAAAGTTCTGGCGATTTGTTCGCGATCGGGATGAGACATGACCACGGGCCGGAAAAGTTGCTTCAGATTGTCCGGCAATTTGTTCCTGCCTCCGTAATTTTCACTAGCTGGATTCAGGGTGACGAATATGCCGCAGTGTTTGTTCAGCGATATCTGCGGTAAATTCACAAGCTAGACCATCGTACCAAAAACCAAATTATACGTCCCCAACCTCTTTGTCCGAGAGTAATACGGTCGATTTGTTAGTTTTTAAAGAAAGTTGGATGGGTTGGATAACCATGGAAATAGCCGATAATGTAGCTTCCTCCAAACGATTGAACTCGTCGAAACATCCCCAGGCCCCGGTTTTGGCCAGACCCATTAATATTCTGGTCATGGAATTGACATCTGTTCCCTAAAATCATAGTGAACAAGGTGTTTCAAAAAGTCAACGCTTAGCTAGAAATTTTAGCAGAATTTTTAAAAAAAATATTTTTTTGTATTTCACATGCTATTCTTTAAGCATTCATGTTCTTCTGGTTTTAATAACATAATCAATCCACTTTTCTTCGTCTCTTACTTTTAAAATGCTACAACGTTTTAAACGTTTGTAGTCGAAAGGAGTCTTTTAGCAGAAATTACTCCAAAACGATTTTAGAGTACCTTTCTTGAGAAAAATGAAAACAATCGTTTTCTTGTTTGTTTCTTATTAGAGTATTTAACTTTCCATGAAATTGATCAGTATTTACTGCAGTAGTTATCGAATACAAATCATATTGCAGTTATCAATGAAACTTTGCCAAAGACACAAGAAAGCACACACAGAAGCGAAGCGAAGAAACCACCCAAAAGCTTGTTCCAACATTGTCGGAATCTTGTATGTGTTTGTCGACATACAATATTGAAGAACCGAATTTATAATAAAACCAATAATTGTTCGGTCCTTCGCCGATTCATTTGGTGTCTGTTGACATTAACAGGAGCAAAAGGATGGATTGTTACACTTTCACGCTGTTAGATTTCCTTTACTTCCTGCGCTAGATCCATTTATTTTGATATTTTGTTACTGTTAGCATCACTTGAATTGCTGTCTTTTGGCACAGTGATGTCATTAACAACAGCGGTCTCTGCGTTTATCGAAAACAACAATATCTGGACTCTCAAATCTCTCGGTCCATCACAATTCTCAGAAAATTAAATGAAAATTAATGAAGTGAAACTTAAACTCTTTCAATATACGTTTAAAAGAACTACACTAGAACTAGAACACTACCTAACACTTCACGTTAAGTCCAAGAAAAGCACCTTATTTTTTTATACGGAGGCTAAACTTTGGCTTTTGGTCAATCCCTTCATGTTTTAATAATTATCTCTTTTATTTACAAATCTTTAAGATTTTTTCTGCGTCGGTTGTTTATAATTTGAACTTTCAGTTAAGCTATGAGAAGCCAACGGAGTGATTGACGAAACGTCGGCAAGTTCGATTCATCAACAACCAACGCAGGAGGAATCCAGAAGATTTGGAAATAGTATTACAGTAGCATGTGTAAGTTTTTTTGAAAAATTTTCTCTTTTTTGCTTTTTTTCTTGCTATTTGTAAAATGTAACTATTTCTGGCCATTAAAGTGAACTATAAAATGCCCAAAAACAATTTTGTCATTCCCATTAGATTGTAGTTGACTAGAAACGATTTATAGTGATTTTTGATTTTCTTAATTTTTAGATTAAAACTGGATTAACCATCAAAGTATCATTGATTGCAATACAATTAAGATAATATTCGAAAGTAAACCCGAGGTAAAAATATACGATAACCTTCGCATCGCATTCAATTGCGTGGAGAAATTTTAACCAAAAGAGTTTGATTTATCAATAAAAAGAACCTAACAGTTTTGTGCCAATATTTTCTTTTAATTTCGATGCTGTTTCGAACGGGAAATTTTCGAAAACATTTTTTCTACATGTGGAACACTAACGTCACCCTTTACCTCGTCACAGTTAAAAACTAACACCTGGCGTCCTAACATGGCCCCCAAGGACTTGATCGACTCTGTCTTTCCCGTTCCAGCAGGTCCATACGGGTTACCTCCCATGCCTAAATAAATACTCTAGAACGGCAAATTTTATTGATTGCTGTAAATATTCCTTTACAATCACCTGCGTCAAAGTTAGAAAACATTTTTCGGTCAAAGGAGTCCGCACCAGTTTTTGGAGGTTTCCCAAGTATTCGTAGGAATATTCCATTCTGGAGTTCGCCATCTTTACAGTAACGTCACCAAGGGAATTTGAGTAAAACCTAAGAAAAAGCACTTAATGATTGGACATAATGTCATTAATTCGTAAGATGAAAGAAAACTTAGACGAAAAACATCTACTGGCAATCCTTACAACTTACCGTAGTTGTTTCTGCCATACCCAGTCCGAAACTTTTGATATATTTTCCTTTAGCAATTCTTCAATGACGTTAATATAATGAGTCGTATCCAATAGCAACGCTTTTAATTTAAGATCAAGTACATTATCGTGTTCTGAATTATCATCGCCTTTAACCTCCAAGGAAGTGTAGTGATTGAGCTGGGCCTAGAACGTACCTCAGAATAGTAACAGAGGAAAAGGATGTGTTCGATGTTTCACCTTATATTTAGCAAATAGGGACGGCAAGTTCATATCAGCTATCGCTTGTTCACATTTGGAAGTGAAATTTATATCGTTCGAGAGACATAAAATCTGTGACGGATAGTCCAGCGGATCGGGAGCGTTGCCTTCCTTCTGACATTCTGTTAACCATTCCTTCAGGGTATTTTGCATTTCTTTCAATAAATCGTTCAACCATTCCTAAGATAAATATTTCAAGCATGCATTTTGTCGATATTTCAATGAATTCTACCTCAACGGGTTTCCTTATATAAACCGGACTCTGCAAAGTGACTATTTCACCCTGAGCCGAACATATGGAGATAATTTTTTCGCTATTTGGGCATAAGTTAACGCTGTGAATACCGGAAAAGATTTTCTTCATGTGCGATTGAATTACTTGCTCCTTGGAGGATTGGCCAACCACTTCCAAAAGATCTTCGTCGTTCAAAAATAGAAATCGAGGAAACTTCGCGCGCTTTTCCTGGTAGTACAAATTAATTAAAATTTGAAATCGGTACTTACTACGATGTTCGATCCCCAGCGCAAAGCTTTTGCCCTCATTATTCAGTTTCTATGATTTTCAAACACACGGGTGTATTACTCAACTTCTGGTATACTACTACATTCTACCAGAACAATGAATGAGCAAAATTTACCTTTAACTTTGTCTTGATTGCGCTGCTCAGAACATTTTCTATAAACTTTAACTAAAACTAAACTTGAGTAACTAAAACTAACACCCTTGTTTGGGATTGTTATGTATGGTATGATCGTATTAGTTCAACTGCAAGACATAAACATAGACATAGACATAAACATAACTCTTACGTGATAGAATGCAATAACGGAAAAAGCCGGAAGTGTTAATTTTCTTTCTTTTTTCTCTTTCTTCCTTGACCATGATCGACTGTATCAGTTGATATACTACATTTCCATTCAAATCTACAGGACTTTCGTAAATTTTAGGTATCAGGTTAGGCGCTGTTAATAAAAGGTTTTATCTTCTAACATATTTGTTATTGTTTTTTGGAAATACTGATGTAATTGATATAATTCAAGAGTAGTGGAGTCCAATAGAGTGTGTGTATACAAGATGCTTTAAAAAATATCAAACAAATTAAGAGGGTTATTTCTTGTTTAAAATTTCTGGTCGAAAGTCAACAATTAGCGCATCGCGCTACAATTACGTATTAGTATTAGTATTATGAAAACACGCTTTTTATGACTTTATTATTATTTCTTTTAATCAGAAAGAGAATTGAATTAGCCTACCCCTATCATTCTTGTTAACTAAATTTAATGCAAGGCATTCATATAAAAAAATATATTTTTTTTATTTTACGATTTATTTAGAAACTTTTGTCATAATACTTAGCGTTTCCATATAAAAAAAAATCTAAAGCAATGCATAAAAATATTAGATAACAAAATTCTAGCGCGCAGCTGTCAATTCTTAAGGCGTTTCTTATGATTGCTTTATTTGTCATTGCTCAGTTAGTTTAAATACAAAATACGGCCGATTTAATCAAAACTTTATTATCTAATCATTTAGTTGTTTAAAAACAAGAGTTTTAATTCAATAATGGTGAATTACACTATTGCATAAATGACACATCTGCATTTTGTATGCGGACGCGCAAACGGAAATTAATTAATTCTTTAGAAGATGTTAGTACCAAATACAACGCCTAACGAAATTATTTTTCAAAAAAATTTTTTTCGACATGCAATGTTCCATGGAACTGTAAGTAAGTGTAAATATACAGAAATTGTATTTTTAGAATAGTAATTCTTTCGTAGTTATTTTATTATTCTATCTATTCTCGCTTTAATGATAAATAATAAAAACATTATATTTCAGCAATTTTGGTAGCGCGATATCTCCCTAACGGCTGATTTTCGAGCAACTACCGTTTATTTTAAGGAAGAAATCACTCCCTTAAGCTATTCGCTTTTGTTTTATAACACCCTGTATATCGACTGTGATCATGACGTTCGGCATAACTAGGACCCAAATACAAGTCAATTTTATAAACGAAGTAGGTTAAGCTTACTCTTGTTATATTTATTAATTTTTTATCCTCATCACAAACGTTGCATCTAAAAATAATGTTTTATTGTTTGTTCATCAATAAATATTTTAACATGCCATTATGAATAAGGAAAAATATTTTGTTTTAATTGAATTTCTTAAACTGGGGAGATTTGTGTTCAGAAAATTTTATTGCAATTAGAACTTAATTGAAACAAGGATTTCGAACCAAATAATTTCATAATACTATAATTTGATACCGCTTTCATATTTTGGTTATGTGTACATTTTTAAGTTTATGAAGTTTAAACCATTCTTTAAACATTACCGAGAATTTTCCACAAGCATCAAATGTCAACTGAGATTATTTATACTTTCTTACCTACATTAACGAAATGGTTGAACATTTTAATATAAACATTACGACCCTATTCAATGTTCACGCCCCGGTAAAGACCGCTAAAATTAGTAAAAATCCGGCTTACATCTAATATAAAATTAATAATAAAATTAAAACGCAAAGAATTTCTAAATACAAAAAACTCAAAACTGATCAGTCTTGTACTGATTACCAACAGAAAAGAAACTTTGTTAATGCGACAATGAGATCTGAAAAAAAAGCTTTCCTTCCACTAAACTCATTCCGCAGTGATCATAAAAATTTCCGGTGGCTGCTTAATTATCCAATATCAATGTTAATGATGTTTGCTATCTCAGAAATCAGTAAACTAATTAAGTTTTGCTCTTCTCATTAATATGCGAATAATACTCAACTCTACTTGTCCTTCAAATACCTGGAAGCTACAGCAGCTCTTAATAAAATCAATCGAGATCTACAAAAGCTACGAGTCGCGTTTTACAGAATCACGGACTCTTAATTAATGAAAAGAAAACTCAACTTATTGTTTTTGGGACCAAAGATAAACAACTTTGAACTCTACGGAATGCTGCAAAAACCTTCGTTTATTTCTACAGAGCAACTTACAATTTGGTACCCATGTTTTTTCATGAATTTTAAAGTCCTTTGGAAAACTTCGATCGCTTTATTGTCACAATCGCACTGCTCTTAGGCAGTTTGCACCGGGTCCAAAATGCTTGCTTGAGGTATTTCTATAATTTGCCTAAATTTGACCATATATCAGATGCGTTCCGTTAGTCAAGTTGGTTAAACTTGGAAAAGCGTTTTCAGTCACAGCTCTTACTTATTGTTTTGTTAATGGAGGAAATAATACTTTCTTTTATATGTATTACAATTATGCCTTATTTGTAGCTTGTAGCACTTTTTCTTTTGTTAATCGTGTTTGTGATTGTTGGGGTTGAATTATTGTAACTTAGTTGGAAACTGTCTTGTATTCATTTACTTAAATGTAATCTTTACTTTGAAGTATATGGTGATATTATTTCAAAATTATCACAGCTATTACCCAACAAACACTTTTCATGGATACTGTGTACATGTAACATGTACAATCTTGAATAAAAATGTCTACTAATTTTATATTTCGTTTTTACTCTTATTTTCTATTATAATATATATTATATTATTTATTTAATAATATTATCAAAGAAAATTCTTTAAATAGATCATAAATACCTCCAGAAAGTTGTCCAAACTATGTTGACATCTTAAAAGTTGATCCAATGCGTTTTGGAGAAGCAACTTCAAATTTGGGAATCTGCACAGCGCGGTCACCCTCGGTTCTTTAGCAACGTAATGCAACACGCGAGTGAACTCTTTACTGATTTTCTGAAATCTAGCGTTATCCTGTGATAAGGTTCCGCTTTCAAATATCGGCTCTAAATAGGTCCACCTAGAATAAAGCGATCAATGCAATATTCTGCAAACAATCACTGCCAAACTACTTTTTTTGAATCTGCACGAGAAGCGTTAGATATTCGCTTAGATTGACTAACTTTTCGTCCCAAATTTTCACCTTCTCCGATTGAGCTTCATAATCCGGAGAACTTTTTATCGATTGCAGCACAGTTTGGTGATCACCAATCTAAAAATCATATTTTAAACTCTACGTTTAAATTAACTTCAAACGTCGGACGTATCACCTTGTTTAAATGCTTTTTGTAATCCTCAATAAGCGCAACCTTATGACCTTTGGCGTCAGTATGTTCGATCAGGGCGAATCTAGCTTGGAGGTCCCAATGATCTATGTCTTTGAGCGCTTGCCTAATGACAATCTCGCTGGCTGCTCGTTTACTGATAGACTAAGAAAAATTATAAAAATAGAGTACCCCACAATGCACTACTCTCATCCCATAATTGAAAAACCAACGTCTGCACTAGAATAACTATAAGAATAGTCTTCACTCCTATGATCATTTTTCAAAGCGCCTATGTATTATGGCAATACTACAAATAGAACAACACCTGCTCGTTTCCTCTGCTAACATGCAATGAGACAATGAAGTAAGAAGAGAGGAAGAGAGTAATGTCTATTACCTAAGGGTCATTCATAATGAAGATATGAGGAGCCGCACCATGACCTTTTGGAATCCAAGAAACACTGATTGGAACATGTACGAAAGGGATTTATCATGAAAACATAGAGACTTCAAGCCCAATCATTGAACTGGAAGAACATTGGACTATTGTACCCACTCCAGACCTGATTTACTGGGTCGGTAATGTGCAACAGTGGAAACGAGGTGTTGAAACTTGGGGCATGATTTGACTCATTCAAATCATCAAGACCTCACAGTACCACTGTTTTGGGGGCGATCACAAAACTGAAACACTTATGATAATATACTGACAGCCAACTGAATACGTAGTTTAGGAGGAAACTGTTCTCTCTGCATTGCGGAAGTCTACTGAGGCAGTTGGAAGTCCTAAAGCACTACTATATGAGAGGGCAACTCAGTATCTTGTGGAGTAAATTTCCACTAATCTCTTAACTAACAAGGAGCTACTACGGATCGAAATGAAGTAACTCATTCCTTGGAATTGCTTTCCAAATAGTTACTATTAGTCTTTCTTAGCTGCAAACTTGTCCCGTCAACCAGGGTAATACTGTGTGTGGCACAGAGCTGAAAGAGCTGTTAGAAGTATCTGAGGAACAGATCACATCGCACACATTTCTTGAACGGACTCAAATATTCTTTCCTGGCATACCATTTTAGATAGAACACGATTAATGAGTTAATAATTTTATTTTAACAATATGATATGACAAATTTATTACAAAGAAATAATTTCATTAACCTGTCCAAGTTTGGCGCAAGTCTAGCCTTTGGCTACGCTACAGAACCAAACAGACACAAACAATACTATCTTTATCCTATAAAAGTTTTATCTAGAGAAATTACTGTAATTATACGTGTGGAAATAGGTTAAAAAAAAACAAATTATATGCATTACAGTAAGTTTTAGGTTATAACATTGAAGGAGAATTAATTGGTTTTATAACATTGTGGACGTATACATAGGTACTATATTAATTATTTTAGTTTAAGCCCGTTAATAGAGATGTAAAAGATATTTTTTATATTTTATTTTGAAATTATGTAATGATATATCAAAAAACGGTTTGCCAATTAAGTTGAAATACTTAACGGTGTTGTATGAAAATAAGCGCTGAAAGATTGCAATGTTATGATGTGGCATAGTTAGTTTGGCATTATTTCTCATATTAATATTGTGGACAGTGGTACGAAATATTAAGCGATTTTTTATGGAAATAGACGAATTAGGATTATTTATTACATTAAACAAAAATGTCGAGAAATGTATCATTCTGCCCACATTCATTTCGAAAAATTTTATATCATTGTATAAGTGTGATAAATAAAAAGGCTACAGCAGTTCAACGTAAGTGGGGATATTTCGTCGACTCCGGTGGTGTTAGTGCTAATATTATTAAGAATTTTCTCACTATGGATGTTTCGATCATTTTAAAGGAGAAATTTTAATTGTTTTTATACAAGTCATTATAAAAATTTGTTTTTTCTGGACTGTCTGACTTATTTTATAGGTATTTATAAAAAAGTTACTAATTTCATTAGGTTCTGATAAATGTTTTTTTTTTGAGCTGACCAAAGTTTTTTGGATTTGTTTTTAAAGGAGCCAAGATATTGCTTCTTGAAAGAATATTTTTGTGTGCTATTTAAAGAAACTCATTGCACCGTACAAAATCTAATTTTTGAAACATCCTCTATGGTATACCAGGAAAGAATGCTTGACCTCTTCCAAGAACTGTCTGAAAAAATTCGGCTTTTTGTCCAGGGTACAAATTACTTAAAAATCTAGGAAATTATGTGTAATTTCGATAACGGTACGAAACCTAAACATAAAAAATGTAAAATCTAAAAATGCAATGATATATAGGGGGCGCATCTCCACTTATATCACCCTGTATAATTAAAATTAAATCAGTTGACCAGTTCGCCAGATATTTCTAAAAGGCGGTATATATATATATATATATATATATATATATATATATATATATATATATATATATATATATATATATATATATATATATATATATATATATATATATATATATATTTCTAAAAGGCGGTATATATATATATATATATATATATATATATATATATATATATATATATATATATATATATATATATATATATATATATATATATATGATGACACTATATTCCGAGATATCATCCGTTAGCTTGTTGAACTCCGACTGGAATCCTGCAGACGTTTCGCCAAAATCTCCGAACACTTCGTGTTGGAAGTATTTTCGGAGCGCGAGCATTAAAGATGCCAAGTGAGATTTTGGCGAAATGTCTGCAGGATTCCAGTCGGAGTTCAACAAGCGAACGGATGATATCCCGGTATATAGTGTCATCACATTTTTCCATCCGTGAATCAATACGTGAAAAAAAAATATGTATATATATATATATATATATATATATATATATATATATATATATATATATATATATATATATATATATATATATATATATATATATATATATATATATATATTTAACACAAAAAAGCGAAGTTTTACCTGCAACTCCTTCGTAAACTGCTCCAGATTCTTGGATCGTTGTAGAAAATCGTTTAATTGAAGCTGATCCACGGGCTTTGGATCCATTTCTAAAATATTGAAAACATCTGTCCAATGTTTCTCGGTGAAATCTTCGCCCCTCACGTGTTTTAAAACTGGAATTATTCCCTACGAATGAACGATGTTATTTACAGTTACTCTGTTGCAATAAAACAGCAAGTAAATACTTTGTATTTATGAATTTCTTCCAGCAGCGGCGCTACAAAATTTGAAGATTCTCGTTCGATCAATTTGGTCTCCCAAGTTTGTAGAAAATCGTCAAGAAGGTGAATTTTCTTCCGCAACACGATCCAATATTCGGAAGATAATTTATTAAATTCTGAAATTCGATCATGTTTCAAACATTAATTTTTAAGCGACAAAAATTCTTAAAATTTGAGCCCGCAATCAAGTTCAAGCTACTGCGAATGTAGAAAATGGGGGAACTAATCAAAACGACATTACTATTGCTAGATAGCTGGAAACATTCTTTTGTTATTATTAATAATATTCGAATTATGATATTACATGAAGAACATAATTCTATTTTGTTTCGCCAATCATCCTGATGTATTCTGCAGAGTTTAACTGAAACTGTTTCAGCCAATCATCCTGTTGGCATCTTTAGAGCTGGAACAGTTTCAGTTAACCTCTGAAGAAAACAACAGGATGATTAACGGACACTGTAACACATTTAATTCTAGTGACACGTTCAAAAAGGTGACAATTAAGGGATATTACCGACAATCTGGTGAAATAATATCCAACTAAATTGAGGAAAAGTGTTCACATCGAAGGAGAAGGAACTGACACACTGGAAATCGACGTTGTGGTCCACAATGTACAAGGCGCAAGAGTGTAACCAAGCGTTTTGCGCGAAATAAATTTACTATTTGGCTCCAAAGATTTTCAACTCTCTACCACAATAATGGATATACAAATTTGGTCTCGAAAATACCAATATTGGCATAGACAATATTACTGCTTCTTTTTGAAAATGACGGCAACGAAGAAAATAAAAAAGAGTAGATTAATCGATTATTGGTACCACCGAATCACCTTGACTTGCTAATACAAACTACTACAGTACATAGTCATGTTTTCTCCATGGCGTATTATAGATACCCTACAATATATTGTTACGATACCATTTGCTTTGGGATTTGTTGTGTTCCTATTTGAATTATTCACAACAGCAAATTTGAAAGATTAAATTAAATTAAAGTTTAAAAGCATTACTTAGTCACGCAAGACGTTACCAGAATAGAATTCCTCAAATGAAACCCAAGAACTTTCTTCTTTACGTATGGCGTTTTCTATTTCTGTTATGAAAGATATTTCCGGAGCGCCCAAATTAAATTTTTCGTATTCGGAACTGTAACGACAAAACTAGAATAGAATTGATACAAACGTGAGTTAACATACACTAAATTATTTTTCTTTTCGATAATGCTGTTCCATTCTTCACGCTTCGTTTTAACCTCTTGCCATTGTCGGTTCATAACGTCAATGTCGGAAATATCCGAACTCTTTTGGACAGTGACCATTTGGTTCCATTTCGCTTCGAAATGCTCCATCTGCTGGATCAGGTTTTCTCGTTCGATGTTTAACGTCGTTTTAATGTTCTCAAGCTTAAATGAAATATGCATTATTGTTTGTCCTAACTAATAATGATAATAGTAGCAATAATAATAATAATAATAATAATAATAATAATAATAATAATAATAATAATAATAATATTAATAAGAGTAATGATATCTGCTCTTCAATACTCCTTTGGAAACAGATTTCGAAGCAACTGAAAGATAAGAACAGAAATATCAAAATACAGAAAACACCTCCTTATAGCTTCAGTTGAAAGAATAAATTTATCAAGAGAAAGAGGAAAGGAGGAAGAGGAATAAAAAACGCAGTGATTGCCTGCAGTTAACAAATTATAGGCTTAAGAAATTTTTTCCGTCATCAAAACAGTGAACTTCATCAATCCATAGTGAAAGCGGATACAGGATATACAAAAATTTACGAGTGAAAAATTTCAACCCATTTGATAAAAAAAACTGACGATGACAGAGTTCAAAACTGGCATTCAAAAGAACTGCATGGTAGATTTAATAATGACTTAACAGAAAAATACAGTAGATCAAAGTAAATACGTGGAATGGCTAAAGACTGAAACTGAAGGGTTTATGACCGGTATATCCTTAAGGAAGCAATACCAACAGATACCAACAGATAGGTGCAGAAAGTGCAAGAAAAACCAAGAAACCGTAGAACATATTATCTAGCTGTGAAAACCTGGCGACAAATAAATATCTAGTTACTTTTTACAAAGCTTCTGGATTCCTCCTGCGTCGGTTTATGCTGAGTCGAACATGCTCACGTTTCGCCAATCATCCTATTATCTTCTTCAGAGCTTGACTGAAAGTGACTAGCATTTTACTCTCTACCTACTTCTATATTGCTTGAGGGGGCGGAGCTAAATAGGGATATAAACACTGTCTCGGATGACTGATTCCCATATTGGTGACAAGTAAAACCTGAGTTGCGGTGATGAGGTTGTATATAGATTTCTATAGACTCTCGGATTTTTCGTTGAATTGATTACATTCAAGAATTTATCAAATACAATTTTATGTCCGGTTTCCTGTTTGTGTTCGGCAAATGCTGATGAGTTTATTTATCTTAGTCCTAAGGCTCTTTCATGATCTTTCAGCCTAATTGATATTTTTCCTCCGGTCTCTCCAATGTATTCTTTGCCGCATATGCATGGTAAACTCCTGGCATCTCAAATGGAATTTTTTCTTTGACGAATCGAAGATATTGTGAGATTTTTGGACAAGTGGTAAATTAGGTTTTGACATTATATTTCTTTAGAATTTTTGATATGTCAGTGATGTCAGTGATGTTTTGAATGTAAGGAAGGACAACAGTGGAAAGTGTAGAATTGCTTTGCTATTGGAAGGTTGTGGTGAAATGTATTTTGTGATGGCACGCTTAATATCTTTGATGTGGAAATTATTAGAGAGAAGAGCAGAGATATGGTGTTTTAATTCTGGGTTCTATGATTTGAGCAGAGATGGTTTTACAGCTCTGCAAAAAAGAGAGTCAAGCTCTGAAACGAACGTTAACAAGTTGGACTCAACATCGAGCAAAATTCAATGCAAGAGGAATCCAGAAGCTTTGTAAAAAATATTACAGTAGCCTGTGGAAGTTTCTTTGAAAAATATCTAGTTGCTACAAAGTTACTGCAATAGTTTACTTAGAAATACTGAAAAAATTGAAGCTTGAAATTAAAGCTTTAAAAAGGCTGTTAATATCTATTGGGATAGAACCATCATGATAGACATAACAGTAAGACACGACAGTTATTGAGAAACAATACAAGGAAGCGCTACTAATTGGCATAGAGCTTGTACTTAAGTATAAAATAGGGACAATATTATTAACAATTTTAATATATCTGTATCGAAAAGTTCCTAAGATAATACTGCAGTCATAATAATAATTTCGTTTAATAGTACGCAACTCTGATAAGATTTTATACTATTTCGGGATACTATGGTAGAGCCGGTAAATGTTGTACGAAAAGGTTCTCTCATGAACTGGCGGCGATATATATCCACGATTCTTTAAACTTAATATATGTACATCGGTTCTGAAACGAATATATAAACCAACCTAAGCAAGGGTCACAGAAAACATTAACGACGTTAAAATATTCAACCATTTTGAATTTAAAAAGTCTAGATTCCAAAATGATAACCAGAAGTGTGATATTTGTAAAACTATACGGCGCCAAATAACGGTTTCCACTCTATTTTAGTCTGTGGTGTGTAAAGGAAACGACGCGTTATCCTTAGGTACCTACCTGTTTAGCCATGATATGTTGAAAATTATCGATCAAACTCTGCAGCCTTTCCCAAGCTCCTTTGAGTCGATTTACAGAATCCACTTGTTCCCGTGACCAATTTCCCAAAATCTGAGATTTCGCAAACATTTCGTTCAAAGTTTGTTTCATCTCTTCGTGTGCCGTCATTATGCTCGAATAGTTCGTCCTTGACTCGCCTATCTGATCCACCGTTACCGGCTGCTTAGTTAAAATGGCCGTCGACGGGTCGATGTAGTTTTGCAATTTGACCACGTCCTGCGCTATGGAATCCTTCAATGAATATATCAGCTGATCCCAATAGTTCCTGTTGTGGCGTTCCAAATCCGCTCTTAACGTAGAGAGATTGACCAAGAAGCAGCCGACTTTCTCTTCAGCACTAAATACAATTAAATTTAACTTAATACAGGGGCAATTTGCTAAGCCGATTTTACTTAGGCAATTTCGCGATTTCTTGGCCAAATGTCTTGGACGCTCTAAAATGCAAATCCCAGTCCTGCCAGTTTCTGAGATTATTCGTATCTAGCGCTTCCACTTGGAGCCACGATTGCCAGTGTTTGATCACGGAATTTAACTGATCGAACAATTGTCGCTTATTTTTGGAGACAATCTCTAGACACTCTTTGTTCCTGCAAAACAATTTGAGCCTACACCGTAGTATCCTAAATATATTTCGTAAAGTATAGTCTGTCTCAATCTTCAACGCGTTGGATTTCGATGGACTGTCTCCAATAAAACTTGAATGATGTTATTACCTATTGTTATTGAGTAAATCCATTAACAAAAGATTTATTCTCACTTGAGTGACAAGGCGGGCCAGGTATATTTCTGTCTTTCTGATATATTTTTTGAGAGTTGACGTATCGTTTTTACTGTGCGCTTCGAAAAATTGATTTTACGAGAATATAACAATGTAGCGTCAAAATCATATGTCGCTTGATGCAAAAGAGGTAGTGAAAAATATGAAGACTTTAATCAGTAGAGGATTTATTCAACAAGAAGCTTCAAAAGAATCCTGCCTACTTACAAAAACGGAAATATCGTCGATGAGGTATACTATTAATAGTGGAGAATTGAGGAAAAGGAATAATTATAGTGATTTTCAAACTCACTCTATAGTACAATAGTGATCAGGACCTAATGTTAAGGAAAATAAATTGTCTTTATCAAAGCAAAATGGTTGCTACCTTGGATAAACTGAAAAAGAAGCTAGAAGAATTTGAAACCAATATAAATATAAGCCGTGCCACCCTCTATAGAGTTGTTTGTAAAATGGAATTTAAGTACCGCAAAATAGACAACAGGCAAGCAGTAATGGAATCACACAGATTAGGCACATGACACTACATCCAAAACTGTCAAACGAAAGCAACTTCAAATAAAGCAAAACGCATCACCATAATACATGCTGGGTCAGAAGACGGATTTGTTCCAAACTGCTTATTGCTATCTGCAAAAAATATTAATGATTCTGGCATGGATTATAATAAGTATACAAGTACCGAACTAATACAAAACGATTTTTTAAAAAATATTCCCAATAACAGTGTTATTGTCATGGATAACGCCAGCTACTGCAGCAGTCTGCTACGAAGTTACAAAAAAGCGCAACTTTTTTGGAAGTCTTAAATTCATATGCAATTAAAAAACAGAATGTGTACGATGAGTTGGACATTCTGTTTTACGCCTTCGTATCATTGCATGTTTAACTCCATAGAGCATTTGTAAAACCATGAAAAATCAAAGGTCAGGGCAGAAAATATTACTCCTACTTCAAGTTCCAGTGTTACAAATTTTATAAAAAATGAAATTAATAACGTACCAATATCAATTGAGAACTGGAAAAATTCAGCACAGCCCATAATAAAATATTGAGGACCCTTACATTTTTATACAAAACAAAATAAATCCTATTATAATTAAACTTAATGACGACTCTGATAGTGAAACAGACAAAACAGCTACAGCTGTATATATTTAATGTCACTGTTTTTTCTTAGTATAATTTAATAAGATTATATCCGTCTAAATAAACAAAAACAAATTGTATTATTTCTAAAACCTATGAGAGTCAGTCCCTAATGCTCAGTCGTTTAATACCTACAGGACCGAAGTTTTTTTAACTTGCATAATTGCGGGCAAAAGTCAGCGCGATGAAGATTGGCACTGACTATAACTGGAGCTTTAAGCGCATTCTTAATTCGAGATTGCGCTGACGACATCACTTTGCAATGAATGAGTCAGAGATGAATGAGTGACTGTGAATCAAAAGTGACTTATTTCCCCAAACATGGCTTCTACAATAAGGCAAAGAAACGATTCACTGAGTAAGTGCGGAGAATAAATTCCGGTTGCTCAACATTTTGATTGATCTATTTGATACCGAATTAGAATCAAAATATTTAAATTATTTTTTGTGTGTTTTTTAAGGGGATAGTATACTCAAGTTTTTTTTTATTCACCGCTAATAATCTGCCCTGCAGGTACAGTACTGTACTCTGTTGCACCTAGTTGAATTATTTATTCAAACCCGAATGTAGTTACAGGGAATTCGCTTATATAGGCAAAATATCATTTAGAAATTTTCAATATGCCTTTGAAAATGTAAATGTTTTAAATATTGCTGACACATAACAATAGGTCCAGGAAACAAATTTCTTCGGGTGCTTCTTAAAATTTAATTTTATTTGACTTGATCCTAATAAAATAATTTTGATGTACAAAAATATGTCACAAGATTCATTACAGTTAATTGATTTTCCAAGTAGTACAATTAACTCAACTGAAATTCTTTAGTTCTTTACTCAACTCCATTTTACTTAGGAGTTTACCCAGGGCAGATTGAACCATCTAGTCAGAATATACACGTTATCGGAACCAGCCCCACACACTCCCAATCTGACCCAGACAAACATGTAAGAAAATGACCTGTTTTTCAGAACTTGCAAGAGGAGGACTTTCAATAAGAGGTGCACCCACAACCTATAACTTGCAACAACTGGGATAGCAGACTAATTAAAATAAAAAGGAGACACTTACGTCCCTCGCAGACAAGAGCATATATCATTTTTATCGCCATTCAAGACAATTTATACGTCTCAACAAGTTTTCACATCTGTCCAATAAGAACAACTTATTAAATACTTTATCCAACAATGTTCAACAATGAAATATGACGTACCTTGCATATACACAAGCTCAAAAACTGGTAGCAAAAAAACTAAATGTAAAATATCTGCCTAGCAAGAATAACTCGTTATCCGCTGGAAAAGGCTGGATAAAATTATTTATGAACAGATATGCAATTTTGTCATTAAGGAAGTCGAAAAATAGCAACGTGACAAGAGTCACCGGATTTAATGAAGCAATTTTGAACGATTTTTGTGATAATTTATAGAAATTTTTCGAAAAGTATAAGATACTGCCAGAAAGAACATACAATTAGGATAAAACAGGCTTTTCCAATGTTTTAGATGTCCCGAAAGATATTGCCAAAGCCACAATACAAGTGGGTCAGGCAGTATCCGTAGAACGGGGAGAGCTAATAAGTGTAGTTGGAAATACATACATACATTTAATGATTTTTTTATAAAAAGTGCTCCCAAAGGTAACGGCTGAAACAACTGCAAGGTCTAAATTTTTACATTATTTATATGACTTTTGTTAGATCGTACCATCTTTATTCACAAATTGAATATGCCCATGGGCATAGATAGCACAACTATCAATGTCAACTGCAAAATAATATAACACATTTGAAAGATTTTTTCATCTTCCTTTATGCTTTAGAACGCCATGGCAACCCCATATATTTGTTCCTTAAGGTCATGACTCATTAAAGTAATCAACTTTTTGAATATTGCCTACTAACTGTGAATAGGGATTATATTCTTTTATATGTTCTCGTTTTATATAGACATGGCAGAAAATATTAGTAATTATATTTCAGTTAAATTAAAAAAGCGTACAAGTAATAAGTAGTTAAACCCAAATGTCACGAGGTTTCAACATTGGCATTGAACCACACAATTTGACTCAACTTCTGCAAGGAGAATAATGTTTAAACTTCTTAGTTTTTTATATCGCCCTTTTAGAAATTTTTTTAACGATTAGAATCATCATTTGGAAAATATCTAACGGTCAAGTTATTACCTGTCCAAAATCTGACTGTATTTTGGGCCGTTTTTACACTTCGATAAGCTTCGAAAATTTTTGGGAACATTCAAATACTTTTGCAACTGTTGTTCGAACAGTTTGCGTGGTATTATTATCCCTGCGGACCACTATAGAAGTTTCGCAAAATCGATTTAATTTTATTGTGCACCCTGTATACAGTGACTTCTACATCTCGGCAAACTTTGGTAATTACAAAAATTTGACAAATAATAGCGATTTCCAATGATATTTTTGCAAATATCGCCAGCAACCTGTATGATGGACGAAACTTTAAACTCTCTCGACACAGTTTACGATACTGTTTAAACCAAGTTAAGTTAAGTTTAAATCAAATTAAATTAAGTTATGTTTTTCCAATTTTCATTTACAGAAAATAATTTATCCAAAAGAATTTTCAGAATTTTTTAGATTTTTTGCCCATTAACAAAACACCCTGTGTATAATTCAAAAATATTTGAACTAGAGGCTATAGCCCTGAATCTCCCACGTTTCCTGGTCCATTATTTTTTCCAATAGAGTAAAAGATTTTCGATAAAATAAAAGACATTTCTGAAACTATGCAGTCTAGATGGGATTTTTTTCAAATATCTCGAGCAGCGTTTGTGATAAACAAAAACAGTAAAAACAAAAATTGTAGGTCGCGATGCGGCCTATAATACTGTTTAAACCAATTAGCCATAGTTTTGATTTACAGTTAGTAATTTATTCTTGAAAAGAACAATTTACGGGGTGTGTTTGTCCATAAATGAAAAGCTCTGAATATAAATTGGAAATCGATAACTGCAAACATGTGAAAACCTTAAATACCAAAGGTTTAGCTGTTCGTAGGGGCTACATGATCATGTATTAGAAACTGATAACTGAAACACACCCTTTACATTTTTGAAAATCACCGAGAATAAAAGTAAACGGTTTTACAGAAATGCCGACAGTTTTTGAAAATTTTTAAAAAATTTTAAAAATCACCGAGAATAAGTGTAAACGGTTTTCCAGAAATGCCGACGGTTTTTGTCGACCCTCCAGCCCACAATTTCAATAGGTTCTGTCAGGGAACTAAACGCTATTTAGTGCAAAATTTAAAGTTGTTAAGTTCAAATTTCAGACACTTATCGTGTTTCATGGCCAAAAAATAGTCGAAAATGGATAAAAAAGATTGCCGCCTAGATTCCACCTCGCCATTTTTAAATATCTTGTGCATCCCCTGGTTTGTTAAAAAGGAGCAAAATTTGACTCGTCTAGATCTAACGTTTCGGAAGTTATCATCGAAAATGTTCAGCGAATGGAGAACCGACAGAAAAAAATATTTTTTTAGCGACTCTGATCATTTCTGTAGAACCTGCCGTTACCGAGATAGATAGATAGGGTAGATACTTTCGAAAGGTACGATTTCATCGACTCTAGAAGGTAGCGAGTTAGTTTTGGTATATTTTTTTAGCACTTCAACGAAACATCCTCATTTCTCTCGTTTCAAGTATTCTGATGATGGATGTTTCTTGTACACTCACAAAACATATGCACGGTAAAAATATTTTTGCAGCATGTTTAGCCATATTGCTTGTTGTATCACAATTTTTTTAAAAAATGCCAATTACGATCAGATTTGAAAGATTAATATTACGTTCTCATAAAAATTAATAAATTTTCCAGAACAATTATGGCAATGTCGCAACTTAGTCAAAGAATTTTTACGGCAGTAGAGCTGCATTATCTAATAACTGTATGGTTTTTACAACGGTCAAGTTATTACCTGTCTAAAATTTGACTGTATTTTGGGCTGTTGCTACACTCTGACAAGCTTCGGAAGTGCTTAGGAATATTAAAATACTTTTCCAACTGTTGTTCGAACAATTGTTCCAAAGTCGAATGGTCGGGGGCGAATTGCAAACGATCTCCGCGATACACCAAATCGACGTGGATGTCTTGCAAGTTTAATTGTACGTTTTTGAGATTCTTCACGAATTGCTCTTCGAATATGTCAAACACCCTCTGATCGATGTCCACTTTCCAAGTTTGCATGTTTTTAAAACGTTTCTGTTCTACCTGATCGAAAATGGCTCGTATATTTTTAATAGTCTCCTTCCACTGCAGATAATTGACGAACAGATTCGTGTTTTGTAGCTGACGAACCTAGAAAAATTAAGCAAGAAAACCAGTTTTATGGTGCGAAAAGTCAAAGCTTTAAAATAAGAACAAAAAGAAGAAAAACTAATGTCAGAATTTTTTTTTTGCAATTTTCGATTCAACTTCCATCTCTTATTCCGTTGTGCGTCGAGATAAAAGAGAAAAATTTACTTTGTCAACGATCTCAATATGGTACGAAGTCAGCAAACTGTTTTCCCTAGATAACTTTTCCACTGCTCTTTTGAGAACATCCACGTATTTTCCAACCGACTTCTCTTCGTTCCACGAAACAACCTCTTGTTCCTGGACAAGTTTCGATACTTCTAAGGCGCTCGATAACATCATCGGTTTCTGTGATGCTACCATCCGATCGCCGATCGTATTGTGGAAATTTGCAATCTGCGATCAACGATGGCTTTCAAAAGATTTTGCTTGAAAATGTATCGCAGTAAAACCCACCTGTTCCAAAATTCTGGCGAATTTAAGAAACTTCTGAGCATGCTCGCTTGTTTGAACAATTACGGATGATATGTGAAATCCCATAGCACTCAATTGCCTTACTTCGGACACTAATGTAACTAAGGATGCTGGATAATTGACCTTCATCAATTTTTCCTTAGAAAACTGTACCACTGGATCCGTTTGCTTGAGACTTTACAAAAAATATCAAACATATGCATTAGTACACGTGGAGCAACCTAGTTTACCCAATTTCGATGAAATCTAATAAAATGGAATCTGCACAGGATGATTTTAAAAACCCTTAATTGGGAAAAAGATTCAAGAGTCAAGTAACTATGGCTTATCTATCAAATCAAAACCACTTACCTCGGAAAATTTAAATCACTAACCAAAATTTGATGTAGGTAATGTTAAATGATAAATTTTAAAGCAAAGTTATTATTACGTAATTCCCATTAAGCAATATTATTTTGCTTCATCAAATCAATAAACACGCGTGTTGTAATAAACGAATTAATAATTCATACATCCATTCCTCCTGGGACATATTGGAGTGAAAGGGCCTTATTATAACGTTTGGACTAACTTAATAAAATGAACTTTAATTCGGGTCATGTAGAATTAAATTATTTCTCATAGCGGATTTTATTGAACCAAACCTGGGGTTACCAATTTCATAGCCAAACACAGACGTTACAATTCGCAACTGATTTATTGAAAATTAAAATAAAAATATTTTTTTTAAGTAAATCGCTAACGGAAGTAAAAAAAATAAATTTCTCCAGTTCTTGCCGGACTAGTAAAGAGTAAATAGAACGTAAGTTCACCGAAAATCTAAATATATCAAAGTTACAGATTCCTAATCAGATTCGCATTTAGATTAGCCACTCATCAATAGATGTCAGCACAAGCGAAGTTGCATTTTTCTAATTAACCAAAACTAAGTTTCGCCACTCGTCAAAACAGGCTCTAATCCAATGAGTGTCGGCACTAATCTACAAATGGCAGTACAGATTTCTAAGTCAGACCAAAGAAACTGTTAAGTGTTCAATTAGTTATATATTTGTAATTTCGGTTGTGCTGCCATCTGTTGGTGTTAGCCACCTGTTGGGTTAAGAATCTGTTCTTCAGGAGTTCGGAGGACGGTGAAGTTAGATATTGCATCTACTAGGCTAATTACCTCAAAGTCTCATTGTTGATGTCACACGTGACTCTGGTACTCCAAGAATCAAACAGTTCATTTTGTTGTTGCTTTAAGTCGTGTACTACCTCGTCAAGCATGTCCCGTACTTTGGCGTAGTCGGGCAATTCGCTGAGTATCTGCTCTCCAACGGCATATACTTCGTTGGCTTTGGATTTTAGCTGTCGTATAAGAATGATATCTTTAATAATAGAGGTAGTTTCCTGTCTAGTAACGAGCTGCGATCGCTCTGAATGAGATTGGGACTGAATTTGCCTTATGTACTCTTGCAAATTCGTCAGTAAATATTCACGCTCCGATTGAAACATTTTTCTCAATACCGGTCGCCGAATAAGTTCGCAGTATCTCGAAAATTTGTATATAAGCTGAAATCCGTGTAATGCTTAAGAGTGTAATCTCTACGAGTCCTTAGTTTACCTGTCTAACGTTTACGTTCATCGGCGAAAATTGCTTCTTCAGTTTTCGAGCGATCCTGCTTTCGGCGGGTTGCAGTAAGTATTCAAACTCCTTTTGCGCTTTTAAAAACTCACGAGTCGCTGCGTCGTCATATGCGAAAACGTCGATGTCTGAAAATAAATATTGTTTGACCTGGGCCCTCAGTCTTAGTTATGTCCGGTTACGAAAGTTGGTAATAATCCCAAACGTCACTGCCATTAAAGAAGGCACCTCTGTATCATGAGAGTAGTCCAGGACTAGATGATATACCTGTCATTATTTGGAAAATTGTATCTTTGTTCTACCCCAAGCCTTGTGCGATATTTTTAATTTGTCACTGAATACTGGCACATATCCAACACCTTGAAAGAAATCTTTTATCACGCCTAAAAACTATATCAAAATAATATCAAAAATCTCTCTGTTCGCTAAGGTTTTTGAAGGTATAGTTGCAGATAAGATCAATTTTTTTCGAGCTTGGCTTGTAGTACTTTTGACCCATTCCAACGGCGCGGGAAAGTTTTAGCAGATTTTACTACTGTTAGTATTGTTCCAAATTTGATCAAAAATAATATAAAAAATTGAATAGAGCAATGATTTAGTCCTTGAAATTTTAAGTGCTTATCAAGAGGAAACGGCAGTACCCAAGGGATACAAAAAAATAGCAACCTCGTTCATGATGCCTGGAAACTCATCGAAGAAAAAATGTTTTTGGAGATTTTAATAACAGTATTGAAAAAAAAATGGGGTCTGGATCTCATGGGGTACTTTCATACTTACCTATTACGGCTTTTATACAATGGTGTTCTCCAGTATCTTCTAATTTAGGCTTTTGTTTACAGAACAACCTAATATAAATACATAGCTACAGTTAAAGTAGCAACTCATCTTTTTCGATTATTCATCTTTACTTTTTTTACTGACACTAACCTGGGACAACATTGAAACCCGAATTTTATTTTGGGAAGAATTGACACAGATGATGGGACTGCACCATCTTTTTTAACGAGCCCAACCTTGATGACCAACAGCGAACGCAGCGACTAGTTCCAAAAATAAATGAAAATGTAGATTTCCTTAATAATATAACATTGACTTCATTCAATGTATGTGGAGGAACAGATTTATTGAAACTTTCATTTGTCTTACCTTCCGAACAATATCTAAATTTAATTAGGAATCATGTATTAGACGCTATAGTCAATCAAACAATTCCGGAATTGCAAGAATTAACCCGCCCACAATGCCCACCTATTTCCTAATAAATGAATACTAAACAATTACTTTGTGAGATGACCTGCTAGGGGCCCAGATCTCAGTCCCCTTGATTATTTTCTATCTTTATATCTTCAAGAACCTTTTTTTTAAATACACCTCGCGATCTTCAAGTACTATGACAAAATTTGATTCTTGCGAGAACAACTCATCGAACTGTATTAAAAATGCAAAGCAAAACAAGAAAATGCATTGTGGCACAATTAATACTTATAGTAATTATGATATATGTTTATTTTTATTATGGGTATCACTTGACCACTTTTTTGTATTTATAAACATCACTAAAATGCAATAAGTTTATTGTTTATTCTTTTCATTCTCACCTAAATATGTAGTTCGAGGATGTATTATGGTTAAACAAATGTAACATACTTTTTTTAATAATTTTTGTACGAAACGTTGGCAAATATGAAAGTGATGATGCATAGTGTTTTAAGAATAATAAAAGGATTTAACTAAATTGAAAAAAAAGTCAGGTCCCTATTTAAATAAATTAAGTTGATGATGGTCGCCAGAAGCCGAAGCGAATTATAAAGCAGAAACTATATTATCCAATAGCTATATGGTCGGGAAAAAACTCCTACCCGTCATTCCTGGATTTTCATGTGAGTAAAAGAAGTGGATCAATCAGAATATGTAAGAGACAATATCACCCTAACAATTTTTGGAGCAACGAAATTTGAAATAGTTAAAGAATCACAAACTTGTTTCTGAATTGAATAATATTATTATTACGGTGGTTATCCTAAGAAACTGAAAATACGCACACCTGATGAAGACCCGTTATGTCCCTAAATGACTAATTACCTCAATTTCAATCAATTACAACCAAAATGGGATATCATCAATATACCACTTACCTCTAAATGGTTTAAAAATGTATTGGCTCACTAAATCTTGCTGCTCTTGTGGCGTTGAAAGGCTTAGAAGCTGTTTGTGAACCGTTCTTGCGTTTAAAACCTGGGACGAAAAATGTACATTTGCCATTTGGTAAATCGTTTACTCTACCTCTTTCATTCTTAATAAGAAGTGGAGTAAAGCCGAAGGTGTGTAGGGTGACTCGTTCCAAGGGTTCGCGGAATAGTTCGGCCAAAATATCGCGGTCAATTGCTTGCAGGTTGTTAGCCATTTGTCGCCCAAGGAAATGCTCTGCAGAAGCCTGTCCGAGACGATGTGATAGTCGTTGTTCCAAATGTCGCAATGTTTGAACTGATGAATGGTAAATTTCCACACGCTCCCACCTAAATTGTTAACTTTGTTCCGTTCATTCATTCAAAGAGATGACCTACCAATAACGTCCATCAAATGTTTAATCCGATCCAGTGGATAGGAAGGTTGGTGCCTCCACAAGTCGTCCAAGGTGTTGTGGGCCTTATCTAACAATTCTTCTGCTTCGCTTGCAGGCACCGCCTCTATAACTCTATCCGCAATATCATCTAGTGCGCTCGTTATCCATATCGGAAAAAAATACTCACAAAAAATCATTGGCCAACGGTTTCAAGATTGTTTGAAACGTCTCTGCCACTCGCCGAGTTAATTTATCTTTCTTCTTGCCAAATGAAAACTCCTCCCAATAGTTTACTTCGTCTTCTAGAGATTCGGTTCCTTTAAATAATTCATTCAGCATTGTCTGTACTAAATAATTATTGACTATTTGAGAAAAGTGTAGAGTAATGAGAAATTCCGTTCAGTTCAGCTAACTTTTGGTGTAGTACACAGGCGTAGGTAAAAATATTACAGCAATTTTCAAGGTCTTTTAGTTTTCTTGCCCATTACAGACACACCCTGTACATTATAGAAAAAATTTGAAAGATAAAGGTGGTAGCCCTGGATGCCCAAGTTTCCTGGCTCGTGAATTCGTACAATAGCGTAAATGATTTTGGGAAAATACTTGGTTTCTGAAGCCATGCAGTAGGTCGTAACCCTAAATGACGTCATCGCGTATAGATTGAGCGTGAGATACAGCGACTTTCACATGGACTTTTTCAAATATCTGTAGAAGCGTTTGTGATAGACGAAAACCGTAAATATAAAAATTGTAGCTCTCAGAACTGTCTATAGGACTGTATAAATGAAATAGCCTTATTTTTAGCGAATTTTGATTTACTGTTAATAATTTACTACCGAAACGACCAATTTTCTGCATCTTTTGGATTTTTGTCCATAATTGAAAAGCCCGGATCTCCCGCGTTTTCATATTGAAGAATTTTTCTGATAGGGTTAATGGTTTTAGAGAAAATATTTTTTTTGTCAAGTCAAAATAAACAAAAAAAATAATTCAAAGTTTTTTCAAAAATACTTTCCGGAATTTGATGGAGCCCAACTTCTTTATTTTATGTGTGGTTATGGACTTCCCCAAATCTGTAGCTGAGAGCTGCAAATTTAAGACACCTAGTATATTTTATAATAGAGTACGAAAATCCCGTACACCCAGTAGAATACTGGAGAAGTAAGAGCAAAAACACTTCTTTAGAAATCATGTAAAAGGAACTGACAACTGAGAAATCGCCTTCTAGTTATAACAAATTTCCATGAAAACATTAACCCATTTTTTAGTTTTTTGGAAATTGCCGATTTTAGTAACCATTTTTGAAAAAAAAAATTCTTGAACCCTTGCAAATCTGATTTGTCAAATTTTAAAAATAGTTCCCGACACCTCGCCCCCCCTCCCCAGTTCCGTTACGGGACTAAGGTCTATACGCGTACCGAATTTGAAGTCAATAGATTTAAATTTCGGACACTTATCATGTTTCATAGCGATGTATGAAAAAGAGGCGAAAATATAGAAAAAAAGATGGACGCCGGGATTTGATTGAGATTCTTTTTTATTAGTTAATCTCTCTCGTGGGCTATTTAAGAAGAGCCAGATTTCAGTGCTTTAGCTCAAATTGTTTGGAAGTTATTCTCATTTTTATAGTACATTGATAGTGAACAGAGAGCAGAGAATGGACAGACAACATAAATTTTTCATTTCAGTACGTAGCACCTAGCACCTACCGCTGCCGAGATATAAGTTTCGATGCCATGTGCGTATGCTTTCGAAAAATTCGATTGTTAACCACCAAAAATGAAAAATATTAAATTTGAAGCTATTTGATGAAGATATGAGGAGATATCATAAAACATAGTATAACTGTGCTGAGCACACAAAGATAGCAACAGACCTTTAGCCACCAGCAAGGACAAGGACACCAGAGAACTCCCGAAAACCAATCCAGCATGTCATTGGAGGAGAAAACGACTTGATCGACGGCTGAACAGTTAATTATATCGTCAATTCTTGAGTTTGTGTTGTTTAATACCATCAATTACTTAAATGTATTTAATTTATAAAAATTGAATTTTTTTTTTAAACATTGCTGACAAACATCCAGATATTCAAAAACCTCCACGAAACACAACAAACTTAGGACCATTGTATACACACACAATCATTCTTTATTAGCGTGTTATTAAATCATTAGCCTAACCTCAAACTAGAACACAGAAATATTGCAGTAAGTTTTGCAGTATTGGTAATGACTGGACAAATAATTCTTTATTTCATGACTGCTGTGGTGAAAAGCAACAATAAATATTGCAATTATATTTGTGGCACTTGATCCTCAACAAGCTGTTGGATATTGTTGCTTAAGAGTTGAAAATATCTTGCGGAATCTAAATTTCATAAAATAGTTGCAACATTATTCTGGACCGCCAAATTACGCACCAAATTTTTACCTTGTGTTTTCACTTCTAGTTTTTTTCATATTCTACCAGACAATTATATGAAAAATATTTTTAAATCTGTCCATCCATTAAGACATTACAAAGCTCTGACCACCATCTTGTAATTTTGGTACTGGTAAATATTTGTACGTTATACATACTTTCAATTCACAACAAGTTTACATAAGTCCAGCGCTGGCTATCGGGCCGCAGCTCCAGGGAACTTTTCAAAATGCACATATCAAGTGGATTTTTATATTTAAAAATATAACGACTTTTTACATTTTTGTTTTCGCAATAAACTTTGATTTCGTCGGAAGCACTAGATTCTTGCAAACATCTTTTTTAAATGCATTGTGGCAACGTAACAATTTAGCGGCAACACTGTTTTCTATGGTTGGATAAATAACATTCCAGCATATCAGTTTTTTCTTCTGGGATATATGTTACATTAATTAATATCGAAATAATGATAAGTTAAGGATAACAATAAACGTGATCAAACTGTTATTTCTCAAACTCACAGAAAGTAAAAATAGTGAGGTTCCTTTATTCCCCGAACTTTGAACGAATTTTAATTTTAGTTTTTGACCGCCATTTATTTACTTATTTGTAAAATTTCAACACAGACCATTCAAGGATAAGAAAATAATTTCCAAATATATAACAAAGGCATTCAGTAAGAGAAATCGATAGATACATTGAGAATTTCACTGTTGACATACGAGTAAAATAAGAAGTATAAGTGATTCTTGTGATTTAAGTTTTTTTGATCACCCTGTACATAATCCCTAATTTTTAATCTATTAAGATAAAATGATGTCCTTTTTAGAAGAATCATATCTTTGTTACTCCATTTTCACTGTTGGTGAAAAGATGATGTAATTCGTTGGATCACCTTTGCATACGTAATGCGGATTTATTATTACTCTATACCTTTCTGAAATCGATTTCAATTCAGTAATTACCTATCAATGGAGGCGGATCCAGCGGAGACAAACCTTTTTCCAGTTGACAATTTTCGGCCAATATTGCTGATCGCAGTTCAGTTTGTAGACTGACAATCGTTTTCTTTATTCCATTGTACTGAGTCTTAAATGAATACTCATCTAACGTCAATATTCTCTTTAAATAATTTATAGCGTAATATGCATTTATATTTTTTATTCTAAAGGTGATACCGATCTTAACTACGATGAAATGAAGTAGACATAAAGAGAAATTAACACCGTTCAACAACAAAATTTTGTGGGTTTCTGTTCTCATGCGTAAATTCAGATTTTAGACATTGAAAAACTTTCAAATTTCCATTTTTAGCTGATAAGTTTGCTTTTGTCTGATTTACGTCCACAAGTACAATTTAATTTATTTTATAAGCCAAAGCAGCACTTTCATTGCCCCGAAAATAAACTTTGTTATTATTTGTAAGTAGCATCAAAGTTAGTGGTAACTGGTCTATTTTTCATGTTTTTTCACGAAAGAAACCGGTATTTGTTGCTGTTATTACTGAATTGTTTGAGAAAATTGGAATACCCTTCATAGTATCTGATTGGCGACTTTTATTGATATCTCTTCAAAAAGTTTAAAAACAATGTTTGCTTTACCACGAAAGTGATTTCTTTAGTCTTCCTCTAACACCATCGGTATTGTTGCAAGAAAGCTGACAAAATATTAGTGATCAGTGATGGGTGATTTTAAAATGGTGGGTTTTCTGATGAGAATGCAAGGTAGATATTCTAAATAGGCTTGGCATCTTTGCTTATGGGATAGCAGAGGAGATTCAGTGCATTATCAATGGCGTATATGGGCTGATCGAGTCGAATCTCATATTGGAAAACATCGAAAAAGTCGAAACCAATCGCATAGCCGCAAAATGTACTGATACCGGCGTTACATATAATGAAGCAATTTGTGAAAGCTCTGAATCCGAATTCCAAAGCTTTTAATTACTTGAGAGATTTTTTTTAAATCAGCGGAAGATGAAGTTAAAAGAGGTATTTTGCTTGGACCACAAATAAAATAAATAATGAAAAATGATGACTTCACCGTGCTTTTTAGTGCTTATGAGAAACGAGTCTACAAGAGTTTTAAAGCAGTAGTTGACAGCTTACTCGGAAATCATAGAGCTGGCAATTATAAACCATTGATTGAAATACTTCAGAGCTTTAAAACTATGGGCTGCAGATTGTCTCATGAACTTCAAATGCTACATTCGCATTTCGACGAATTTAAAGATAACAGGGGTGCCTACTCCGAAGAACAAGGAAAATGTTTTCACCAAGATGTGGTGGACTTTGATAAAGGGCAGTACAACGAGAATATGCTGGGAGATTACATTACATTACACTAAATACGAAAATATTCATTTTTACACACTTATTTCCTGTTATTTAACAAAATTTTAATCAAAATAACACTAATAAGAAAAAAACGTTTCTTACCATAATTTAAAGTATAATTATAAAAGGAAAAGAAAAATTTAAAGATTTTTGCAGGAAAAAAAATATTTTCCTTGTTTTCAGAGTAAGAGAACCTGAAATTTAACATGTAGGACTTAGACCCAAAAATCGTGTTGACCGGTGTAATGTTTGTTTTTTGATCTGTTCGACTTAATTCGGTTAATTCCAAATTTGATGATTAAAGTGAGGAAGATATTGTCACGTGTTTCATAATATTCTCACTGTTTCAAAACCATAAATTTTCTGAAGGACTGAAAAGGAGCACATATTATGAGAACAAATGTAATTATAACTAATTAAAAGATTTAACAAAAAAGAAACGCAATTGGAGCCAGAGTGTTAAAATGTGCCATTCAAACTGCACGGTAGAGTAATCATCGTGGTTAATATTAATCGGTTAGTAGGTTTTATTGAAATTCAAACTAAATCCAGGTTTCTAATACTGAATGTGATACATTTTTTTTAATCTTTTAATAGGCGTTTGTGAAACATAAGCAGATTCAAAAGAACCAGAAATATAATTTTAATGTTTTGTTTACGAAGACAGTTTTTAAGGAGACCACCGCTTTGGATAACACATTTCCTGGAATTTTATCATAGCAATGAAAATGAAAAAATTGGGTAAACGTGCAATAACGTAACTGGCATATTTCGTTTATCCATTACAACTAACAATAACAGCTGATCGAAAATTTTCTCACCTTTTGCAGTAACGGACTGTAAACGTTGCATAATGTTTGGTAAAGCGCTAAGGTTGGCGGTCCGGTGACAGTCATAACCTGACAACTGTAAGGGAAATCGGACCCATTACTGTTGGAACCAGTTTTCGTGAAAATTACATTTTTTCCGGTTGACTCGCCGGGAATCTAAAATCAAACGGGATTAATTAAAACAACTACAAGCCAGTTGTAAAAAATATACGAAGTCTTATTACAGCCAGATGATTTTATTTCCCCATGAGTATGAAAATAAATGAGCAAGTAGGCTTTCATTGATAGGAAAATTTATAAAAAATATGATTTTATCTGAAAAAAAATTATTTGGTACTTATTTTTATTAATTTTAATGTACTTTGTGTCCCACATATAGAGTGGATCCATTTAAAAGGAAAAACTGCATATCAACATATGTCCCAAAAGTCTTAACTTAAAATATATTTTCTTATAAACTGTAATATCTCACATGGAATTTGACACCCATCAACTATGTATCAAGAAGCATTACTTAGTGTAACACATTTTTTTTAATCCACCAGGCAGACATGGTTCTTGTATTTCTGTTATAATAAAAATTGCTCTTTCATTCATTTCTAAAGAAATATAATTTCTTCATTTTTTTCAATCCGATGTACGGTTTTCTCTGCGTGATCGTAACAACATCGTTAATATGACAGAGAATTATTGTCATTATTATTTCTTACTTAAGTAATTGTATATCTGGTTTATTAAAATACTTCAAAAAATCGGAGTACGAATACAACGTACGTAGAGTCTGAGGTGTATTTTTGAAATCTTTATAGTTATTTCTTATCATTGTAGTATGCTATGTCTGTAAGAATTAATGAATCTGATGTCAAGGCGGCTGATTGACAATTGTTTGACAGTTTTTAAATTCAATTCTTCGCATCTTATTAATTTGGGGTTTAAAATATCCGACCATTGTTATTTAAAAAAAAAATTTTCGAATTTACTAATAACGAGTTGGCAGATGGTTTGACTGATGGTAGTGCGCCGGAAGCTAGATGAATATATCAACAACGCTTTCCTAATACCAGATAGGCGAACATTTTCAAATGTACACAGAAGGTTGAAGGGAACAGGTACTTTGATGGCAAATAATCATTTAAAAGAGGCCCATCGAATAGTAAGGCAGAAATTGAAGAAGGTTTGGAAATTTTGCACGATTTTCTATTGTACGCATATCATATTCAACGAGTCCAAGCGTTACGTCCCAGAGATTTTCCCTTGCGGGTTAATTTTTGTCAATGGATTTTAATGAATGAATAAACGATTTTCGCTTGTTTGACCGAAAACTACTATTTTTAAATGAAGCTAACTTGTCCAGAAATGCAATCCCAAATTTCCACAATAACCCCCATGCAGTTGCAGAATTTAAACACCAAGAACAATTTTTCGTAAATGTTTGGTCCAAAATTGTTAGAAATTACTTAATTGAACTTTGGACTTCTTCTGATGGGGACATCTTTAAAGTCTGGTTTATCGCACCCCAGCTAACACCGTAAAAGCGCTGAAGGATCGCATAAGAGCTTCCAGCGATTTAATAAGAAACACGGAGGTAGGTATACTTCAAGGTGGAGGGCACTTTCAATAGCTTATCTAGTTTCTATGTTCTACTTTTTTTCAAAAGGGTAATGTTGGTAGTGTTTTTTTTTAATAAGAATCGTTAATTATTTATCTTGTTGTTAGAATGTTATGTTGTTTCATTAAAACTGTAACAGTAAAATAACAGTCGTCTATTTTTTTTCTTCTGAAGGACACTACTTGGTAACTAAAAACAATATATTTTGTTTTACAAAGATATATTTTTCACAAAAAAACTTCTCGATTTAACCAGTGCAGTTGCGACCTAATTAACCAAAACATTATTTGCTAAGGAAATCAGTGGCGTCCCATTAACCAAAAGTTAAGAGGTTTAGGCCATGTATTAATATCAAACTCTTGACTGGAACCTTCGGCACTGTACTAACACACAATAAAGCGTTTTACCACAAACCGAAACTTAATTGTACATACTCGACGCGCGATTCGCCAACCAAGTTGGCATCTTCAGGAGAAGATAAAACCAGTTAAAACGCGTTATTGTGTGTCATGTATTAATATGAAGCTTTCTTTTTCAAATGGACCCATTAACGGTGTCTATAGTCGCTCTTTAAGAAAAAATCGATATTATTCAATTTAAAATAATCCAAACATATTTGTTTATTATAAACACTCTGTAGTATCTAAATAAAATTCCGTTGCATATTTTTTAAGTCATCTCCAAATAATCGAAAATAACGGTGCTATAGTAATTTTTTTGCAAATGTGAAAACTAGTTTTTATTTTTTATTTAAATATTGCAAGAACTATTACGTTTAGGTATTATTAACGAAAAAGTTAAAGAATTTTAAAAGGAATTTAAAAAAATAAAGATATATGCTCTATATCTTTTAATTTTAAATCGTGTATTTGTATTTACCGCGACCTCTTGGAGGTGTTGGTACAGCTGATTAAGCAATTTCACAATGTTCCATGCCTCGGGTTTTATTAACAGTTGTGATTATGATTCTATAATATGATAATAAGATGGATACAATCCCAAAACTAACTTACCGATCTGACAAATTCCACTGTTTTTCCGATTTCATTATCGCCCGTAATTGCGCAAATTGTATTAATGTTTTCAGAATTCAGAAACAAATCCAATTCTTTAAGTCCCAATACATTATCTTGAGCATCTACAGCCAAATGGAGTTCTTGGCGCGATTAAAAGAGAAATTAATCTACGAGTTCGCAAATGGTGATAATGTTCTTACTTGCAATTTTAATCAAATATTTTTTAGCTGGCTCGCTCATATTTAAGGTCCCACTGCAATTGGCAGCTACAGTTGTAAAAAATCAACGTAAATACGACCATAGGACACTATTATATTATTATGCGATATTTTACTGTTAGTTGTTTTATCTAGGTACCTACTTCGTTGTTGTTTGTATTACTAACGGCACTAAGACAACTGTTGTCATGGTAATCGGGATTACTACAAGTTATGCTATATGCAGACCGTCATATGGTACATGGCAAAATAGTAGATTATTTAGGTAAATGCACCACCATAATTTAAACCTTAGGGTAGGATCATCAAACTTCACACAATCTTAAGAACTTGAAGTTGGGTGTGTCGCTGGACAATTTTCCTCGAAATTTTACAAATGGAATTTGATAATGGTCAATTAGATATATATAAAGTGAATCATGAGTGGGTGTACAGGGTGGTAGTAATTAGAAAATAGATTTAAGCCGGCTACACATCACCCGGCAGACCTGTCAGTTCGAACTGAATAGTCCGCCTGTAGACCAGTGTGGTCAGTCCATCAGGCGACCGGTCTTTAGGCGGCCTGTTTAGTTCGAACTGACAGGGCTGCCGGATCGTATGTAGCCGGTTTTACGTGTCATACGACTTTTACGAAATATTTGATGGTATATTCATTTTATTAGTGGAAATTTCTGATTCGAATAAAAACATTATCAATTGACCTACTTCTTTGAATCCAATGTAGTTGGGAAGCCTGAAAAAGTTTTAATACACAGTTTTAATGATATTTTTACTTTTATCATGTAAAATAAATTTGTTCTGATGTCTTTTTTTTTTGGTTAATTAATTCAATGATTCATAAATTAATTAGTTTTATGCTTAAGGGAGAGATGGCGTCACCAACGCCCACGCGCTATCTATTAAAACTTGCTTTAACTAGTTGGTGCCAATGTCTAACGAGAGATGGTGGCATGTTGGCAACCTCTGCTTCTTTCTTATTAGATCCGTGGTTAACGATAAACGTCACGAGGAATAATAATTTAACAATAATTTTACCTCAACTGCCTTAACTCGATAAAAATAATGCTCGTACGCACCAATGTAATTAATCTTTTAACAAGTAGTTAAGTAGCTGTTCTTATCCACCGAGTGGATTTTATTCATATTAGCTTGAAAAGTGAGGTTGAGTTGTGGTGGTAGCGGTTTACTTTACAATTTTTGTTAAAATTGATGTAACGAAAGATGTATAATGAGGACTTAGACATTCTGGATGTAGTCTACGATGAGTTTCCTAGGGCACAATGGGAAAGGCCAGATTACTTCGAATAAGTAAAAAATGAAGAAAACAATAAAGAAATTTGGCTGGCTTTTTTTTTAATCCCATTTTTAGGCTCCCATTTCAAGAAAAAACAAAAAAAAACACCTTTTAAATAACCAACAATTGCGAACAATAATTTGGATTTTATTCGCTCCTTAAGTCAGGAAGAGGTTATAACTTGCAATTTTTGTAAAAAATATAATGCCTAAATTATTAATAGCCAATATGTTCTTGATAATTTGCTTGTATGGAAGAATACATGCTCTTTCAGATCAACAAGGACTAGGTACTTTTTAATTTTAATAAAAATTATGTAAGACGCATATATTTTCTAAGCTACCCTATAAAATTTTAGTACGTACGACGCAATAAGCAACCAGATGTGAGCCAGATGTTTTCTTAAAAAAACGAATTTCTCGCCCCTCGCTCGGTCAGAATATCGATTAATAGAAGGGCTTCATTTAAAATAAACATAGTTTTGGGGTGCAGTAACATTTTAAGAAATATCTTGTTGGCGTGTCTCGGTTAACCGTGCATTCGACTGTTGCGGGCTGTGTTTGCGTTACGTGAAATTGCGAAGCCTTAAAGTTGAGTGTTCTCACGAGCACAGTAGTTGCATTTCATTATGTTTTCGTTTTATTGACCAAAATACCAAAGTACCAAATGGTTTATTTATTGATCGGTTTCATTTTTAATTTATAAAATATACCGAAGGAATTTGATTAAATATTAAAGTGTTCTCTCTTTGAACTAGTTTAAACGTTGTTCCTTTGCTTGTTGAAAGTCGGGTCGAGTGTCTCAGCCCTTCAGGATATTGTTATTTATTGCACTGTCGCGTGTCTCTGCCCTTCGGTGCCGGTGTGGTTATTTGCGACAGGATACTTCACCTGTCTCTGCTCTTAGTATCCACTGTACGATCGGAATAATCAGCACTAGTGAATGAAAGAGGTACTATGCGTGTCTCTGCCCTTAGTACCAATATACTCATGGGTGTCTCTGCTCTTCAGTATATTATGACCTGTTGTTTATTGCACTGTCGCGTGTCTGTGCCCTTCAGTGCCGGTGTAATTATTTGCGATAGGATACTTCGCGTGTCTCTGCTCTTAGTATCCATTGCACGATCGGAATAATCAGCACTAGTGAATGAAAGAGGTACTATGCGTGTCTCTGCCCTTAGTACCAATATACTGATGGGTGTCTCTGCCCTTCAGTATATTATGACCTGTTGTTTATTGCACTGTCGCGTGTCTGTCCTTCAGTGCCGGTGTGATTATTTGCGACAGGATACTTCGCGTGTCTTTGCCCTTAGTATCCATTGCACGATCGGAATAACCAACAGTAGTGATTGAAATAGGTACTATGTGTCTCTTGCCCTTAGTACCAATCTGAACTCAGTTCCAGATTTTATGTAAGATATATCTGTTATCTGTGATGTCTGGTGATATTAAGTAATATTAAGTTTGCTTCATGAATGTTAACAATCTTTGGTACTCAGGATATTTTTTTTAGTTTCAGATGCGAACCATGTCACCTCGCTGATGGCCTGTTCGCCGTTCGTTTAGAATAAAAAAAAAACTTAGAAATTGCTCATTAAAATAAATAAATATATGTTATATACATTTTCAACTTCAAATTTTATTGTTCGGGTTACCTCATCCTACAATTATTTATTTTTTTCGCAAAAACAACAGCAAACAAGTGACACCTCAATTTCTAATTTTGACATTTTTCATGAGAAGTATTTTCTAAAATTTACGTAAAAATGCATCTTTCTAGATCTGCCACTACACCAAAAAAATTATGCGGCGTTGTCAAGAGCTCGACAAAAATAACCAATGGTTTTTAAAGTCTTTGTTTAAAAAAAAACTACCAGTAAGAGTACATCAACAGTTGGTGGATACGGGCATAAGAATTGAATACAACTTCACAAAATTTGACAGAAATAATAACTGAAAATTCGACAAGGAACAGGAAATTATTACAAAATCCTAACCAAAACTAACAATTTATGTATGGTCCCATCTCATAGATAAACTGCACGGTTACCACAAAATATATAAAATTTAAATTAAATTAGCTTGGTATTTCAAACTGCTTCTTTTAATTTTGACCAAATCTAAGGTACGGGAGTTGTATTAATACTCTATGACCATTTAATGATAATGTTAATTGGGAGGTTGGCGGCATTATTAAAAATTGCTACATTCAATAAATTATACTGAAAAGGTAAAATTTCAAAAAAACTTTAGCTTTTTCCATTTAAAATTATTTTTTAAAAATGTGACTTACGAGATATCCCGTATGCTTCTCCCTACATACGCACACACAAACAAACCAATTTTGTCCTTAATTTTTTTTATAAAACAAACTCTTATGGAGACAAAGGAATCTCAGTTATTTACAACCTCGCAGGTCTACTGTCCATTTTTTACGATATCAACTTGTGAATTGTAACATTCTGTTAACAAGGGCTATTAAAAATTCATCAACAAATATTCCGGCATCAGGTTTAGTTTCCCAAACATTCACCTAAACTCTGCTGTACTCCAAATAATAGAAAATTACTTCTCACTGTTTATTTACATATAAGTCAAATTAGTTAAACAAAATAAATTTTAAAACAATTTTAATTTTATACAAATAATATATATATTAGAACAATCCATACTTCAATATAACAAATTTTAAGCACTGCCTCTACAACAGCACAATAAGTAAATTGCAATTATTCTTTCAATTTTAACTGTTTTAATATTTGGTCAGAGATGACCTTCGTTGCTTTGTCGGCATTTGGTATCAGAAACCTGTCCATGTCGGAAATTTTCAAGTTCTCCCCGTCGGGGACCCCGTACTTAAAGGTAATCAGCTCGGGATGTCTCTTTCGTGCAGTTATTTTAACTATGGCAGACAGCGGACGTTTGACGATCATTTCTGCGACACCTTTAGCGCCTGCCACCTCTCTTAGAACAATCAGTTCCGTATTTGTTACTATTAAATGACTTCGGAACATAAATCCATTGAGTTTCACTTCTTGACATGGAAAGTGTTGTATAACTCCCGGCATTTTAAGGTACGTCTGAACTTGTACAAGTTCATGCCTATCATCATCATCGAGCTTCTAAAAGTTAAAACAATATAAATATATTTTATTCGTGAGGGAACACCTCGTCTATTTTATTTTACATTTAGAAAAAAAAAGTTTAAAGCAAAAATTGTAGGGTTTAATGTGTAATAATAATAAAAAAAAAACAAATAAAATAATTAAATAAATACTATAAAGGTAGACCTTGTTAGCGGGCTGGTTACAGAATAGTTCCTCCAAATTAATTATCACAAATATTGCAATATTATTAGATTTAAAAACTAATACAACCTCCAAACTCTGTTACTTGCAAATCTACAGTCCGTATAACTTGTGTAGCTTAAAATGTCAAGTTCAGGGTGCTCAAAATTGGGAATAAAATGGAAAGATCGTGTTTGAACAAATTAGGGATATTAAATATGGATTACATTACTTATGTTTTATATCAATAACCGATTTAATCTTTTAATTTTTTTTAGTGCTAAGCAACCATTGGAAATTCACAGTGTATTATGTGCCTTACATAGAGAAATGAGCGTTGGACTAGCGGTGTGTGTGACTTCTCGTATGGTGGCTTTGATCTGAGTTTGTCTCTTTTATTAAACTGTCGCAAAACAATAGCTAAATCTAAAATTTTACACTCCCGGTAATGAAAAATATTTATCTTTACCTAAAATTATTTTAAGTAGCCATTTATAAGCAATTTCGAGTTGTTGTAAACAAGGCTATTATACCGTAGGCAAGATGTGGTTATATGAGAGCTGAATATATATTTTTTAGATATTTTACGTCAATACTCAACCTCGACACTTCAACAATACTTCAAATAGAACTATGTACTATTCTTGCATGAGATCTAAATTAGAATATGGGTTGGTGTGGAGTCCAAAATATAAATTTCATATTGATAGCTTGGAGTTTATCCAGAGTCGGTTCGTTAAATACTAAGTTTTTAAGGACGATAATATATATCCCCATCAGGTACTATTAGGCAGGTTCAGTGAATCATCTCTGCAGACTACGAGGGACATTATTTCTTTAAAATTTCTGGATTGGCTTTTGCATGGTGAACTCTGGCTTTTAAACAAAGTAAAATTTTTCGTCCCCAGAATTAAAGCTTCATTTAGGCCTACATTTCATCTCCCTACACCTAGGACAAATGTTTTATATCAGTCGTAAATTTTGTTTATGTAAGGTATCTTTAATATTGTTTCAGATATATGTAATATTACTGCGGATACCCTTATTATATATAAAACACGATAAAAAAGCAAATAGGGCCGGACGCGAACATTTGGAAATACGCGATGACTAGAGATGCATACCACGCAAACTGCCATTCAAGATATAGAAAAACGTTTACAAAACATCGCAACCTATGGATATGCTAAAGTTATGTGGCTTACGTTACTCCGACGACAGAATATTTAAATAATACGTATTCAACATGGATTGTGGGACAGGACACTACATTATGGTTAATCAATGGCCTGGATCATAATCTTCTGGATACTTTTTTGGGGGGATTATTCAAAAAAAGAAGAGCATCTCAACTGTGTTTTCAGGAAAATGGAGAATATTTTCAACGTTTAGGACAATATCCATAATAAATAAATGTGTGCCTATATATTTGTTATACAACAAATAATTCAATCTTTTATCCATTTTTTAACAATAATATTGAAGACATGCCACAAATGTCCTACTTAAACGCGAAGCCACCCTATATATAAATAAGTACATAATATTAAATCTACACATTAAGCTATACAACTTTTGTATTAAACCTTTTTCTCCAAAATGAAATGTAAAAAAGTTAAAGTAAAGTAAAAGGTACCTCTGATGTGGCCATGCTGTCATGGTCATCGTCAATACTAAACACTGGCGCAACGTCTCGATATCGTTTTCCAATTCTGTCATTACTGGACACATGCCTTTCCTGAACAGGACTGTTATTCGGATTGACAATGTAATCCATCAACTTTCCAGTCACTTCGGCAGACTTTGATTTCATTGCAGCAGAAATTTTTCCTAAAAATCAAATTTAATCACAGGGTAGAACCAAAAACAAAGAGATATAATACTCATTGCTGATCAAAAAATAAAAAAATATTTGTTTTTCAGAAGCAGATTTCCAATTACTAAAAAGCTACATTTGTAACAGAAGACCGACTGTAGAAATAAATGGTGTTCTGAGCGATCTGGCTGATACTTCGAAATATTTAAAAGACAAAATACAAGGTAATTTTATAGAACACATAGAATAATTTAACAACAAACATAGCATAAACTTCACAAAAACTGTTTTTATACCTTTTAGTTGATATAGCAATAAATTACATTTTTGATAGTCATTTGAGATGGGACCACCACTTCGAATATATCACAAATAAATTTAAACACCAATTTTCAAATTTTTCAAAAAAACATTAGAGTTAGACCAACTTAAAACCTTGTACTGTGCTCTCGCTCAATCGCATTTAAATTACGATTTTAACATGGGGTGGGTTGACGAACAAATATTTAGAGAGAATTTACATTTCACAAAAATGGATTTTAAAAATTATTTCTAATAGGAATAGGTGTTATCCAACGACACAAATTTTTAATGACTAAGGTATGCAAGATAGCTCTATTTTATTAAAACTGAATTAACTAGAGATGAAATCCAGAATATACATAATAGATTTGAAGAACTAATAATTTCAAATTTATTTATTTGATTATTAATCCATTATTTGCTTATGATTCTTTTCTATTTTTTGTATTCACATTTACTCTGTATGCTTACTAGGTTGAAATTAGTAATCTAAGGGTTATTATTTATTTACTAGGGACAAAATCCAGACCTATTAATGTTTTTTCTGTCCTTTTTCAAGTATTTTTCTTTTTTTTTTTTGTTCTACCAAGGTTTAGTTACAGTTTTAAGTTGTTGAAGTAGTTTATAGTTTAGCTAATAATATCCTGAAGAAGTATTTAGTATGTCTGGTCTTTTTTCCATGTGAGACATTACTCTTGTGGATTGAAAACTGTATTGATTGTCTTCGTGGGATGTATTGGACTTGTCTTATAATATTGTAATTGTATTTTATGACAATAAATGCTATATAATAATAATAATAATGTTTATTTACTAAAGCAGTGTCTAAGTGGCGAAATTTTATTAATGTACTGTGGTGGATAGAATTGCATCTATCTCATCCCATTGGGAGTTCCACAAGGAAATGTCATTGGTCGTCTTTTGTTTCTACTGTACATAAATGACATAATAGAATTACTTTCAGTAATGGACAATTGTAAAATAACAAACTATGAAGACGATACTTGTTTCCTATTATTAAATAATGATATAAATATGGTAAAGAACACAGCCACGAGCTTTATGAACACAATTGAACATTGGTTTAATAAAAATAAAATGGTTGTTAATAATAACACAACAAATGTAGTACTATTCAAGACGAACAAGAGCAAAGTAGTTGAATCAAAAACGTATATTACACGTTTCGGAACCTAAAAAACTACATAGGTATAGAAACTAAAAAGATACATCATGCAAATGTTGAAAGTTGGATATGGAATATGGTAGTATGGGAGTTGCAGAGCTATTGAAAAAGTATTTATAGTACAAAAGCGTGCAATCAGAACATTTCTTGGTCTTGAAAGTTCTCGAAGGAAGAAAGTCTTGGAGAGCAAAGTTTAAGGCACTTAATGTGTTAAAAGTAACTGCAGTGTTCATACAGGAGTGTGTTATGGACATTTAAAAAGTACATCCTTTTTTACTGCTTATGAATCACAACCTGTTTATGCAACACGTACACAGAATTTTAGTTTTCCTCATCATCGACTCACGAGGACTGAACGACCTCCCGAAATGGATAAAGAACATTAGAAATGTTGAAATGTTAAAGAGAGAAAGACACTATGGAAGAGTTTTACACCAAGATAAGAAAACTGTAAATATTGTTAATTTGACACTATTTAATGTATGTACGGGGTGGCCAATATAACGTAACCCTATACCTTATCTCAGAAAATACAGGGTGTGCGAAAAAATCTTAAATAGAAAAGTCATCTGGTTTGAGACGAAGTTTTCTTTTATTATATTTTTCCATATACAGGGCACTGAGTGTTGCTTGGGTAAACATAACTTCTTTTTTTTATGGAATATCCTGTAAACCAATGTCTAATGGTTTTTGACATATTTAAGCTTTTATCTCAAATATTTCATTGGCAGGCCCTAAGAAAAATTCCAATTTTTCCTAAAAGGAAATCTTTATCTTTTAATTTGAGTTTAGCACCTTGTCGACAAGAACCTATTTTAATATAATTTCTATAATAGATTGATCACTAACAATACAAGGTGTTCAAAAAGTAAAATTAAATACTAAATTAAAAAACTTCCAAAAATCAATTTTTCAAAATCGCAACCACCAAATTTCATTAAAAATAAAGGTAAATTAATATTCTTATATGAAGATTTTGCTGCGGGTTTCAAGCTTTGTTATACTTGACAACGAATAAAAAGTCAAGAAGGCAATGATAAACAAGAAAACCAAAAATGTCACAGGCTGACAAAAATATAGCTCCTTACACTGTTGAAGGGCGCTTATAAATGCTTTATTTGCAATAACAAAAGTCCAGCTTTGGATCTTCGGGAGTACCGCCAGTTACATAGAGGAGTCCTTACTGAAGAAAAACAATTAGATATTCTGCTGCATTTTGAGGAGAGCGAAGAAAGTTCTCAAAGTCAAGTCTCGCGTGACATTCCAGAAGTAAATCGAAGTAGCATGAAAACCCTTTGAATTTAAATTATTATTTTCCATTTCCATTGCAATTCCTCCCAGTTCAGTTATTAACAGTTGAGGATAAGGATGCAAAAGCATTGTGAACTGATGAAGCTATTTTTAATACGGCCGGCATGTTCAATAGAAAAAATATCCACTACTTGTCCACTACTAACAAACATCGTTTTAAAGTTATTCAGAAGCAGGGTTACAGACGTGTATAATATCTAACAGTTATTGGGCCGATATTTTATGAAGGCAATTTAAATAGTGGTCGGTATTAAACCTACTAACTACTCAGATTTATCCGCTTATTGACACTCTACCGGAACAAATTAAATATGATCTATTCTTTCAACAGGATAGTGCTCCGTTGCATACGTCAACACCTGTTATTAACGGGCTAGATTTCCAACTTGGATAGGTCGACACTGAACAATTCCTTGACCAGCTCGCAGCACCGATTTGACAAATTTAGATTTCTTTCAATGGGGAAACCTCAAAAAACAAAGTTTATCAAAATCGGACTGAAAATAGTGAGAATTTAAAAGAGAAAATAAGGCAGAAAATACTTAACATCAATGGATCTAACATGGTTAGTGATGCTATAAATAAAATGCCAACCATATATACTACGTGTTTGGCGCTTCATGCACGACATGTTGAAAATTTATTATAATACCTATTGTTCAAATCCAAACCCAAGTTAGTTGTTCTTTAAATGTTATTATTTTTAATTGTTGATAAAAAAATTGCAGAAAGTTGATATATTATAGTTTTTTAACCAAAAATATGGCGTATTTTATAAAAGTTAGATCAAAAAATTTATTGATAATTTTAAAATAACCAATTAAGAATAGATATAACAAAGCTTGAAAGCCGCAGCAAAATCCTCATATAAGAATATTAATTTGTCAATCTTTTGAAAACTAAACATTTTCTGCATAGAAAACCTAAAAGATAAAATTATGAAATTTGGAGGTTTGCATTAAAAAAAAAAAGATTTTTGGAAGTTTACTTAATACTTACTTGCTTAATCTTACTTTTTTAGAACCTTGTATTATTAGTTATCAAAATATTATAAAAATTCTATTAAAGTAGGTTCTTCAAATTAAAAAATGAAGATTTCCTATTAAAAAAATTGGTATTTTTCTTAGGGCCTGCAAATGACATATTTGAGATAAAAACTTAAATATGTCAAAACCCATTAGGCATAGGTATAGAACATTATATATGAAAATTTCCTAGAAACTTGAGTGGAATACAAAAATTTAATGATATGCTCCATTTCCATGTTCCACTGAGTGCACTATTTTTGCAAAAATATAATAAAATAAAACTTCATTTCGTTGTATTTAACACTTTTTCATACACCCAATAAAGATGTAGTTAGTAGTTAGATGTAGCTTAAAAATAAATAAATAAAACAATATGCAGGCAATACCTTACCCAACAAATCGGATGACTGCTGACTCTTTGAATTTATTTGCATTTGTGACCTCACATTAAAGGTGGGGGCACAAACAATACAAAGTTTGGGATTATGATCCTGTATTGAATTGAAGTATGTGGTGTTAATTGCAAAATATTCATGTAAAGCAATATATCCCCCAGTCAACAGAGAAACATACTTTGTGTGTTTTTGAAGAAAAGATGCCACGACCATATGGGTGTATTGATCTTCCTCATTACGACCCGAACCCAAAAAACACAAATGTTCACCACCTAAAAAGCCAACATGCATAATTACCAAAAACCCAGTTTGATTTTACCGGCGCTCGATTTATGAGCCAAAGCTTGCTTTTGAGCACTCAACAATCCTTGCACAGCAGTAGCGAAAGAGCTTGGTTCTTGTAGCATTAAATTGCAATCCAAATGAAATGCAGTTGGTAAATGACCAGCGTTGTAGTGCTCCACGGGTCTGCAGTCGACCAAGAAAAAACTTACAGCATCAATATTCATTGACCCCCGTTCTGTGTTTTCAACTAATTCTCTAACAGACACAGGAAGGCATAGAGCTTGTGAAATTAATACTGGGCTATCATTTTTGTCACTATACATAGTCTGCATCAAATCGTTTCGGAAGGACATAGGAGTTTTTAGGGCATAATATTGCGCCAGCGAACAAAAATCTGCTACATCGTCTGCTTCAAGCCCGCAGGGCATATTAGAAAGAATCGTAATAATATTTTCCTTACTCTCTTCCTTCAAAGATATAATCTGATCTCTAGCATTCACTACCATTATCAGAGATAAGAAAAATATAAAAAAGGGATCCGATTGTTGAAAGTAATAATCCCACATGTTGATCACAACTTCTAAGCCACATGTAGCAGCAAAAAGGGATTGAAACCACACCAAACAGTAATTTTCTGGTGTAATCCTTTTTGTGTCCAAAAATGAACATAATTCTGGATCATGGTATAGCAAGAGCAGTCTCACAATATGAAATGCATTTCCATTTTTTTCACAACTTTGAGGTATAAACATATCCCTTATCGCTTCAAATAAATTATAGATGGTAGACTTTGGTACTTTCAGTGTTAAAATAGGCAAAAGCAATTCCAACCAACCATTATTTCTTGCATAAGGAATGTTACGACTCTTACAGTAATATGTAATTACAGATTCAAGATCAGAAATAACAGAAAGTTTGTCATCTTCATCATTTCCAAGCTTTGCAACAAAATTAGTACAATCCTCTCTAAGAATTTTTTGATTTGGGAGATCATACACTTCATTAAAGTGATCCAGTTGATTACCTTTGTCCCTTACATCCAAGCATATCTACAATTAAATGCAAATCCCTAAGGAACAAACAGTGAAATTAAAAATAGAAAATACCTGCCACACTTCTGATCTTAACGATTCGGGCAACGGCTTTCCTTTACAAATACAGTATATATCGGTTGCGCAGCACTCCTCTTGCAAGGCATTTTCCAAATCTGCCAGCCTAATAAAAGAGATAAGGCGCAAATATTGTAGCATTTCAAATCAGCAGTAGTAAGGTGGTTAATTTCTTACCAACGATTATCTAGATCTATGCTGCTCATATTTACATAATTTTTGAAAGAAAGTTTATTTTAATTTTCATCTAAAATTGCAAGTTTCTATAAATTCATGTTTTTGAAGTAGAGTTGGGCCCCAACTTGACAAGATCAGCTGATAGTCTTCTTCTTTTGCTTTGTCTTCTAGACCAGACGGATGCGCGTCCCTTAATGTTAAAAAAAGAAAAGAAGAAGCAACCTTAACTATCCACAAGTAAGGTGCAAAGTCAAATTACATTTCCCGGCATTTTTGTGATGGTCTGCCGGTGAAATTGTGAATTAAGGACGCCATTTCAACGTAACATATTTCTTAAATTCAATGTACTAAACAATTCAAGTAAATATGTCTGAACAAGCAAATGTCCCTGAAAATACTGCATCAAGTCGAGAAGATCCGGAAGTCGTAACATTAACATTAAATGAGGTATTGGAGTTAGAAGATGAGTTAATCGCAAATGCTGCAGCAGTTTTAGGAGCTGCTAATGATAAAGCATGCTCTTACGCCGAGGTAAGACTAGATAACCTGGCCATAAATTTATATTTAAATGAACCCCTTGCAGGGTTATTTAAAACGGCAAGCTTTGTACTCTTGCCTAACTTGCATTCCAGAAGCTAAAGATGACCCAGAGAAAGGGGCTGGTGTTTGTCTGGCGTGCAGTTTTCATTGTCACGATGGGCACGACCTCATTGAGTTGTACACCAAAAGAAATTTTCGCTGTGATTGTGGAAATAGCAAATTTTCCCAAGTTGAGCTGAAATGCACTTTACAAGAGGATAAGAATGATTTCAATGATTTGAATGTCTACAATCAGAATTTTTCTGGTACTTATTGTGTTTGTCATCGTCCATTTCCTGATCCAGAAGATCCAGTACCTGATGAGATGATTCAGTGTATCATTTGTGAAGATTGGTATCATTCTCGGCATTTAGGTATAGAAGTTCCAAGCAATTTTGCAGGTAAGGAATATTTCTAAAGCCAAGCAAATGGACACTTATTTTATTCACATTAATATCATTTTATTTAAATTCATAGTTGCTAGATTTACAAGAGCTTTGAGTAATTTATTAGTACTTATTTGTTGGTTTAATCTGTATTGTAACTGTAGTATTTGAGAAGTTTCCATTATTTATTAAAACTTTGACCTGCTGTGTACATTTAAGAGTGCTCCTTTAATAATAATGCTGATGAGTATGTGCATTTTATTTTTCAGTAAAGCTTTTTTGTGGATATTCCAGTAGAACATTAGGCGAATGCAATTAATTATTTGTTTTACTTAAACAAAACTTGGAAAAGAAAGTCAAATTTTATGTTATTCAAATTTGAAATTGGGCAAAGATCTTATATCATTTTTTTGGTATTATATTTTTAGAAATGACATGTGAGCAATGTGTTACAAAACATGAATTTCTTTTACACTATGATGGTCTCACAACAAATGCTGTTTGTAAAACAAGTGAAGACGGAAGTGTAGATGTAACAACCACAAGTTGTGAAGAAGAAAAGGCATCTGAGATGTCTTGTGAAGACAACAAGAATGCTTGTAAGAAACCAATAAAAAAGGCAGATCGAGCTACTGCCAAATTCTGGGCTGAGGTGAGTTTCTGATTGTTTTTCTGAATTAATTGCACAATAACTATATATGCTTATTTGCAGCATGCATGGAGGAAGCAGCTATGCACATGCGATGACTGTCTTAAAATGTATGAAAATGAGGATGCAGCTTTTCTATTAGATCAAGAAGATCCTGTTCATCTGTATGAAGAAAAGGGCAAAGCAAAAGCTAATCAAGTGGTTGAAGATCAGAATAAGAAAGTAATGAATTCTATGGACAGAGTCCAGCTGATTGAAATGATTGCTGGTTACAATGAATTGAAAGAAAATTTGGGAACGTTTTTGAAAAAATTTGCAGAAAATAAGAAAATTGTGAGAGAAGAAGATATTAAGGAATTTTTTGAAGGAATGGAAGCTCGCAAGAAGCGTAAAGTTGAAATTCAGCATTTCTGCAGATAAGATCTGATCCACCAACTTAAGGGGTTTCACTCTGTAGTTGTCTTCTTAAATTTATGTATTTATCGGTATTAAAAATAAAATATGCTTTCCAAAACAATTTTATAATTTTTTTTTATACATTTTTCAGTGCGTTTTTTACTTTCAAACAGGATTTTAATTTTGATTACGCGTCGTTTCCTAAGCTTGTCAGTCAGGTTAAGTGATACAATCATATCAGTTAATTGGACTGACGAGCTTAGGAAGAAATGAGCAGAGATCCGACTTTAATTATTAAAATCTGTGTTTTTCATTTTTTTTAAATTAAGTTTATCTAAAACGCTGTCTGCAGAGATCTCAGTAAAAAATCCTTGTGAATCTAAGGTCAGTATACTGGGTGTTTCATATATCTAATCATGAGTTGAGGTTAAGTAGGAACAAAGTTTGGAACCTTTATTACATATAGATATTATAATTTTTTTTGCTACATACAAGTGACCAAATCAACTATAAATTGTTATAATATAATTTCCAACAATTTCTCTTGACAGTTATTTTTATACGTTATTGTAGAGCAAGGAAATCTATAAAATGTTTCCAAGATACTAAGTTTATATGATTATTATATTATAGGTTATGATTTTACACCCATACCTCTACAGTTTACCCACTAACCTGCACACTGAACTAGTTTTTCCAGAACATTTAATGACATGTAGGAATATTTTGCAAAAAATCTACCGTTAAAATGCCGCATCCAAACTTACTGACGATCTGTGAGTGACCATGTTGGTTGTTCAATGCCGCAAGTTCATTGGTTGAAAACGAAATTTTAAATCTCGCGTATATACATAAGTTCCTTTATCATCGGCATAGCCAGGGCCTTTATATGTCTGGTAGGAGTAGTAGTATAGTACTAATATATGCTCGCGACCGTAGGTAAAAAAGTTGAGATATAAAATGACACTATCTGCATAATTAACTATTTTATCCTAGAGAGTAGAAAAAACTTATTGAATGTGCGTTTAGTTTGCACAAAAATGTTGCTATTTATATGAAATATTATAATATACTCCATTGTGCACATGTTTACTATAATAATTTAACCAGTAATGCATTTTCCCTAAATTTTTAATGGCACTTTACATAATATTTCATTTGACTTGACTTCTCTCTCTCTTCTAAGTCAGCACTCATTTGGACATGATAGATGTGTATGAATATCCCAATTTAAGTCTCTGAAACATTAGAAAATATTAGCACCTATACGCAAACTAAACCCATAGTAGCATTTCATTTTCGAAAATAATGTGGCAAAATTAATAATGATTTTGGGACAGAACTCTAGCGACATTTGAATAAACGAATTAAACCAAATTATCGGATTATTTTAAAAAAATGGATAATGTCCTAATTTCTTATCACAGACTGTTTAAAAAAGAGAGATTCATTTAAAAGTTTACTATCGAAATAGTAAAGATAGCCTACTATACTGATAAGTGGTAATTATCAAATTGAACACTAGAATCTGCTACATGTAGTTTGCAACATTTCAATCCCATGTTGGCTACATAATTAGTTTTTCTGAAATGTAATTTTTATCCAGACTACACTATGTTTCGCGTGTTTATTGATTATGACAAAGATTAACCAAGATAACATTTTTTTCTGGATACACACATCTAGACTGTAACGTTTGTTTAGCTTAGAAAAGTTCAATCGTGTTTCTATAATTGGTAGACCTATACGGACTGCTTGAAAAGTTTAAGTTTGTCAAAAAAAGTTAAAAAGTGAGATTTATCTTAACATGGATTTTAATTATAATCATTTTTTATTTTTAGAAAAACAGTGCCGTGGATATAATTTGTCCAAAACAATCTAGTCTACATTCAATGCGGGTGCTACTGTATAAAATAGTGAATCTATTTATCTCTATATCATTTAATACGCCAGATTAAAGGTTAAGGGATTTAAAATCTTCATAATCATCATCTTCTTACCGACATGCCTGCATTTAAATCCATAACCCCGAGTTGACCGATTCTTAAACAGAGCGATCTTTGGCATCTCATCATCATAATCTGAATTAGTTTTTTGGTTGGTTTGCTTTGATCGCACCAGTTGCTTTCAAAAAGTGCGGCAGCTAGTTCCGTACTCTAGAATGATATGTTTTCTCAATCGTTTGGATACTTTTCCTCCGTGGAGGCGGTACCTGCACAATGATTTCGTTCGAACTCCATGAAAATGTGAGCAACTGTATTCATGTGAATATTAAAGCCAAACTGTTGACGACAATATGACTTTTCTACAAAAGGCAATGTGAATTTTGTGACACTTATATGTAGATTAAGACCAATCTCGTTCTCCTTACCGCGGTCATTTGAAATATTACCGTTCCAAACGCCACTGACACGATCGTGTATTCCAACAAGATTATATTTTTTAATGAGTCTTTAAATTGTCCGATGGATCTGAATTAATTAATTAATAATTAATTTTTCAATGAAACAGCCTACTGTAATACTATTCACAAAACTTTTGGATTCCTCCTGCGTTGGTTGTTGATGAATCGAACTTGCCGAGGTTTCGCTAATCATCCTATTGGCTTCTTCAGAGCTTAACTGAAACTGGCTCGCATTCTACTCTGTACCTGCTTATATATTGTTTGAGGGGGCGGACCTAAAGAAGTGACAGGTCAAGACATCAATAGCGGTTAAGATTGTTTGATTGCTTATTGATTTCTATAGATTCTCGGATTTTTCGTTGGCAGAAGAATTGATTACACTCAAGAATTTTAGTTTCATCGAATAAAATTTTCTGTCTGGTTTCGTTATTCTGTTCGGCAACTGCTGACGAGTTTATTTGTCTTAGTCTTTGTAGTTGATATTTTCCGTCCAGTCTCCATCCATGGAATGATGTAAACTCCTAGTATCTCAAACGGTTCGAAGAGAAATTTTTAGACAAGTGGTAAATGTGGTTTTGACGTTACAATCCTTAAGAACTTTGTCGGACTCAATGTCTTGGGAAAGTTGTGGTGAAGTGTATTTTATGATGGAACACTAATGTGGAAATTGTTAGAGAGTAGAGAAGATATGAGGTGTTTTAATTCTGGGTTCTGCAATTTCTGCAATTCTGCAAACACCATTCAGCCCAGAAATCATCGGTCACTGAACCCAGAACTGAAACATCTTACATCTGCTCAGCAACCCCACACATGCGACTGTTGTCCTTTCTTACTTCTTATCAAAAGTTGCCAGAATGCCTCAACATCTTCGATCCGTCAAAGACAAAATGCCGTTTGAGGTACCAGGACTTTAAACATTCCATGCATTGGTATTCTTTGCCACATATAAGAAATAAACTCATCAGCACTTGCGGAACACAATCACGAAACCGGACATAAAATTTTATTCGATAAAACTAAAATTCTTGAGTGTAATCAATTCTTCTACCAATGAAAAATCCGAGAATGTGTAGAAATCTATAAGCAATCAAACAATCTTAACCGCGTCTGAGGCCTTTACCTGTCACCAGTATGAGAATCCGAGACAATGTTTATGCCCCTCATTTAGCGCCGCCCCCCTCAAACATTGTATAGACAGGTACGGCGAAGATTTATTGGCGAAACGTCAGTTCGATCCCACATCAACCGACGTAAGAGGAATGCAGAAGTTTTGTAAATAGTAAGTATTAATTAATGTGATGGTTCACTTGTGCTGTATCGACTGTTTTAAAACGATAAAAACCTTCATTTCGGTAATATAAAAAAATCCAAATCCAAAAATGCGAGACGGACCTATCGATTTTTATTATCAAATCGCGACAACGGAATATGGAACACTTATGAAAGTGCGCATAATGGTAGTGCACATCCCTTTACTATAGAAAATCAGATAAAGTGAGGAATTTGACAAATAACCTAAGAGGATTGATCACCAAATTTATGACAAGACAATTAGGCCAACATAATTTAATTTATATTTTTTTAATATACTTTACTTTAATATTAATACTTTTAATGTGGGGACTGAATATGCCTTAAATACGAATGTAGAAGGTAATTTCAGTTTTTCAGTTTTTTACACTCATGAAAAAAAGTTTGTAAAATATTATGGACCAATGTAAGAAACGTAGCTGCGAGCAAAGGCCTCAGAGATATGATTGACCTTGCTAAAGTTGTTGCTAAATCGAACGCAGCGTCATCTCGAAGATACTCCGATTTCAGTAGTTTAAGCGATTCAGAATCATCAAGTCGCAAACTCTCTATCCTATATAATTACTGTTTTTTTGTTTTGTGTGTCTTTGTTTTGATGAGTCTTAATTTATGGTTACTGTTTCGAATTAAGAGTTTTAACGTGCGATTGAAATCTCATATCACTATCCATGAGAAGTCCTAATTTTCATTATGCTGTAAATTCATGATGTTCAGTTGAATTTTAAAAATTAAGGAATAATAATTATATTTCCTTACTCGATTAATCCTTGATGTTTAACACAAAGTAGTTTTAAGACATGTTCCGTTGATCGATGCGATCGACACTTGTCGAAATTTCTAAAATTGATCTGAAGTTCCATCAGCTGAGCCCTCAAGAAAATGATCAAACAATTGATAAAGGCGCTCACCACACCAAGGCAAAACAACACTAGGGTAGGACGGATGTTTTGATCGATTATTACAAATGTGAAATGCTCGTGTGTATCAAAGGGATACCAGTAGTGCACGGGAAAACGTGACTTGGTTATATTGCCTTTTGTAAACTGCTTCAAAGCATTCGCATCACCTGAAAAGATGAAATCAAAAGTGTTGCATTTTTCGTTTCCAGTAGCATCGGTCAATTAATTATGACACAAAATAATTTAGTTCTGTTTTTTTTTCTAAAACAATAAAGCCGGTTTTTTTAGCTAGATTATTTGTAAATCGCTTGATATTTTCTTTGTTCTAATTTCGCAGGGAATATCTGTGTCTGCAAAATTTGTTTTGCATTCGATGTTATCGTTTATCTTCAGCTGCGGTACTGACACAAACATCTCAGCCTCGAAATGATCTTCAAGGTCCATGTAAAGGTCACAGTTCAGATCATTATTTGCCTCATTTTATTAACGTTGCAATTTTCTATTATTTACTTAACTAACTCAATTATTATATAAATCTTGTGATGGTATTCCCTTACCAATAACCGCAACAGAAAGTCCTACAATAATCGCGGATGTGATTAGCAGGGAAATTAGTTTATTGTCGAAATTGACGTGCCACCTGTATATATTTCTAATTTCGGGGTCATCTTGAACAAACAATTCGCGGTCTTGTCGCAAAGCGTCTTCGATCAGGTTGAGCACACCTTTCGAGCGACACATTACCATTTTAATCATCGTTACAAGACAAAATATAAATCTTCCCATGTTTTCTATTGCTAAAAGTACAGACTAAGCCCACGTATAAGAAGTGCTTTTGTTGACTTTTGTACCTATCGAGGAATTTGTTCTGAGTAGCCTGGGTATATCAGCACTTAACGACACCATCGCTGATAGATACACCAGGTGAAACAATACAGAATATGTAGTGTAGAACTTCTTTCTGATTTTTGATGAATTATAATCGAATAATCCACAAATACCGACAGTCACCATTAGAAACTTCATGTAAGAAAAGTATGATGTCGGGGTGTCCATGTTTTCAAGACCACTACCATAACATAATATAAAATTGCTAGTGATTTATCTCTCATATATATTACAACCTAAATCAATATGTCTCCGCTGAAAAGATGGAGACCAATTGAGGGGCGTCCATAAAAATTTGATTATGAAAATTTTAACTATTTAAACAACTTGAATCACGTGTTTAACATGTCATTATTTAAATTATATCTCTGCCAGAAAATCTAATTGGTTAAAACTGACATAAAGATTCAAATTCATGATAATTTAGTTGGAGGTAATCAAATCACATATTGAAAGTAAATGTAATTTTTATTTTATTTGATAACTGTTAAGGTAAATGTAATTAAGTCGACTTCCTTTGAACTAGAAGCTCTGTGTCGATCTTTTAGAGCGACCATGTAGACCAATCCAAATCAGATTGTTGCGCCACTGATATCGTGCGATTCCGCGGACCTTATCCGGCCTAATAACAAGGTAGAAGACATGAATGTACAATAAACCAAAAGCAATTGGTAAACCAATATTATGTGACATGCGATGTGCAATAATAAAAGGGAAAACATATTTTCATTTTGCATTGACTAGCGCTATTAGGGATTTCTCCTGCCGGTACGGGTGGTTTAATTTGTTGAGTTTGTTTACATTCCTTTTCAACATTTCGGTAGGTTAATGAACCTTTCATTTTTTAAAGGCCACGTTGTAATAAAAAAACGAAACATTGGAGGCGGCTCTTGGGGTATGAGCTTTCGTAAAAATTGGTACACAAGATTCTCAAGGAATTCTCCACCTAACAGTTTTATTCCCCACCTCCTGTCCGCAATAGGGGCGTAAAAATACTGTGTTTACATATATCCGAAGACTTTTAAACGATTTTAATGTAATTCGGAACTAAACAAAGCACGAATGAACACACGTGAAGAACTACACACAAACATATATGAAACATATAAAGAAAAAATTGAATATTTCACCCTGTAGGAGATTGTGTGCTTCGTAAGTTGTTTTATGAAGCTAATTTAGCTCTCTTGAATAGAACTAGGCAGACTGTAATTTTTCACAGTCGAAAGTGTCGAAAAGACACTTTTATCAAAAATGGTCTGTTTCACTCAATACGAGTTTGTGCCGCATCAAAAATACGTAAAATAAGAAGTTAATTTTAATTTTTAATTTCATTTACAAGACTACTTGTGCTTTTTTGACCCACGGTATCAAAAAATTGTGAGTTTCATCCTGTAGATCACCACATGTAGAATATAGAGTTAATTTTGCTCTTCTTAAGAAGACTTGTAATTTTTGAGCTGTTGAAGATGTCGAAAAAGATACTTTGATCTAAAAATTGTGGAATGTGAAGAAAATTTTGCTCTCTATAATCAGTTTGTAATTTTTGAACCGTTGAAGGTATAGAAAAAAGTACTTTTATCAAATAATTATTATGTAGACGATTTTGTGCCGCGTTAACAACATGTGGAATATAAAGTAAGTTTTGCTGTCTTTAATGAAACTCCTCCGATCGTTTAAAAAATTCAAGCTGCCTAGTCTTAGTAAAGAGCTAAATGAACTATATCCCACATATTTTTTTACGCGACACAAAATCGCCTACACGGTCAAACATAAAATGTTTTGCATATTTTTACTGTACACATTTGACAAGCTGGTACGCTAATTAAATTAAACACCTTTATTAGTTTTCTTTTAGGCGTCGCAAAGTTGTCAATGGTGTCGAATTTTTAGACAATTTAATTAATCTATTCTGTACCAAGCAAACCATATTATGCAAAATCAGTATTGTTAAATTGACAAATGACGTGCATTTTCACAATCTATCTCCAAATAACCTCTAACTGACACCCCACAGCAATGATTTGTAAAATAATAAAATCATATTCAAAAATATCAGTTTGTAAACAAAACTTATAAGCGCAATATTTTCAACAATAGTATATTGTGCCACAAGTTTGACAAAACTCACTTTAAACAACACGAATATAGAGACAGAACATCGATAGCGAAAACTGAAGCCACAGAAAAGCATATAGCATCACAATATATATGATAAAAAAAAGAAAGAAAACTGCATTTGTTTTGTTTGTTACAAAACAAAACACATATATTTTCTGCGATACTTTACAATTTAGTCACTATGTTTTATCTACGACCATTAGCTTTTAGGCATTTTTGGTCAAACAATACTAACACATTCACCGAGTGATGTGTAACGCGACCGTCAAAAGTGTCAAACGTCAAAACACCGGCTAAAATCTATCGAAAATATCCGATCGTTTCCAAGCCAGCGACCCGCGACAGTGTGTAACAAATTTGACGTCTTTTAGTGACATTTTCCGAAATCTGCGTAATTGGATATTTCAGAGTAAGGAGCACAAAACATTTGTTGAAGCTGCGTTTATTTTGTGCCACTACAAAAAATATTGCTTACTATTTAGGTGAAATATCAAAATTTAATTCTAGGGACCCCATGTTTCCTGTAATGGTTTAACCAATAATTCATTTTTTCTTAATTTGTAACATCACAACAAAATATAAAATCGCCTTATGTTGCCTTGAAATATTTTTCTTTCTTCTGAGTCATCTTCATTTTGACATGATAGATGTATATGAATATCCCAATTTAAGTCTCTGCAACATAATAAAAAAACATTGGTAACTACACTAAACTAATGCTTTTTACAAAACTTCTGGATTACTCCATCATCCTGTTGGCTTCTTCAGAGCTTGACTGAAACTGTTTCAATCAAGCTCTGAAGAAGTCAACAGGGTGATTGGCGAAACGTCAGCAATTTCAACTAAGCAAAAACCGACGCAAGAGGAATCCAGAAGTTTTGTAAAAAGCATTACAGTAGCCTGTGGAAGTTTCTTTGAAAAAAAAACACTAAACTAAACTCATAGTAACACTTGATTTCGCAAATGATTAGTACTATATTTTGAGACAAAACAATTGCAACTTTTAGAGACTTTAGGTTAACAAATGCAACAAAATATACAATTATTATTTTAAAAATGGATAATTTCTCAATATTCTACAGACTGCTCAAAAAAGTGAATTATATGATATAGAAAAAATAAGATATGTTGCTAGCCTCGCTATAATTTTAATCTCACATGTACTAAGCTTAAACTTATTGTTATTGTTTATTAAATTATTATTATATTAACCAATTATAAAAAAAGCTAACCAAGATAACAAATGAAAATAATAAAGCAAAAAGAATTTGTGACCTGATTTCTGTGTTTAGTTTTTTAAAAATTACGTGCGAACGCTCAAAATAATTACATTTTCTAGTAACTGCACAACTGCTAAGTCTTCGTCAGAGATCCATATTATCTATTAAATCAATCAGCTTTATTTCGGGTAGATCTAAATTTGCTAAAAAATGGTCAAGAAATTAATTTTACCTTAAAATTTGAATTTTTAAAGATAATTTTTATTTTGCCTAACATATTTTCAAAAAAATCTCGTCTTTATTCTCTGCGGTGGCCAGTGCTTAAAATAGTTAGTCAACAGTCAAATGTTTCATATGTTTATACTTTTTAAATCATCGTCATTATCATTTTCTTACCGACATGCCTGCATTTAAATCCATAAGCCCGAGTTGACCGATTCTTAAACAGAGCGGTCTTTGGCATCTCATCATCATAATCTGAATCAGTTTTTTGGTTGGTTTGTTTTGATCGCACCAGTTGCTTTCAAAGAGTGCCTCAGCTAGTTCCTTACTCTACAATGACATGTTTTCTTAATCGCTTGGATACTTTCTCACCCTAGATGCAGTACCTGCACAATGATTTCGTTCGAGCTCCATGAAAATGCTAGCAACTGTATTGTTGTGAATATTAATCCCAGACTGTTGACGACAATTTGATTTTTCTACAAAACGCAATGTGGATTTTGTGACATAAGGATATAGACTGGCCAATCTTGTTCTCCTTACCGCGGTCATTTGAAATATTACCGTTCCAAACGCCACTGATACGATCGTGTATTCCAACAAGATTATATTTTTTAATGAGTCATTAAATTGTCCGATGGACCTAAAATAATTAATTAATTGGGTCACTTATACTGTATTTTCATCGATGAGAGTGCACATCCACGAAATACTTTGCCATTGCCATTGAGAATCAATTAAATACCTTTATATGTAAAAAATGTGACAAATAAGCCAAAGGAATTGTCTTTAACAATTAAACTTGCTTGCATAGAAATCGGCCCATTGTGAACTTTTGACTTTAATTTCATTTTTTTAGAAACTTCTGATCAGATAAGAAAAAATGCTGTTTGAAAGACAATTTAATATGCTTTAATGCGAGATTAAATTGATTAAAATTTATTTCTGCTTTTTAGGTTCAGCATAGTAAAATAACTGCACGAGTCAAATTAACTTTTTTTATTACTATAGGGTTATTGACAATTAGCAATTCAACACTTATTTCTTAAGAATGGGTATGACCCCCCCTTGCCCCAATAACATCTCTTACTCGATTAGGCATAAATGTAATTAAGTTCGCTATTGTTTCTTGTGGAATGTAAGCCACTCTTCCTCTACTGCAACAATAAGCTCTGGAATCGAGGTTGGGTACGAAGTCTAGTTCGAATTCTCCGTTTTAGCTCATCCCATAAATGTTCAATCAGATTGGGGTCGGGACTGCATGCTGGCCTCTTCATAACTCGAAAACCGATTTTTGTAATGTACTCTTGCACGATCCTTGTGTTGTGCGGCCTAGCACTGTTATGCATACAAATAAATGTCCCCCATGTACCTAGCACCTGTCAAACCTCCTGTCCTTACAACACATGGTCGGTTCGTGCGTCCATATAATGCAGGAACCACCTCCATAAAGGCTCCGATCTTCATTCTGCAAATCGTTCTCCTGGTCTTGGGTACACTTTTTTGGTCGGTCACTACCGAAAAGGCATATTCTGGTCTCATCTGAGAACAATGTCCAATTTAGATGATCCCGTCTAAAGCATCGATGCTTGTCGATGAGATGGAGTACGTTTTGGACCAATAGTTGTTGTCGTTTTTGGAGTCAGGTTGTTTTCCTTCAATCTTTCTCTCACTGTCCATTGACCATTGGTGATGCACTTAAACCGCATTAAGGTGATGATTTCTTATTATTGTTGACACAATAAAGCGGCATACCGTTGGCATACTCTTCGAACCGTTGCGCGTGTCATATCGAGTTGTCGAGCAACAGCTCGCTGGCGAACCACTTTCGATGACAGCGATGACTTGAGCGGGTTTTTGCGGTGTAGTATGCATCAAGCTAACACAATTAAACGCTATTCAAATGGTTAAAAGCAAATAATGTGAAAATATATATACTACTGCATGAACACGTTTCATTTGTTTAACCGTAGCTACGCATATTTTAACTCATACTAAAGTAAATTAAATTGTCCTCCAAATAGCATGGTTATTTTTTAGGACAGATGAATAGTTTCTACAAAAAAAAACTAAAATTAAAAATTTACAGTGGGCCGATTTCTATGCTCCCAAGTTTATTTACCTGATAGGTTTTTTGGATAAAAAACACATGAAAATTCTTTACTTGTCCCTAACACTAAGTCATTTAATGGGGAGCAATTTCTGATAATCACCTAAACTCTCCAAAAAATAAATAATAAATAAATCAATAGTTCCCTTATTGTGATATTGCTGCTAAATGGACTGAAACAATGCTGCAAACACATGATCATGATGACAGCGATATTCAACAAACGTGGGTGCTGTTCCACATAACCACTAATCAAACTAATCACTTTACGGTATATTCTTCTTCTTGTACACAACATTCGTAACTATCCGTTACGAATGTTGGCGATCATCATGACAATGCGTACTTAGTCAACTGCTGCACGAAGGCCTACTGTTGTTGTATTGAACCATGTACGCAAGTTCTTCAACCACGATATCCTTCGTCTACCAGGCCTCCTCCTGCCTTCCACTTTGCCCTGCAGAATCAGCTGCAACAAGTCATACCGCTCGCTATTCCTCATTATGTGTGATATTCAAGCTTGCGTGTTTTTATTAAGAGAAGCACCTCCCTGTCTTTACCCATTCATTCTAGGACCCTAAGATTGGTTATATGGTCGATCCATGGGATTCTTAAAATGCGTCGATATAACCACATCTCAAATGATTCGATTCTTGTACAGGCAGCCTCAGTTAAAGTCCAGGATTCCACACCGTAGAGTAGCACTGGAAAGATATAGCACCTCAATAGTCTGATCTTAGTTGGCAGTGGCAGTTTGCCATTTTCAGAAATGCGGCTCTGGCCTTCTCTATTCTGCATTTGATCTCCAGAGAGTGATCCCACGTTTCACTAATTTTTGTTCCGAGATATACACAAGTCTGAACTCGCTCTATATATTGGTTATTTATCGAGAGTTGGCCAACATGGTTGTTGGTTTTTGACACAACCATATATTTTGTTTTCTTAAAGTTCAGAGAAAGCCCGTATCCTTCACTAACCTCGACCGCCCGAACCATCATCTCTTGGAGACTCTCTAGGCTATTAGCAAACACTACCGTGTCATCTGCGTATCGTATGTTGTTTATATACTCGCCGTTGATCTTAAATCCACTGTTCGTGTCTTCCAGAGCCTCTTGAAAAATTCATTCCGAGTATACGTTAAAAAGTAGAGGCCACAGCACACAGCCCCGACGGACCCCTCTTTCTATCAAAGTATCCTCCGACTCCTCTCCTTCGATGCGCACAGTTGCGGTTTGTTGCCAGTACAAGTTGGCAATTATTCGTAGGTCTTGTTCGCCCAACCCAATCTCCTTTAGAATTTCAATAAGTTTGTTGTGTTGCACGTTATCAAAGGCTTTCTGGTAGTCGATGAAGCAGGCAAACACATCGCAACTGACGTCCCTGCACCGTTGGAAAAGGACCTGAACACTAACTAGAGCCTCTCTAGTACCTACCGCGTTTCGAAATCCGAACTGTGTGCTACTCATTTGATCTTCGCATTGTTTAAAAATTCTCTTGTGTATTATTTTCAGAAAGAGTTTGAGGAGGTGGCTCATAAGGCTGATGGCCCGGTAATTATTACACCTCTTTGCATGACGGCTTTTTGTCAAAAGTATAAAAGTCGATTTTAACCACATCTTCGGTATATGTTATTCAATACTCTTGTTAGTTGTCTAATGCCGTCCGCATCAAGCATTTTTACAAATTCAGAGTGTGTGCCATCCGGACCGGGCGCCTTGCCGTCTTTTAGCTGGGATACAGCCTTCGTGACCTCGTCTACTGTTATTGGTAGCCTGTCTACATTGTTAAAATCTGGAGGACTTTCTGGTCTGGTGAGCGTAAAAAGGTTTTCTATGTAATTTTTCCAAGTGTTCACTTTCTCTTTGACGTCGGTGATCAGTTTGCCGTTCTCATCATGTAGTGTCCCAGATGTATTAGTTTTGTATATTCCGGCTGCTTCGCTGACTTTCTTGTGCATATTAAACGTGTCGCATTTTTGTTCTAACGACTCTATTTCTCTGCATTTTGCGCCAAGCCAATTTTCCTTTGCACTTCTTATTTCTCGTCTTATTTCTCTTTGAATATTTTTATACCTTGCGTCGTCGTTTTTCGCTTTCCGCCTGTCTTCCATAAGTTGTAGAATATTATCGGTCATCCAGCTTTTCTTTTTCTCCCTGTTTGCGACCAAATGCTCGTTTCCGATGTTCCCGAACGAATCAGACATTTTTTGCAGCCATTCCTCTGTGTTATCTACTTCCTCTAGTTGTTTAAATTTCTCTGTCAGTACGTTCATCACTGTCTTCCGTGTGTCCTCCTTTTTCAGCCTTCTCATATCCCATTGCTTGCGAACTGTTTTCTTTTTCACAGTCTTCAGTTTGATTCTGAATCTTCCCGCCAAAAGGCAATGATCCGATTCGATGTCAGCGCCAGGGAAAGTCTTCGCGGGTAGACAACTATTCCTAAATCTTTTATTCACAAGGATGTAGTCGATTTGGTTTCTCACTGTTTTATTTGACCATGTCCAGGTATATAGTCGACGTGGCGGTAGGGTAAAAAAGGTATTAAGTATTACATATTCTTCTTCTTCGACGAAGAGCTTTAATCTGTCACCGCGTTCATTCCTTGATCCCAAACCGAACCCACCTATGAGTTTATCAAACTGCTTTAGGACATTTGTTAATGATTTATAAAACTGTTCGATTTCTTCATCCGTTTTATCGGCAGTTGGGGCATATATCTGGATAATATTCAACTTGACAGGAGCGAGACAGTTATGAAGTAACCAGCTGCAGTTCTCCATTGCTGGTTTTGGTCCGCCCCGAGTATTTCATTTCCTCGGTACCACCCATATCTGGGAGGCGTCCCCTATCCGCCACCTGGGGAGGCGCCCGATGGGGGACTAGCAACCCCACACGACTTGCGGTATATACAATTTTAATTTTCTTAAGTTATCGAAATATATAATTTAGTAACAAAAAAATTAGGCTTACGCAATTAAATTTATATTAGATATTTTTAATAGTTATAATATGGCACTGAATATATCTTTTAAATAATGATTTGGATGGCAATTTGCTACTACCAGGTGGATAAAGAGTTTTGCATCCCTATACAAAAAAGAGCCTAAGTAAGAAACGAAGCTCGACATCGCCCTTTGCGATTAAAACAATTGCTGCTACCGAAGCTCTTAGATATTTAATCAAGCTTCCTAAAGATATAGTTACATTGAATGAAAAATTATCAGCTCCTTTTTTAGTATTTTTATTAATTTTAATTTTAATTACAAAACACATTCTTTCTTTTGATAAGTGTCTTCATTTGCAGTAGCTATTTGGGATTAAGACTTTTAACGGGCGCTTGGAAAAATTAAGTAACAATAACTAACCAAACTATATTCACTTACCTGATTAAAACTTGATGTTTAACACATAGTCATTTTAAGATATCCTCCGGTGACCGATGTGATCGGTACTTGTCGAAATTTCTAAAATTGAACTGCAGTTCCATCAACTGCGCTCTCAGGAAAATTATCAAACAATTGATAAAGGCGCTCACCACACCAAGGCAAAACATTACCAAGGTAGGACGGATATTTTGATCGATTATTACAACTGTAAAGTGCTTATCTGTATCAAAGGGATACCAGTAATGCAGGGGCAAACGCGACTCAGTTATGTTGCCTGTTTTAAACTGTCTCAAAGCATTCACATCACCTGAAGAAATGAAATCAAAAGTATCGCATTTTTCGTTTTCACCGGTCAATTAATGATGGCTTACATTAATTTTAGTCTGCATTTTCTTCTAAAACAATATAGCCAGAAATGCCAGCAATTTTAACATTGAGCTTGACATGGACCTTCAGGTTCATTTCGAATTGATTTTTAAACAAATTAAAACAGTGGTTGTGATATTTTTCTTGTTCTAATTGATTTAAGTTATCGTTTTTCTTCACGCATGGTAGGTGAAGAAAAAGGTCACATAAGCATTTAGCACAAACAACAGAACTTTGAAGTGATCTTCAAGGTCCAGATCAATGTCATTATTTGCCTCATTTTATTAACATTATAATTTACTAATATTTACTTAAAATAACTTCAGTATTATAATATCTTTTGATAGTATTCCATTACCAATGAGAGCAACAGAAAGTCCCACAAGGATGGCTGACGTCATAATCAGGGAAATTAGTTTATTGTCGAAATTGATGTGCCACCTGTATATATTTCTAATTTCGGAATTATCATGAACAAATAATTCTCGGTCTTGTCGCAGACCATCTTCAATCAGGTCGAGCACACCTTTAGAGCGACACATTACCATTTTGATCATCGTTACAAGACAAAATATAAATCTTCCCATATTTTCTATTGCTAAAAGCACAGACTAAGCCTACGCATAAGAAGTGATTTTGTTGACTTTCGTACCTATCGAGGAATTTGTTTTGAGTAGACTGGGTATATCAGCACTTGACACCATCGCTGATAGATACACCAGGTGAAACAATACGGAATATGTAGTGTACAACTTCTTTCTGATTTTTGATGAGTTATGATCGAATAATCCCCAAATACCGACAATCATCATTAGAAACTTCATGTAACAAAAGTACGATGTCGGGGTGTCCATATTTTCATTAGCACTACTGTAACATAAACATAAAGTGATTTATCTCTTATATATATTACAACCTAAATCAATAGAATTTCTCCGAACACACCAAGGCCATTTCAGCGGCGTCCATCAAATTCTTAACATGAAGAATTTGCACCATTTAAATAACCAAAATCGCATATCCAGCATTATATTTCTATTATATAAGTCAAAATTACTAGTTAGCTTACACTTAGCATAAATCCCGAAATTCATATTATTTGGTAAGTGGTAAGATGAGTGGCATTAAGTCGACTTCCCTTGAACGGGAAGCTTTGTGTCAGCCTTTAACAGGGACCGTGTAGACCAATCTAAACTCCATTGTTGCGCCACTGATGTGCTATTCTGCGGACATTACCCTGCCTAATAACAAGGTAGAAGATATAAATATACAGCAAGGACAAGCAACTGATATTATACGACATGCGATGTGCAATAATGATAGAGAACACATTTTTTTCCTTTTGTATTAGCTATCAAGATGGGAAAGTTCTGCTGCCGCTACGGGTGGTTCAATTTGTAAAGTGTGTTTTCTATATTTCGGTATGTTTGCTTTGATGCGCGGTACCATAAAAATCGCAAAATTGGTGGCGGCTGTTAGGGTATGAGCTTTCGTATGCATTTAATATAAAATGTCCTTGTCATATACATAATTTGAATGGACTGAGCAATGACTTGGTGGTAATACTGGACCATACTTGGTTTTTCACTTAAGTTTGTTGTAAGGAAACGTCGTTGATACAAGATCCATAACTTTTTAACACGTTAATCTATATACCTAATTTATTACTACTAACACACACCTTATATAATTTATGCAGATATTCTCCGATTTCAGTTTTTCACTTAAGTTTAAGTTTAAGTTAATTTTTTGGAAACAAATTAGGTATTAGATCCATAACTTTTGAACACGTTAATAAATATACCTAACTATTGTGTCTGAAAGTAAGTTGATTCATTAATGTAAATTATGTGAAAAGCAGTAAAATAATAGTAAGTAATTTTTGTTTTACCCGACGCTTGGGTAACTTTAGGCGATTTTCTCTCATTTTGGTAATTTTAATTAATGTGTCTTTGGTGCTGAAACGATTAGTATATTAAAACGCTAGATTTTTCGACGCTGAAATAATTGCTATCACTACAGAAGATTGAAACCATAAATATGAAATAATACATTGTGCAACAAATGTGGTGAACAGCATTTGAGTCACGAGTTTATTTGGCACAAGCGGAGCATAGCGAAGCGAGTACTTAATCGAGTGACTCAAGAAGTATATCAAAAGTGTTCCATACTATCCTTTTTCTTCGACCAACTGACATGAGCCTCAGAATTGGCAAACGTGAATCCCGTAATATCCCAGCAATGTCCGAAGTGGCTGGCAGCCGTAGGAAACAAAACTGATATAGTACTTTCCAACGCCGAAGAAAAAAAAATAAAATTAATATGTTAATGTCGCTTTTCGTTGTCAAAGATATTAGAAACACACACTTTTCCTTTGTTGCCTTTTTTATTTTATCAAAAATATGACCATTGTTTACTTATTCATCATATTCCTCACGTATCGTTCCTGGTAAGGTTTGGGAGGCATATACAGAAAATTATTATAGAGAACTCAAAAAACTGCTGATACACAACACAAACAATATTCGGTTTGAAAAAATTTGTAAATGAAATAAACAAATAATCCATGTAGCAGTTTTAGCGTTAAACATTTTTGAAATTTTAAACTACGGCTTTATAAATATTTCATTGAATCTCAAAAGCGGAATTAATATGTAAGTGTTAAAATGTTATAATTATTGCTCCTAAACCTACTAATAATTATTAGCAGTAATTATACGATGGCTTCTGGGCATTTTTTAAAAACTAATATATATTATATATGCAAATATCTTAATTTGTATATATATGGTATTAGGAAAACGCACAAAAAATAAATAAAAAGTAAATTGGCCAGGAGAAAATGCTGGAAATTATGTTCGAGTTTCTGAAATGTTCACTCACTTCCCTGCAGAAGTAAACCAAAGAGTATTAAACAAAAAAATATTATAATTTGTCTTAGCTTTACACTTGAATTATATTTACATTTACATTACATTCTATGGTATGTCTTTTAAAAGAAGTTTGTTTCGTCTTTGCTAACAACGTTGCTTTTTAGCGATGTCGATAGATGGCGCTTTTCATTATTCCCGCGAGTTTAGAAAGTTACTGCGGGCTTCTTATTTAATTTATATATGTCTTAGTCTTTTAGTGTTATTAGCGGTTTCATGAAAAGATTGGATATTTCACGAAATGAACCTAACCAGAATTTTCAGTAATGAACTAGGCATTCTTTGAAATGTCGGATTATACCATATTTAATAACCTTCACATCCGAGAATAGACATAAACTTGCATTTTTTAAAAAGTGCTTTATCTTTAAAATGTGCTTTTCATAAAAATAAAGAAAATATTTTTTACAAGTAGTTATAGGGCAATAATAGGTTTCTGAGATTCTGCTTTGTAGTTTTAAAACATTACAATTTATTTTTATATTATTTATAAGCACGAACAAAGAGAGTGTTTAATAAATAAGTGACTGAAGAAGTTTGTAAATCATTAGTAACGAATACATTGACAGAATGACGTGTGACTTGACCATGAGAATTAACAAAGTCAAAATTCTGTAATAACGAACCTGACATCTTAAAGTGACACATTGCGGATGATCATAAGTGCATAACTAGACATTTTATAGTAGCGATTATTATTTAAGAATCGAGAATAACTTTTAATAGTATATTGCGCAACAAGTTTGATAAACGCCTATTTAATCACGAGTTGGGTAGCACTTGAACACGTGCGTAATAAACTGGTGACTGACAAGATTATACTTATCAAGGTGGTGACTGTCAAAATTGGCAAACGCGAAAATATCATGGCTTATATTGAAGCTGAGTTTATTTTGTGACAGTACCAAAGGTATTGCTTATTATTTAAGTAAAATATTAAAATTTATTTCAAGTTAACCAATAATGCAATTTTTTCCTCCATTTGTAATTACACCTTATAAAATGTTCATCATACATTACAATTTTTATTTATAATTCGTTTTTTTTAGTGCGTCGCCGATTTTCCTCAAATTTTGCCTTGAATAAATTGTTCTCTCTTCTGGGTCATTCTCGTTTGGACATGACAGATGTATATGAATATCCCAATTTAAGTCTCTGAAATATTATAAAAAACGTTGGTAATTACACTAAACTAAACTCACCTTGTATTCACGTATTGATTGAAAAATATGTTGAAAAAATACTACGGGATATCATCCGTTCGCTTGTTGAACTCCGACTGGAATCCTGCAGACGTTTCATCAAGACCTCACTTGGCATCTTCAATGTTCGCGCTCCGAAAACACTTCGAACACTGTGAGGTTATCGGCGATAAATAATAATAAATAAATAAATAGTGCGGTATTTACTACTATTTATCTGCGGTATTTATTACTATTTATTTATTTATTATTATTTATAAATACCGCACCCATCGCCGATAACCTCACAGTGTTCGAAGTGTTTTTGGAGCGCGAGCATTGAAGATGCCAAGTGAGATCTTGGCGAAACGTCTGCAGGATTCCAGTCGGAGTTCAACAAACGAACGGATAATATCTCGGAATATTTTTCAACATATATATATATATATATATATATATATATATATATATATATATATATATATATATATATATATATATATATATATATATATATATATATATATATATCCATATATATATCCATAAGTCAGAATGAGTTTCGGTTTATTTTTTTATAGAATAATGGGTCATGTGACACTTTATTTAAGGTAAATTAATTTTTCATATGCAAAAAATAAATTACACCTAATAATGGTAACAATAACAGTAATAATACATCATTAATTGCTTTTTAAAAATGAATTACTTGAATGGGTTCACAATGGATATTTTAATTAAGCCTATAATAAGCCTTCAAAATAATGTGTCACATGACAAACTATTACATACAAAAAAAGTAAATGGAAAATATGGAAATGTCATTTTCAGTAAAAAAAAAAGAGAATTGTATCATACACCACCTGAAATTTAATCGTAATATACCAAACGGTTCAAAAATTAGAGAAGTGGCGACAGATTATATAGGTAAACAAATTATACAAAATATACATTGATAAATAAATAAAATCTGAAGCATTCTTAAATGTCATATCTAAAAACAGTGTTTGCATTGGATAAATTACGTACGAAAGCTTGAAATATTTAGCTTTTCTGGGAAGGACACTACTATCAAGACCCAAATTTGTCAAAAATGTAAAATGTATAAATTTTAAAAAAAGCAGTGGAGTACGTAACATGCTTCCAAAAAAATCTAGTCCCCATTCTTTAGAGGGGTCTGCTCAAAACCTTTAATCAAAATGGTAATTTATTTATTTTTTTCAAACAATTAGGTTTTGGGCATATATTTATTCAAACTTTATAAATCATTATTCTTTTCTTACCGACATGCCTGCATTTAAATCCATAAGCCCGAGTTGACCGATTCTTAAACAGAGCGGTCTTTGGCATCTCATCATCATAATCTGAATCAATTTTTTGGTTTGTTTGTTTTGATCGCACCAGTTGCTTTCAAAAAGTGCAACAGCTAGTTCCGAACTCTACAATGACATGTTTTCTTAATCGTATGGATACTTTCCCACCCTGGATGCAGTACCTGCACAATGATTTCGTTCGAGCTCCATGAAAATGCGAGCAACTGTATTGTTGTGAATATTAATGCCAAACTGTTGACCACAATTTGATTTTTCTACAAATTGCAAAGTAAATTTTGTGACACATGAGGCTAGGCTAAGACGAACCTCATTTCCCTTACCGCGGTTATTTGAAGTATTACCGTTCCAAACGTAATTGACACGATGGTGTATTCCAACAAGATAATATTTTTTAATGAGGCATTAAATTGTCCAATGCACCTGAAATAATTAATTAATAATTAATATTATGACTCATTTCTGGAGTATTTTCATCGACGATATAAAACGATATCCCAAAACAAGAGACAGTAAATTTTTTACTAATTGCGATCTGATCAACGATTGGTCTTACTCAACAGCAATTCTGTAATTAGTCTGAGGATTCCTGTTGATTAAGTAGATTAGTTTTAAGTTTTCCTAGTAGGAAGTTAAGTTGGAACAAAATTTCTTATTGATCAATCCTCGATCAGATCGGAATTATTAAAAAAAAACAAGACAAAAGGATTTTAATGTTGCTACACACATCGATTAAATACCTTGACATTTCCATTGATCATCCATTAATAAATGATATAACAAATAGACTAAGGGAACTCAAAATTTAGTTACATCAATTTTTTTTTTTTGATAAAAAACATTTAAAAATTCTTACTTATCTTTCCTACAAATATAAACATACATAATTTTACATTTTTTACAAATTTTTTGAGCATTTGTGAATGTTTATTTAATATAAATGGTTTTTCTTGTTTTTTTTTTTGTTTCCTATTGTATTTTTTTATGCTGGCTTGAATTTGTAATGCGCTGTAGTACTAATTAATTATTAATTAGCTAATTGGTCTTACCTATTTTTTACGCTTCAAGTTAAAGATGATGTTAATTCATTGTTGGTTCAATTGAAGTTTAAAAATTAATTAATAATAAGTTATTACTTACTTGATTAATCCTTGATGTTTAATACAAAGTAGTTTTAAGATATCCTCCGGTGACCGATGCGATCGATACTGGTGGAAATGTCTAAAATTGAACTGCAGTGCCATCAATTGCGCCCTCATGAAAATTATTAAGCAATTGACAAAGGCGCTCACCACACCCAGACAAAACAGAACCAAAGTAGGACGGACATTTTGATCTATGATTACAAATGTGAAGTACTTATCTGTATTAAAGGGATACCAGTAATGCAGGGGTAAAGGCGACTCGGTTGCGTTGCCTTTTTTAAAACGCCTCATTGCATTTGCGTCACCTAAAGAAACGCATGGAAAAGTATTTAATTTTGCAAGTTCAATAGCACATATCAATTATGGATATATATAATGTATATAATTTATAAGATATGGTCAGAAATGTCAGAAATTTTCGGTCGGATTTAATAATGAAAATGATAACCTTGACATTGATCTTTAGAGACTTTTCGAGGTGTTTCTTTTGTAAAAACCCATATTTATTACCAGTGTTAAATTGACATGAAAAATTTACCTATTACTTGTGTGTGTGTGATAGTGTTCTTGTCCAAAATTCGTCAATTCAGGTCACCGCATTAAAAGTTTTCTATTATTAAATCTTCTGAGAGCAATATTCCCTTACCAATAACAGCAATAGAGAGGCTCACAAGGGCGGCTGACGTCACAATCAGGGAAATTATTTTGTTGTCGAAATTGACATGCCACCTGTATATATTTCCAATTTCGGTATCATCTTGAACAAACAATTCGCGGTCTTGTCGTAGAGCGTCTTCGATCAAGTCAAGCACACCTTTCGAACGACACATTACCATTTTGATCATCGTTACAAGACAAAATATAAATCTTCCCATGTTTTCCATTGCTAAAAGCACTCACATTTACTACCGCAAAATGATATTGTTGACGCCATTTTTCTACCTATCGGAGAATTTGTTTTGAGTAGACTGGGTAAATCAGCACTTAAAGACACCATCGCTGATAGATACACCAGTTGAAACAATACAGAATAAGTAGCGTAAAACTTCTTTTTGATTCTTGATGAGTTATGATCGGACAATCCCCAAATACCGACAATCATCATTAGGAACTTTATATAATAAAAATATGATTTGCGGGTATCCATATTTTCATTAGCACTACTATAATATAATTTAACATTGGTAGTGATTTAACTCTTATATATACTACAACCTGAATCAATAGAAATTCTCCACTGAACATACCGAACATGCCAAGACAATTTCAGGGGCGTCCATTAAAATCTGAACATGAAAAATTTGTACTATTTAAATAACTAAGATCACATGTGATAATTTAAATTAGATTTCTGTAATATAAATCTGAAAAACTAGTTTTCCAAAACCCGACATAAACAACCAAATTCATAATTATTTACTTCGAAGTGATCAAATTACATATTACGGATGAAAGTATTTGGTACGTGGTCAGATAAGTGTAATCAAGTTGAGTGCTTTTAAACTGGAAGCTTTGTGTCGACCTTTTAGAGGTAGCACATCATTCAATATGGACCCCGTTGTTGCGCCACTGATGTCGTGCGATTCGACGGACCTTAACAGACCTAATAACAAGGTAAAAGTCGTAAATATACAGTAAAGCACAAGCAATTCGTAAACCGATATTATGCGTCACGCGATGTGCTATAATAAAAGGGACAACATATTTTCCTTTTGTATTAGCTAGCAATGGTGGGGGGGGGGGGATTTCTGCTGCCGGAACCGGTGGCTCAATTTGTGCTTTTGGATGAAATTTCAGTAGGACGTTTCATTTCATTTTTGGAAACACGTGTTCTATTAAAAAAAACAAAGATAGTGGCGGGCGTTGGGGTATGAGAATTGGTATTCCTTTAAGACTATATGGAATATGCCCTACAAAACATGGTTGCATTTTTGAAACACTGCTGCCGAAACTCGAAAGGGCGTCTTTAATTATTATGGCTAATGCATGATATCATTCCAGAGTTAGTGAAAGAGTATCAAATTCAGATTAATTACCCAGAAAATGGTCTCAGATATGAGTTGTTAAAAATTGACAAAAATTACAATACAAAGTTGCCATATCCTACAGACGAAACAATTGCTGAAATGCCATAGAATTGGTGTGGACTCAGTGCAAAACATTTTTTAATAAAAATATTATATGTGATGCAAGGCACGGCAGGCAGTAGTATCTGTTTGGAAGGCGGCAGCTCTCCAGACAGTTACAGATAAACGAATACTGTTATTAGTGTAGACGAAGGATCATTGTCTGATATAGTAGTTCCAGTTTTGGCACTAATGATGAAGATGTTTTATCGTAAATACAAACTAAATATTTGCTTGTATATTTACTGTCTTCAAATTTTATTTTATACGGTATCATATATATTTTTTAATTTTTCGATTTCTTCGATATTGCTTTAATTTTTATTGCATTAACACAAATTGTACCGACTATACTTGAAACATGCATAAATTGATTATACTGACTAATGAAGTTTCTAAAGCTTGGAATGTGTTTAAAATAGCTACAACTGATTAAGTTAGATTTAAGGAAACATGGTTGATTCTAGTTCCCTAACTTTGATACGTTTTACACAATTATTTATTTAATAAATATACCTAATCGATGTGTCGGAGAAGAACTTAAATGGTTAATAAATATTATAGTTATATCATTATTATATTATAGTAAAATGTAACAAAGTAATAAATAACCCCAAAACGTAATTTTGGTTTTAGCCAATACCTTTGGGTATAAGATCACTTTTTGTTAGTATTTTTAATGTGTCTTTTGGTACAGAAGAGTTTAGTACCTATATGCAATAATTTTTATCACAATAGTTCGAAACCATAAATATGTTTATTAAATAAATTACAATCATCATGATCATATTCCTGCCAAAATTTATTATTCCGCATCCAGAAATTTATCCTGTATAAGGAAATTTTAATGAAAAAAGAAAGGATTCTTATTTTTTAAATGTAAAATAATATTAAATTTGGCTGGAATTGTTAGCCGAATCCGTATGACAACAGAACAGGTCAAAATCTGCTGTTGGATTGCCATAAACAATATTCGCCCTTAATAAATATGGGAAATAAATATAAATACAAACTAATAATTATAATTTTTAATATTTATAATTCGACTCAGCCACAACCGTCGCACCAGAATTACAGAAATTTTGAAAATAGTATCTTCACTACTCTCACTTTAATTACTTTAATTATAGTTATATTTGCTATTACATACACTTTACAATTATACTTTTCAAAAGAAGTTTTTGCACGTCACTGTTTACGATGTTGCATTGTCGAGAGTATAGACAGTTACTTAAGATGAAGTCACACCTATATTTTGATACCATACCATACCATACAGATTGATGGTTCGCATTTTTAAAATACTCAACTTAAATTTTAATGTCGGGTCTATTGCAAAAGTTATTTAAACAAGTTGATTCGATTATTATTCTAACCCCACGTACCAAATGTCATTTTTCGTCTTTTCATTATTTTGGTGATTATACAAAATTATTAAAAGTTGTTTTTTTTATTTTTTAAATTACTGTTCCGGTAATTTAAATTCTTCAGATAAATAAATAACACAAAGGATCAATTATTTTATTAAAAAAAAATAATAATGTCTAGTTGGTAACTGATTTGAGAAAATAATTACAATATTAACCTTCTTAGGCCAAATGATAATTTAACAAATGTCATCTGGCTCGAATTCTTTTAAGATTCTGTCTGGATACTCGCCCAATGCTTGCTAATTTTTTGAAATGCTTGTTTTATTATGGCCCACATCTCCATCTTCAATTTACCACTTTCCAAAAATAAAAATCGAGTGGTGTATTATCAGGAGATCTAGAAGCCAGAGTTCAAAAGGACTGTTTCTTCCTATTCAGCGAATACGAAATTTCTAGCTTCACCATTGACGAACAATCCTTGAATTGTGATTAGAAGCACCATGTAGCTCGAAATGCGAGGTATGTTCAAAAAGTAAGGTGACTTATGTAATTGGCCTGTCTACGTACACCGTGTGCCAAATAAAACGACGAAACCCATAGAAAAAAGTTTCGTACAAAAGTGGACCCTCCTGAAGATTTAAAATATTATAATTTTGTTGATACAGGTTGTCCCAAAAGTGTCCCTCGCGACATCAACATCAATCCTTGGTTAAAATAAAGGTCACTTTCTTAAGAAATTCCTATTAAAATTTTGCATAGTTTAGGCAGAAATTGGGGTTATGTTTTTTTTATGTTTTGATTGCCCCATATAAAATTGTGTTACGACGCTACTGATCCAGGTATTGCAAGGTAAATTTCACCACAGACTAAGGAGATGATGTACTACTCAATCAGATTTACAGATGCCCCTCGGCGTATACAGGGTGTCCCAAATAGGTGGTGCCGTTTTGATGAATTCAGTTAACACAATTTCAAGATCTTCAAATGGAGCACACTATATTTTTATTCAGATATCAATTCTAAGACAAAAAAATAAGGTAAGTTTGAAATTTATCTTATATTAAAATTTTACTTACTTTTCGAAATGATGTACACTCGAGCTTCGATATTTTTTTTGTTATGTTAGTACACATGTCCCTAACATATGTTCACAGTTTTAGTCAGTTTGCACGTTTACTTATTTTGTGAGACAGAAGCGTTAAACGTGTTTTTGTGCTCGGCGATTTTTTGCTGTACAGAGCTGCACAACAGTTGAAATGTTGTCAAGGGCATATGGTGAATCTACTTTGAGTAAAAAAAATATATTTATAAGCTGTTCCAAGATGGCCGAGAAGACGCTGATGACCAACCTCACTCTTTACGCCACAGCAAGTCAATAACTGTTACAAGCATAGAAGAAGTGAAACAAATGGTGTTGAAAAATCGTCGAATCAGAAGTGACTGAAGACGTCGGCATCTCTATTGGCTCGTGCCATGCACTTTCTTTCGAAGTTTTGGGCACGAAATATGTAGAAGCAAAATTTGTTCCGAAACATTTTGATATGCTCAAAACGGTCATGGGTTTATGGTTATGACGTCGAAATCAAAACCCAGTCGTCCCAATGGAAGAACCGAGGATCGCCAAAACCGAAAAAAGCACGTCAAGTTCGATCAAATGTCCAGGTCATGCTTACTGTATTTTTTGATTATCGTGGCAATGCACATCAATAAATGCGCCATTTGCGAAAAGCAATACGAAGAAAACGTCCGGAATTGCGGGAAAAAATTCTTGGATTCTGCCTCACTATAATGCTCCTGCTCACTTATCCTTGTGTCTTACGTCTAACTTTATGGCCAAGAAGAAAACCACAAATACGCTTATGCGTCAGCCACCATATTCACCAGATATGAGCCCCTACGACTTTTTCCTGTTCCCAAAACTCAAAAAACTTATGAAAGGAAGGAGGTTTGAAACGATAGAGCAGATAAGGAAAAATCGCTGGAAGAACTCAAGGCTATACTAAAAAATGCTTACCAGAAGTGCTTCAAGGATTGAAAAAACGTTCGAACAAGTGTGTTATACCTGAGAGGGAGACAACATTTAAAAGTTACCTCACTTTTTGAACACACCTTATATGTACATAACCTGTCACATATTGACAGGAAGATTGTATTGTATATAGCAACCCATAATTCCCCATAAGAAAAGTGAACTAGACGACCAGCATTTGATGATGGAAATGATTCATTAGACAGTGACTTCCTGGGAATATTGATTTTTACAATTAACCCAGTCTGGATTATCTCAGGCCCAGTGTCCTACAATTTTGAGCTAATACGACCCTATTGCTGATGAATGTAGCCTTATCGGCAAAGATAATCTTCTTCCTTATTTAAAAAAATTACCTTGAGCCCAATCATAATAATGTAATATTTTATCCTCATCGCCTTGTTTTAATCTATGTAAGAACTTTGGTTTATAGGGGTTGATTTTTTGACGGATAAAACATCTTCTGGTTTTGTCTAAACTAATATTCAGCGGAGATGATAAATCTCGAAAGCTCATGAAAGCTTGGCAGCTTCTTTTCCATGTCTAATCAGAGCACGTAGCGGATGTCTGCTGTTAAGCTCTGCTACAAGCAAAATTACCAACCAAACGAATTATTTTGATTTTTTTTATGAAAGTAAACGCCATTTTAATTCGGTGGTCACTAAATAGAACTCATTGTAATAAACTCAAAATTTATTGATTGATATTAATGATAGTTTATCGAATTAAAAAATTAACTTTTGATAATTTTGTGCAGGCATAGGTATTTGGGGTTAGAATAATATTCGTAACAACTTTGAATATGTCGAAAATTGGTTCTATTTAAGTTCAGAATCTTGAAGATGTGAACCATCAAAGTATATGACAGTGCAAAATTTCAAATCTGTAGTTAGTTTGCCAAAATATAAAATGTGACATACTGTATAAGTTGCAAACTTTTACTGTCGTCAGCCGTTTCATGAAAATGCTGAACAAAAATGGGTCCTTCAGCAGGTAACAAACCAAACTAAATCGTCTACCAGATATACATTTCTTGAGTTTTCAGTTAGTATCTTCATTGCCAAAAAAAAGACATAAATTTTAAGTTTTCTCAATTTGTTTTATATCTTAACTCAATTCAGCCCATACGATTAAACTCGACCGAAAACACTCTATCGCTCTCAAAGTACCGAAAATGTCTGTGGCTCGAAGCTAATGTCTGGTATCATTATTGGGTATTTGCATAATTGGGTATTTTAAAGTAGGGAGTCTTATTGTGCAATTGCAAATAAAATATTTTAAAATTTATTGTACAGCGTTTATTCTGGGATAGTACCAAAAATGTTGGTTATTATTTAAGTGAAATATTAGAATATAATTAAGGTGTATACTTCTTTACTATAATGATTTAACCAATAATGCATTTTTTCCGCCTTATATTACAATTTTTTTTCAGAGAAAAATTGTGCTTTCTCCTTCTTTTGACTCATTCTGATTTGGACATGATAGATGTATATGAATATCCCAATTTAAGTCTCTGAAAAATACCAAAAAATGTTGTAACTGTACGAAACTAAACCCACTTTGTTTTCATAAATAATATATTATATTTTATTAATGTTAATATTTAGGGACAATGCACTAACCACTTTTGGAACGGTTGGTTCATATTGGGCATGTTGTTATCCAGTTTTATACCGGACTGCTCAAAAAAGCTTGAAGCATTCATAAAATTTATATAAAATAAGGAGGTTACGCAACTAGCCAGGCAAGAAACAAATTTATTTATTATCAAAATGGAATACTAGACTCTATTATTAACTAACAGAAAGACTAAAGATAACAAGTTTTTTAATGATCAGACACACTAAATCCAACCGTGTTTCTATAATTTCCCTGCAATGCCAAGTTAATTTGTTTGTGGTTTGGCGTCAGAGGTCCAAATTATAGATCGAATCAGTCAGCTTTAGTTCGCGTAGATCTGAATTTTTATTTTATGAAAAACAATGACGTGCGTAATATTAATAAATAAATAGTTTTTAGATTTAGCTTAGTTAGTACATTTAGTACTCTGAATATCAAAAGTTAATGATAAGATGTAATGATAAGATGTTTAGGACATCATCATCATTTTCTTACCGACATGCCTGCATTTAAATCCATAAACCCGAATTGACCGATTCTTAAACAGAGCGGTCTGTGGCATCTCATCATCATAATTTGAATCAGCATTTTGGTTCGTTTGCTTTGGTCGTACCAGTTGCTTTCAAAAAGTGCATCAGCTAGTTCCGTACTCTACAATGACATGTTTTCTTAATCGTTTCGATAGTTTTACTCCCTGGAAATGGTACCTGCACAATGATTTCGTTCGCACTCCATGAAAATGCGAGCAACTGTATTGTTGTGAATATTAATGTCATACTGTTGACGACAATATCACTTTTCTACAAAAGGCAATGTAGATCTTGTGACACAAAGAGAGAACCTCATTTGCCTTACCGCGGTCATTTGAAGGATTACCGTTCCAAACGTGACTGACACCATCGTGTAGTCCAATAAGATTATATTTTTTAAGGAGCCATTAAATTGTCCGATGCACCTGAAATTAATATAATGACACACTTCTGCTATATTTTCGTGAACTCTTAAAAAGATAAGAAGCTTTATTTCGGTAATATAAAGAAACGGCAGACATAAATGCTGGTTGTATCTCTATCTGTAAGAGAAGGAGAGTAGCCTACGCTGTAGCAGTTGGATTTCAGTATGCCCGTCTGGCTTCCTCCTGGACAGAGCATTTAGCTTTACATCATACCTAGTGACTTCACGTAGACCAAGAATTGTCTCCCTAATAACCGTAAAGCACGAATATAATTCGCCAAGCATGACTTTACGCCTTATGGAGATGTTAGGACATTCGCACAGAATGTATTCTACTGCCTGTCCGCACACCCTGCTCGTGGGAATGCTGCTTATACCCAATCTGGATTGGTTTTTGTTAAGTCATCAATGACCTTCGGTCCTACCAGAGTAAATTCGGCACCCCACCTTGCCAGGAAGTCGGCGACACTATTTCTCTGTCGACTGAAACGTCAACAAGATCGCGGTGATATTCTAGTACTAGTTCTTACGTAAAACGTTGTCTATGAATTACCAGAACTACCTCTCTGTTATTCTTATAAAAGCACACCGCTTTACGCTTGCCTATTTGATGCTTTTATTCCCTTTGGTGTTGGTTGTGCAGGTTGCATTCACTGCACTGGAAATAATACTAACGTTGCGTAATTGCGCCATAATCATAAAAACCACCTCTTATATTAAAAGGTCTGACATGCAGCATTACATCCATAGCCTGGGTTGGTGTGGTTTTTATGGCTCCTGTCAGGAATTCCATCATTTGGAGCTATTCCAGTTTACGACTAGTAATTTTCTGTTGTGTCTTATCGCCCATGGTGGTATGGATCCACTTGGCAATCCTGAAATATGTATTTTTAACTTTTGTTTTCAATATGAGTGTCACTCCAAGGACAATGGACCAAGGACATGCTTTGTACACCATTCTTCAATTACTTTTGTGATGAACTTGGTCACCTGGCCTCTAATAGTTCAATTTCCTACAGGAATTTTCGCAAACATATTAAATATCCATCCAGTCAGTGCCTGCGGTGCATCCCTTTCAGTAGAACGTGCAACGTTTAATCGATTTCACGCGCACGAAGTCCTATGCGAAATTATGATTATGACGGAGCGTTAAACAGAATTGACAAAAATCCTCAAATGGCATTAAGACTGCAGATATCCAATATTCCTTAAACAATTGTAAGTTAATTGATATGATGTTTCTCTAATCTCTTCCCATCGATTCCATAAATTACTGTTCACTGTTAATATTACTATTTTTGCAAGTGGATGTGCAACCATCAAGATATAAAATTTTTCAAAATAATTTTTTGCTCAATGTTTGGTAATAGGTAAACGTTAAATTTTCTTACAAATGATCATCTGGCCAAATTGTTAGAGAATATTCCCACAGCATGATGGTGCACACTTTGGGCAACGTCTAAGAAACTGAAAATGAGTAATTTTTCAGTGTTATCCATTCAATGCGGATGTATGAATTAAACTTATAGGTGAGTGTCATTTTATTTTTTAAAAGAATAGCCTGCTAGTAAACCATGAAATGAAAATTAACAAATAACAAACCTGTTTTTTACATGGATAAATAAGATGTTCATGCTAAACAGGGAATTTTTCAAATCAATTTCCTGGAAAACGGTTCATCCCAGCGCTATCAATCAAATGTACCTTTTTCTCGTAACAGAACACAACATTTATGGTTTTATAAGAAAAAAGTCAACCCACAAAACAGTTATTGCAGTTTTTGTTACCTATACTTCTCAAAAGTTATGACCCTGACAAAAAAATTGTCGATTATAATTTTTGAACCAGATTTAGCAAGTCAAAAGTTTCTCTCAACCTATTTTGGAAATGTTAATAAAAAAACTATTTATAGACACAGGTACAATTAATAATAATAAATGTGTTAAGGTGCGATAAAGATTTTTATATTTTTTAGAGACTAATATCTCATTAAGAGTGTAAAACGTGAAATATTAAATTCGTCAGAACCAACAACAGTGTTTATTTGGAGACAGTCACACGCAAACAAAATATGTGTTACACAGTTTTGAACTATATGGCGTCAATCGCGATAGAGAAAAATGTAGTCTACAGTTTTTAAAAATATTGTAGATTAACGTAAGAAGTAATGTAGGACTGCCAGCGAAGTTCTCAGAGATATTATCATACTTTAAGTTAAATCGAATGTAGCATCATCTGCAAGCTGCTCCGATTTTCCCAGTTCAAACGATCCAGTATCACTCGTAATATCTCAACCTTACATTATTTGTGAAAAATTATTTATTTTGACACAACACACCTTTCTCATTAAGAGTTTCCACGTGCAATTGAAATCTCATATGACTATCCATGAGAACTCCTAGATTTATTTATAGTGAGTTTGGTTAGTTGAGTTTTAAAATATAAATGATAATAATTATATCTACTTGAGTGTTGTTGATGAGCAGCTGTTTTGAATTAAGGGTTTTAGAGTGCGACTGATATCTCATATCACTATCCAATTTGTATACGCTGTAAGTTAGTGATGTTGTTCAGTTGAATTTTAAAAGTTAAATGATAATAATTATAATTACTTACTCGATTAATTTTTGATGTTTAAGACATAGTAGTTTTAAGACATCCTCCGGTGACCGATGCGATCGATACTTGTCGAAATTTCTAAATTTGAACTGTAGTGCCATCAACTGCACCCTCAAAAAAATTATCAAGCAATTGACAAAGGCGCTCACCACACCAAGACAAAACAGCACCAAGATAGGACGGATATTTTGATCTATAATTGCAAGTGTGAGGTGCTTGTCTGTGTCAAAGGGATACCAGTAATGCATGGGTAAAGACAAATGGGTTACGTTGCCTTTTTTAAACCGCCTCAATGCATCCGCATCACCTGAAGAAATGAATGGAAAATGGTTTCATTTTGCATATTTTACAAAATTGTTAAGTTCTGAATTTTTAAAGCAATTACTTATTACTTGTGCTAATTTCGGACTGCCTAGAAATTTTCTGTTGCCTTGTTTTATTAACGAAACTTTTTTTTGAAAAACTGATTCAACTCATTACGAATTTTCTCTTATATAAATGTGGTGATAGTATTCCCTTACCAATAACAGCAACAGAAAGTCCCACAAGGATCGCTGACATCACAATCAGGGAAATTAGTTTGTTGTCGAAATTAATGTGCCACTTGTATATATTTCTAATTTCGGGATCATCTTGAACAGACAATTCTCGGTCTTGTCGCAGAGCATCTTTGATCAGGTTGAGCACACCTTTCGAGCGACACATTGCCATTTTGATCGTCATTACAAAACAAAATATAAATCTTCCCATTTTTTCGATTGCTAAAAGCACAAACTGAGCCATTAATGCTATCCTTGACGCGATTGTTGTACCTATCGAAGGATTTGTTTTGAGCAGACTGGGTAAATCAGCACTTAATGACACCATGGCTGATAGATATACGAGTTGAAACAATACAGAATAAGTAGCGTACAACTTCTTTCTGGTTTTTGATATGTTATTATCGAATAATCCCCAAATTCCTACAATAATCATTAGGTTCTTCATGTAACAGAAATATGATGTTCGGGTATCCATGTTTTCATGAGCACTGCTATAACATAATCTAACATTGCTCATGATGTATCTCTAATATATATTACAAACGAAATCAATAAATATTTGTCCACTGAATTTACCGAATACACCGAGACCATTTCAAGGGCGTGCATCGAACTTTGAACACGAAGAATTGGCACTACTTAAATAATTAAAATCATATGTCCAATAGGACATTATTTAAATTATGTAACTACTACATAAATCAGACAAACGAATGGGCTAAAGCCCGACATCAAGCGAAATTTATAATTATTTAGTTCGAGTGGGGATCAAATTGTATGAAAGTAGACGTAATTATGTTGCAATTGGTAAGTGGTAAGATAAGTGTAATTAAGTCGGCTTCCTTTGAACCGGAAGCTTTGCATTGATCTTTAACAGAGACCATGGAGACCAATCTAAACCCCGTTGTTGCGCCACTGATGTCGTGCGATTCCGCGGACATTGTCCAGCCTAATAACAAGGTAGAAGACATGAATATACAATAAAGCATAAGCAATTCTTAAACCGATATTATGTGACATGCGAGGTACAATAATAAAAGAGAAAACATTTTTTCTTTTTGAATTAACTAGCACTATGGGAGATTTCTGCTACCGGTAGAGGCAGTTTAATTTGTTGAGTGGTTTTATATATCTTATCGAAGAAATTTCGGTAGGTCAATGGACGCTTCATTTTTGGAAACCAGCGTTGCAATAAGAAATTAGCCATTGGGGTATGGGGTTTCGTATACCTTTAACATAATCTGAAATATGTAAGTTGCTTTAAATATACATAATTTTCTTAGACTGACCAATGAGTTAATTGATAATTAATTGATAATACTTTACCATATTTTGAAATATATTTAAAACAGCTACAACATGAAGCTTGAAATTCAATACCTATTTCTTAAATGAATTTGTTCCATGTTTTTCCCGTTCACTGTATAACATATTCGGTTTTCACATTTCCATTTTTTATTTAATTTTAATTACTTGTTAGGTTTAAGGAAACATCGTTCATAACTTTGATACGTCTTACGAAAATATTTATTTAATCAATATACCTAATTAATGTGTGTGGGAGTAAGTTAATTTAAGTTGTTGCCAAGCCGAAGCTTTTACCGCCATATACAGAAAAATAGATTTGCTACAGAGAGTTGCTAAAAAACTGCTGATAACTTCTCATAAACAACCAGAATTATATAAATAAAACCACGTAGATGTCTCAGCGTTGCTTTTTCGTGAACACTTCTGAAATTTGAAACTACACTGTTAATTTAAAATATTAAATTATTATTAATAGTTGTTATACATAGACGATGACTACATGGCATTACCTACTAATGAATTATTATTCCCCTTTTCTCATGACTGAAGTGTACGAATATCCTAATTTACGTCTCTGAAACAAAGCAAAGCACAGAGGCATTTGGAACAGTGAAGACATTGCTCCAAAAACTGTTTTTAATTATTAATATATATATATAAAATTCTTGGATAACTTATGTCTATACAGAGTATATGGAAATAACGTTCAATAACGTCTTCAAGATAGGGAGTGTCATTTTTTTGTTAAATGTACACCGTGTGCCAAATAAAACGTTCCACTGTACGACCTGGAAACCCATAGCAGATACGAAAAAAAGTTTCGTACAAAAGTTTCTTGGTCTCTCCTTAGGATTTAAAATATTATAATTTTGTTGACACAGGGTGTCCCAAAAGTGTCCCAGTGACATCAACTTTGTTATTTTAAATAGAACACCCTGTATATTTCGACATTTTTGGAATCTTTGGTTAAAATAAAGGTTGTTAAGAAATTCCTACTCGAAATTTGCCTAGTTTAGGCAGAAATTGAGGTTATATGTTTTTTTTTCATATTTTGGTTGCCACATATAAAATTGTGTTGTGACGCTACTGATCCAGGTATTGCGACGAAAATTTAACATTTAATAAAACTTCGTCTCTAAGGAGATGATGTACTACTCAATCAGTTTTACAGACGCCCCTCAGCTTATATAGGGTATCCCAAATAGGTGGAGCCGTTTAACAAAATCTCAAGATTTTCAAATGTAACACACTTTTGTTTTATTCAGATATAAATTCTAGGACAAAAAATAAGGTAAGTTTATAATTTATCTTATATTTAGATTTTATATATATATATATATATATATATATATATATATATATATATATATATATATATATATATATATATATGTATATATATATATATATATATATATATATATATATATATATATATATATATATATTCTTACCTCTCCATCTCAGGGTCGTGAAAAAGAAACGCATTAATTAATTAAATTCGTAATTTAATAGTGAGGTAAGACAATGCCTAGGCTAGCTCATTAACAACCGAGAAAAATTAATAAAGTAGAAAAGAAAAAAAAATATACTAAACCAAAGCCAGGTTGGAAGGCGGTGAAGGGCACCTCGGTCAGTCCCGGAAGGTAGTAGGTAGGCGCCACGTGATTCGAAAAAGGTAGACTTATCAACCCGAGGTTCCAACCCGTAAAGGAAATAAACAAGTGAATCACGAACAATAATTTATTTCCTTCAACCTGGTGGTAGGTGTGAGTGTCCAATCTCACCTTCAAGTTTTGGCGGTGCAAAAGAATGTAAGACACTATAATTTAAGACTATAAGTTCCGCAAACCGTTCTTGAAGAGAACAGGCCACTTAAGCTACCCAAACCTCAAGATGTCCCGAACGTTACACAGCTGTCTATCACTATCCCGGGAACCAAGCCAAGATGGAATTGTGGCTCAATGGGACAGCCGCAGGTGGGCAGTCCCAGTTAACCCAGCAAAGTCCGTCCGGAAAGCCGGCTGCTCGATAGGGGAAATTCCACAACTAAACATGTACCCAAGAGACAGCATACACTGCAAGACACCAAGCCTGGTCTGGTATTCCGGTGAACGAAGAAACCACGTGGAAGGTTTGCGGGAAACGGAGCAACAATACGTACAATACTCGATTCGAGGGTTTTCTGGAAATGTGGGGCAATGACAATTCTTTTCAAAATCCCTCGTTGAGGAAGATTCCCATTCCAAACTCCAAATAGATCCAAAAGTATGGGAAATCATAAATTAGTGACCAATTCACATATCCCCCTCTTATTGGGGTAGCACTACCGGCTCAAAAAGAAATCGGTCACACAAAAGAAAATCTGCCACAACCCCAAGCTTCAAAAGCTAGCGTACCAAATGCCGGACGATTCAGACAACCAGTTTTATTAAAAGGCAAAACGGGCACAAAAAAAATTAGAGGGAAAACGCCACTCTTGCCAACCTAGTCGACGGTACGCCGCCAGTAGAAAGAACAACCGAACTATATCTGTGGTGATGGCCGTATGGCCCGTGCCAACGAATCGAGGTTGCGTCAACGAGATCGAATTACCCGAACGCTATCTATGGTGGCGACCGGATGGCCAGTCACAGAAAATCGAGGAAGAATAGGTTAAGAAACAAAACAATGTTTACTAGGCTCGCCAAGGAATACCGAAGCAATGAAAAGCAAATGTGGTCCCTAGTCTCATAGGGTGACAGATGGTAATGGTTATGACTCCTTCTAATGCGCAACTAATACTCTGTTTTTTGCATTAGTATCTCTCAGTAAACCGGTGTCACTTAAGAGAAAACCAAGCGAACAAGGGGCCACGCACACAGCCGTTGCAGCATAAAATATTTATGGTTCGGCAACACAATCGGCCGGGGAGTACAAGTCCGAAACTAAAGGAACCGAGTCTACAAAAGAACATGTGTTCAAATCGCAAAATCGATATGAACCTAATAAACAAGAATTTTAATGGTTAAGAAGCACTCGCCAAACAGCAAAGGGTGAAGGAAATGGACAGTACAATTAATTCTACAAGGTACTAATAAAATAAACCCGTTACTTCGCAAATGTGCCAGCACTGGTACTTTAAAAATGCTAAATTTTACCATTGAAATATGAAACCGTCACACTATATATATATATATATATATATATATATATATATATATATATATATATATATATATATATATATATATATATATATATATATTCTCACGTATTGATTCACGGATGGAAAAATGTGATGACACTATATTCCGGGATATCATCCGTTCGCTCGTTGAACTCCGACTGGAATCCTGCAAATCTTGCATCCGACGAAGTGTTTTCGAAGCGCGAGCATTGAAGATGCCAAGTGAGATTTTGGTGAAACGTCTGCAGGATTCCAGTCGGATGCAAGATTTGCAGGATTCCAGTCGGATGCAGGATTCCAGTCGGAGTTCATATATATATATATATATATATATATATATATATATATATATATATATATATATATATATATATATATATATATATATATATATATATATATATATTCTAAATAGCAAAAACATGATACTACTTCTTTTAAAGATATAATACTCCAGATATACGAATAAAACATATTGCTAACAAAAACAGGGAGTTCATTAATACGTGGAAATTTTGAAAAAATCGACTCTATACTAACACACTTTAACAGATTTAATAAAACTTCAGAATTAATATTTAAAGAAACATTCAATAGTTAAATATATAGCTTGATTCAAAATACCTAATAACAAAAAAAAAATTAAAATTTATAGGCTAACTAAATAAGGTAAAAAATTTGAATAAATAAATCTATAAAACAAAAAAAAACAGAACCAAATAATTAAAAAAAACTTATATATGGTGATACTGTAAGATATTTTCAATATATTGTCCATCCTCTGCAATACACATTGTATAGCGCGTCACAATGCTGGAGACCGCATTTCTAACCGGATCACTATTATTTAATGCAAGAATCTGTTGTCTAATTTTTACCTTATTTTTTGTCCCAGAAATGACATCTGAATAAAAATATAGTGAGTTACATTTTAAAATCTTGATATTTTGTTAATTCAATTCGCCAAAACGGCACCACCTATTTGGGACATATAAGCTGAGGCACATTTGTCACACTGATTGAGTAGTGCATCATCTCCATAGCATGTGGTTAAGTTTTCGTTGCAATACCTGGATCAGTAGCGTCAGACAATTTTATATGAGGCAATCAAAATATTTAAGAAAAAAACATATAACCACAATTTCTGCCTAAATTATAAAATAGGAATTGCTTACTATGGATAAGAATTGCTTAAGAAAGATACCTTTATTTTAAAATTTAAATCTTCAGGAGAGTTCAAGAAACTTTTTTTCTTATCTCCTATGGGTTTCCAAATCCTATAGTGGGTCGTTTTATTAAGCACACGGTGTACAGTAACATCCCGAGGGCCACCCGATCGAATATTCTTGATAAAAAAAATACACCCATGATTTTTAAATTTTATTAATTTTATTTTTTTTTTAAATTAACCAACTAAAAATTTAACTTTTTGTGTTATGTTTTTTTTTCTTGTCTTGCTTTGTTTTGGAGAAAAAAAAACAATTTATTGCATGTCCCGAATTGTTAACAAATTCGAATTGGTTTTTTATTAATATATTTAATCTATAGGATGTGGCAGTTTTATGAGTAGTGATATCAAACAAATAAGATTTTTTAAAAGTTTGACACCCATGTTCATATGATATATTCATATTATATAATTTATTTACTTAATTTGATATAGCGGCGTCAGAGACCCTGCATTCTCCACAAAGCGCTCTTAAAAGGTCTTTCCCAGTTTCTTTTCTTACGTTGTGTTTTAATTTAATTATTTTCAGATTTCTATGTAATTATAAAAAATATTCAATTATACCAGTAACGCGTTTTTTCGATTCACATTAGCATTTCAGCGAGTTTGAACGGCAGACATAACATATTTTATTATTTACCGAGACACCAGCATTTAAATCTATAACTCCGAGACTACCAACCCGCAAGCACAGTGGTTTTTGACATCTCATCATCATTATGCACACCATCATTTTGGTTTGTCGGCTCTGATCGCACCAGTTACTCTCAAACAACGCCCTACCTAATTCTAAACTCTGAAACAAACCAAAATATATTTTCCACTTTCTCTAGGATAGAAAATTACCTGAAGGATGATCTCGTTGGAAGTCCACGCGAATGTAAGCAGCTGTAGAGTGGTGAACGATATGATTATGGAGTTCGTGATAAGCTGATTTCCCTACGGAATGTTTGCTCAAATAATTCCAAGTTTAATCTATTTGTTTTTTATTTACCGTGGTTATTTGGATAATCAGGACGGCGAACAAAACCGACGAAATCATATATTCCAGGAAAATTATATTTTTTAGGGACTCGTTGAACTGCCTTATGTATCTAAAGGAAATAATCCAAATGTATGAATAATTTGAAACTTTATTATTTTGTTTCAATGTATATTGTCTTGGATTTTCATGGCAATTATGAAAATAATCTGCCGACGGCAATAAAACAATTGATAAATTGGTATTGTAGGAACATACTTTTACTAAAGTAACCAGAATACCGTTTGGATCGAATATAATGGTTTTTAATTCTTCAATGAAGTGAAAGAAGTACGAAACTATCAGTTTTCCTTGTAAATATTGTTTATTACAGACACTAGATATTTTAATAGAGAATCGGTTGGAGAACCAGTGGTGCTAACAATAGGTCAAAGGGGTGATTCTGGTTTATGGAGCTGAGTCCGTAGGAACAAGGAATTTTAGAGTCCTGAGGGGTAACAGATGTTTTTCACTGATTCTAATATAGAAGAAGCTGTAGGAGCTGATTTACGGTTGCGTCCCATAGATGACGTAGAATTTGGACAATAAGATCCGTTAGTAAGAATATCGAAACGAATTTAATAAAATAAAGCAACGACCATCGTATTTATGTTTTCCGTTTATTAAACGGGGCGCTAGCGAAAAACTGATTCTGCAGGATGACACTGTTAGCTAAATTTGTTTAAATGATACAGGATGAATTAAAAATTCTTCCACGGATTTTGTGAAACTTAACCTTAACAGAAAAATAAGACAGTTGTTTTTAAAAAAACATGAATAGAACAATGCGATAAAAAGAACTATAAGGCTGGCGCACAATACAACCTTTCCTTTAATCGGCCAATAGTTTCGTGAAATCAACTTTCTCAAAGAACATTTGTTGTACATCCAACTAAATGTGATAATGTGAAATAGGTTATTCTAAACTGCCACTGATATCAGCCGACACGTGGTCGACATCTTCCTGACTTGTCTTGTCCATTAGCTACGAATGAGTTATTTTTGATTTGGTTAGTTTGGTTTACCCAGTGACAATAGATATGAGGGTCGTAATTAGTTTTCGGGGGAGGGTTCGACGAAAGCCAAGACGGTATACTTTGAGACACACTATACCTTATCAATTCTTGATGTTTCGCGCAAAGGAACCTCAAACTGTGTTCAGCGGTTACGGTACCCCCGTCCAAACTTCTATCGAAATTTTTAAAACGGTACTGGAGCAGCCTCAGCTGAGCCCTCAAGAAAATCGTGACGCAGTTGACGAACGCGCTGACTACGCCAATGCAGAACGTCACTAACGTCGGGCGAATATTTTGATCCACAATTACCATGACGTAATGCTTATTCCTGTCGAACGGGTACCAGTAATGCAAGGGCATCGGTTTTTCGGTGGTGCCGTTGTCAGTAGACTTGGTCCAAAACAAACAATTGATGTCTCCTAAAATAGTCCGATTCAAGTGCGAATGCCCACTTTTCCAAAGAAAAAACGCCTAGATCGAAGTACACAGTGTTCCAAACCAGCAACATAGCACTTTGTGAGATACAGAATGAAATAGAAATTTGAGTATTTTTAGGGTGATATTATATTTCGGACGCCCTATAAGAAATTAAAAAAACTAATAAGTGCTGTAGAATTCAGGTGTTGTTGTCAACTTTTTTAGACATACCGTTTTCAAAATGTAGCCCTAATATAGGATTGTCTCATCCAGAAAATTTTATTATTATCACTACTAAAGGACATAATACCGTAGAAATCGCTAATTTATGTGTAAAGGAAAGATCTTATATATGACTTCAAAAGTTAACAAAAGCCGTACATAAATCTGTATCACATTTACAAGTAAGTCCAAAATAGTAAAAAAAAATATTTTGGATTTGTATTGCCATTTTTGTTTAAGTCTATGGCATGTAGATTACATCGCAGAAAACATACATTGGAAATACTATATTGATTATGCTTTATTTTTGGAAAATATTTACTGGTGCATGAATGTACCACTGGTTTTATCTGTTAAACAAGACTTTGTTATTGCAAGTCTAGACAGTCAGTAGAATAAACATCCAACAATTAGCGGTTCTTTAGTATTAATTTGTGCCTTGTGCAGTGAACGTTACAGTTCGTGCCATTTCCGAGGTATTTGACTCAAAAGGAATTAGAGGCGGCTATGGAGGAGATCGTCATGGATGAGGACAATGACAATGAAAGTCGTTAGTATTATTTGGATTTACGTATTCTTATGTATTGTAGCATTCCATTCCTTGCAAATATATGCTAAAAATAACGTGAAAAAATATTTGCGGAACATATTGATGCGGTCTATATTCCACCCGACGTGGATACCTTGTCTGACGAAACTAAATCTACAACAGTTTGGGGAACCAACTGATATAGTTGGAACTTTCGAGTTACATACACCAAATGATATAACTATCCTTCAACAGTCCTGTAATTCATCAACAACTGCACCTGAATGGGACTCATCAGATGATGAAACCTTATAAGCTTTCTGGAAAAACTCTGCTTGAAATATTTTTTATGTTTTTTGATGACGAAGTGATTGATTTGATTTTAAATTTTACATTGCTTTGCGACTTTTAAAAACTAATAAAACAATTACTCAAAGAAATCTTGCACCTGCCATAGATGAAGTGCGTTATGATAATGAAGGTCACCTCATGATTGTTCATGCTAATAAAGCCCGAAGGAGATGTAGAATCTGCCACAGCCACACAATTTACGTTTGTAATAAGCGTAATGTGCATTTAAATACTTCATGCTCTGTAAAATATCACCAAAAATTTAACCGGGTGTTTCCACTCACGCACCATAAAATATTATGCGTTTTTTTGTATCAAATCAGGTTCTATTTGGAAAACGATCTACTTTTAGTTGTTTTATGGCGAATTTGAACTTCATTTTGTATATTTATCTATAAATTATATCTTATGTGCCCCAAAACATTATTTAATGTTTTTCCCAGTGGTTCGTTTATGTAGCAGTATTTTTTGTATGGTTCTAGTTTTTATCTTTTTTTTGACACACGTTTTCTTAAGTGCAACAAAATAAATAATTTCAGAGCAAAAAAGTCTTTTTTAATTGTTTTCATGGTTGGGATAATATGAGTTAAAGAGGTGGAGTTTAAATTTACATAGCTATGAGTTTTCTTACTCTGATTGGGTTTATTGCATTAAAAATGTCTTATTTGACTGCCGGATACGACATGTTGGTTGTGTTTATCCAGTGTCATTAAAACTCATGCATGGCTGAGCGAGTATAGACAGCAAATTATCCCAATAGTAGACATTTTAGTAGAATGATATTTAGTTTTTTAAGTAAATGTTTGCGCGAAACACGACCAGTTCATTCTCATACTGTGCCTAGAAGAAATCCACATGTTAGGAACGAAGAAAACGTCATCCATTTATTGCCTTTGTCTATATTAATCCCCATTTAAGCTTAAGATGAAAAACTTTGGACTTGGATATTCGTAAAACATCGCCACACCGAATTTTAATTCTTCTCATACATAATTCTTATCATACTGAATTACATCAGGAACTTTTAGAAAGTGATTTAGATAGGATATTAGACGTCTATAATTGGCGAATATAATGGAGATACTTTTTAGCGCAATGGTGAAATCAATTTGCATAATATGAATTCGAATCGAATCGAATTGGAAGATTATTCTTCTTTGAACTTTTTAAGAAACCGCTTGCCGATTTTATTAGAGAACGTGAGGAGATGTGGCTGCAACACGATGGATATCTAGCACCCTTTTCTCACGAAGTTTTTAGACCAGACTTGTCCAAATCGTTGCGTTGGATATGAAGGGACAGTTTGTTTCCGTGACCTGCCAGATTTCCAGGTCTTACTACCCTGAACTTTTACCGCTAGAGTAGAATAAGATATATTGCCTGACAAACTCGACCTACTACCCGTAAAAATATGGTTGTAGTAGCAGTGTGCTGTAATCAAACTTACAAGTGCGCTCGTATTAAATACACAATTCAGCACGTTCGATAACCTAGGAAAAGTCCCTTTTAACGACTCCAGGTTTATTAAAATCCATTAAGCCATTTTGGAGTTATCGACATTTATTTCCGGAGCACTCCCCACCACTTCCCTTTTAGAGATAGAGTAAAAAGCAAAGATTTGAATTTGTATCAGCTTTAAAACAGTGTTTATTCTAAGTGTTATTAATATAATTACGCAATTAGGCCTTTTGGTGGATATCTCAGAACCTTAAAAATAAATTAAAGCATGATTTTCTCTTGGCCGATTTACTTTCGTTTCTCCATTACTGTGCCCTTACTGTACCCGGTATATATTCTAAAAATCTTCGAATGGCACACTTTTTGGTTTTGCATGGAATATTCGTAACGAATATTCTATATTTTTTTACTATGATATTGAATTGATGTGATGATGTGAATATTGAATGGATACCTATTCGGATAAAAATGAAAATAGGTATGTTCAGAGAATATTACGCAAATACTCTTTCGAATATGAGACGAATATTCATAAAGAATCTGTAATTTTGGTAAAATTTTGGTTAATTAAATTAAATATATGAATAATTAAATAACATGTTTAAAAAAATTCATTTTGTTTGGATTATTTTTAACCATTTTTACTCTGAACTTTTCAACAAAATCTACATGACTAAAAAAATTGTGCAAAACACAACAAATTGCTAATATTTAAAATAAATTTCCAGAGGCTATTGTAATATTTTATAAATCTACTGTATTCCTCATGCGTCGATTATTTCATTCATAGTTTAAACTAGTTAGGGTGGAAATGCTGGACAGTTCCAGTTGTACAAAGCTGCGCTAAAATTTAAAAAAGTCGCCGAACGGAAGCAAATAAAACAACTTACGTGTGTGTTTCAATGCTCTTGGGAACAAGTACAATGCCGCAAAATAATAGAATGTGCTTTCAACAGCAGAGGAATAGACATTATTCTAGTTTTCCCACTCCGCAACCCGCAACCCGCAACCTCGGCATGTAACGAAGCGGCCAACATCTGATGCAATTATCGTAACGAAAGGGGAAACATCTCATGCAGACGTTTTAAAGGCTGTTAAACTAAAGGTAAAACAAAGGGTAATGCAGCCGATATTGCAGACGCTCTGAAAGACATAAGAGGAAGCTATTTATCGGACCGAAAGCTGCTTGTAGGTGGCAACAATGAAGTAATAGAGGTTACCTGTAGTGTTCTCCAAAGCTCTGTATTTGGACCGCTGCTATGTAACATATATGATGCAATTTTAAGACTAGATATGCTGGGTGTTGTTGTAACTGGAAAGACCGAGACAACTTTAGTGACTTTGGCGAGTATAGCCATTGGTAGAATGTTTAACATTATGAAACAGCGAAAACTGGAACTGTCACCGGGGAAGACAGAAACCGTATTACTAAGATCGGTAAAAAAGTCATCCTTAATATCGTGGACCAAGAAATCGTTACTAAACAGGAAATTAGGATTCCGGGGGTCTTTATGGATGAGGAGGCTTCTATGAGGCGGCACGTAGTAAACACATGCAAGAATGCTGAAGCATCGGCAATGGCATTTGGCCGCTTGATGCCAGTGGGCCATCGACAACGAAGCTGAGTGCTGTAACTCATTCAGTTATGTTGTATGCAGTTCCTGCATGAAACGAGTTTTTAAAAATAAATAAATACAGATCCATGTTCATAAAAATTCAAAGAGAACTTGTTCTGAGGATATGCTTATAGAACAACTTCCACTGAAGCTCTCTTGGTCTTAGAAAACTGATATGCCTCTTGACTTGCAGGCATGTGAGAGAAGCCAGATATGCGGCAAGGAGAAAACTAAAAAATAATATACAGGTACTAATTTTCTTCAGTTCTTTATCTCTGTTCCTCTCGTTTGTGAGCCTGAAGGACCGAGCAATTAATGTATTTGCCACTGCCTTTATCTGTGATGGGTGGTGATGAGATTTAGCGTTCAGGTATCTATTAGTACCTGTCTTCGACAAAACGGATACCAAAGGCGCACCATCAGCAAGGCAATCAGTAAACAACAACAGCCGCAGCAGAGAGTGCAGGACGAGACCCAACGAAGATCGATCGCTGTCCTGCCATACATCAAGGGGGTTACTGACAAAATCGGCCGAATATTACGGAAACACGACATATCAATGGCATACAAACCTGACCATACCATCGGAGCAATACTAAGAAGCCCAAAACAAAAAATTACTCTGGAAAACCAAGGAGTATACAGTGTAGCATGCGGATCGTGCAACCTTGCGTATGTGGGACAGACCAACAGAAGGATTTCAGCCAGGCTCGAGGAACATCGTTTAGCCATAAGAAACAAACAAACAACATCTGCTTTGTTTCAGCACCAACACCAGACAGGCCATAAAATTGATTTCGGCACTTGCAAACAAACAAACAAATAT